AGTATCTTCTCCTGACCAGATGAAATCACCACTTGGTGTTTCTCCTTTTCCTGTCCAGCGTACTTCAGAAATCCCGATGACATCAAATCTGAAACGTTTCATTTCATTTCTTAGCAATTCTAGCTTTCCTGTTGCCCATAACGTTTGAACGTTCCAGGTACCCACTGTAAGTGTGTCTTTCGTTATCTTCCACTGTTGTTGACCAATTTTGACATTTGATGTTACTGCTGCTGCTGTTTTATTTGTAACTATCTGTCGTGTTGTTGTTCCTGTCTTTGTTCCTGTCTTTCCAGTAGCCAATTTTTCGATTCTGTCCTGGTTACTCGACAGAGGACGCGGACCTTGTTCACCCGGGCGACGTCCGAGCCGGTATGGTTTTCGATTATCGTCGTCGTTCATGGTTGGTTTCTTTCGTCTTTTCTTTTTGACAGACGGCGGCATCTGCACTCCTTCCGTCTAACGCTCCTCCTTTTTCCGGACTTGCGACCGGCACAGAGATCACCGGATTGTGGTCCCCATGGTGGAGTTATACTAATCAATATTTTTCTTTTTTCTATAAACTTCTCTTTTTCTTATTGACAATCATTTTCTCGACATTTTCCACCAAGGTCCCTACGAATTACGTCATGACACAAAAAACATTTAATTAAAACTGCGTCTATGCACATTCAGACGTATTTTAATTGGAAAAACAATATTTACATGGTCTGACTCAGATCAGAGTAATTTCAGACATTGTGGGCTGAAAATGCCTCACATTGCTTTTTGACGAAATGTTTTCATTTCATTCCTTCAACGCTTTCTGATTCTTTATTATGAGTTGTCTCAGTGAACGGAGCGCAGTCATTTTTTCATGCTTTTATTTGCTTTCCTTCATATTTCCATCAATGCATGTTTGTATGATAAATCCTTTTCATTTTTTCCGCTTGGATTCGCGCAAAATGTACTAGTAGAAATATTCAAATTTTTCTGATCATAATTCGTCTCAAAGATTGAAACAAATAAATTTATTTGTCCTATTCCAATCCCAACGATAGTAAGATGAATGCCTTTTAATATTGTTTGGATATTTGGAGCTTTACTGATACGATCAATCGTTATTCAACATCAATAGTACACTCAATACTTTTATTCAGTTAGTTTCTTGATACGAGCAGAATTATTCAGTAAGATTTAATCGTGTTTTTCAAAATTGGTTTACATAAATGTCATTTTCGGGTTAATGAAAACAGAAAAACTTATGAGTAGCAACTGCTGAAGCTTTCTATTAAAGTAATATCGATGAACCTTCAAATTCTTAGTCAATCTTGAAAATAAACATTAGATCTTCCAAATAGGAATATTTATTTTGAAGTCCTAGCAAATTTGTATTGCATAACATTATTTAGGTTTAATTTTAGATAAAATAGTGGGGCGATATTATTAAGTTTACCATTTTATGAAGCTCATGATTACCAGTAGAAAATAGCATGGGTGATGATGAAGAAGATATTGGTCGAGATCGTCCATGTTATGGAGAGTTTCGATGCTCTCGATGCAGACGATTCTGGAAGAGTACTAAGTCTTGGGCTGATTGTGGTCAGATCTGTTCAGAATGTGATACCCTAGTGTCTCCGGCTAACCTCAAGAAAAACTTTGCATATATATGCTATAATTGCAATACTCTTTGGTACTCATTTTATTCAACACACAGGCGGCAATGTAGAAATTGTAAATCATACGAAATTTCCGATCCTCTAGATCCAGATGATTCAAACGATCAAAACGTTATAAACGAGCGCAAAAATGAGTCGACTGCTAAAAATATTAACGGGGAGCATAGAGAGAAGTTGTGCCAGAAATGCCAAGCGACTGGACGACCTTGTCGGGAATCTGTTGATAATAAAAATAGGTCACAGTTTACAACTGATAAATACAAGCAGGAAAATACGGTGAAAGCACCTATCAATTATGGCTGTAAAGCAACATCCAATTCTATTGTTGGCGAATATGAACTGGTTTGTGAAATATATATCTTTTTTTCTATTTTTATAGCTTTTGGCAGTGCAAAATGGAAACAAAGATAAGAACCCATTTGGGAAAATTCTTTCAGACCATTCTCCACACATATAAGTGAAACTATAGGAGGACATAAGCCATGCTTTTAAAAGGTTATCTAAAGGTAGTTCAAATATTTCATTCTGTGGAACAGTTACATCTTCGTATGAAGACATCTTGTTTTCCGTAAGAAGCATGGAAATAACTATTCAGATATGAAAGCACATAAATTTCGGCAAATAAAATATAGCGTTCTTAATAAAATAATATTCGATGAGTCCAATATTTCACGCGAGGATTCATAATTTCAAACAACCATTGAATGCATGTTTTATCTGACTGTCATACCAAAGCTGTTCACAATCATTTAATGCGATCATTGGAAAATTAAGGTCAGAAATTATATGAGTCGTCTAACTTGATCATAAATGTCCAAACGGTATTAAATAACATATTCAAGAAGAATATTGCTGATATACATGTAAAGAGAACCTTTTAGATGATCTCTGTAGTTTATCTATCTTATAATACTCACGACCTAGCTGAAATACTGCTTCTATTCGGTTCAGCTTGAAAAAAAAGAACCATTAACAATTTTATTTTATTTTAAAACCAGTATTTCTGACTAGAGATTATCATTTTCATGTTTTTCTACTATAGAACCGTGAAAAAATGGAAAGTTTTTTCAAAAATGATCAAAGTCAGTCAGAGTATCTCAACTCAAAAAATAACAAGCGTAATGAAAGCGTTAAGCAGCAGTTTGGTGAGCCTAGTGACCTTCCATTTCATCATTCAACATTCACAAGCTCATCTTCAAACAATACCAAACCGAATATTTGCATTTCCATTGTTAAACAGAGTGAGGAATGCAATGTATATGTATTTCCTGGCAGCCAATCTCACCATGATCGAAATGAGTATAATCGTGGCATTCATGTCGGGAGTTACTCCTGTATCGATTGGAGACATTTAGCAAACAAATGGAGGAACTTGTGGATGCCCATGTTTTGTATTCTTGTTTTAGTAACCATAGTAGCAGTTTTATTTCTTATTGTAAGTTCTTTTCAAGCACAAAAGTCAACTACTACAATTAGAACAATGAAGACGACGACAACGACAACAACGACCACGACCACGACAACAACGACCACGACCACGACAACAACGACCACGACAACAACGACAACAACAACAACAACGACGACGACGACGACGACGACAGCAAACTCATTATTTCAAATTTTAAAAGAGCCGATAATGTCTCAAGTACGGAAGATTGAGATAATTTGGAATAGAGTTCGATCATCAGTCGCTAATTCTGTTGCACCTTGCTTTGCTCAAAATACAATGGTAACACTTCAAAACGGTGCTCATATTAGAATGCATGATCTTCGCGTAGGCGACTTAGTACATGTTAATTCTGGTAAAACAAGTTCAATTCTGGCCATATTTCGTCATCGGCGTTCGCATCTTTCGTTTATCGAATTACAGACTAACAGTAATCTAAGCGAACCACTTCGTCTCACATCAGTACATTCCATTCTTACTCGTAAGCCTAACGATCGAATCGAACAATATAGATTTGCTAGAGATGTATCTGCTGGGGATCTAGTTTTTCCTGTGATAGGCCAACGACCAATTGAAGTTATAAACGTTCGTAATGTTTTCCATGTAGATGAATACGCCTATGCCCCTCTCACACCAGAAGGAACGATTGTAGTTAATGGTTTAATTGCATCATGCTACGCTTCTCATAGTCACTCTGCCATGCACATGATTATGACACCTATTCGCTGGTGGTACTGGGCATTGATTCGTTATCAACAGCCATCTTTACACAAGATCAGTACAGAGGTTTGCGAATTTTTTGTAGACTCATATTTGCATCTATTCTTTTGACAAAACGATTCTAATTGATTGAGTTATTATACGTTCATTGCATTAATCAATTTAATAAACTATCTATTCAATTTACTGTAAGTATTAGTCAGAATCATAAAAGCACTGCAGCAAATTAAAACGATCCTTGACTTATGTTTATTTGTCTGAGACTTTCAGTCTCAATGCTTGAATATATTCGTTCAATTGGGCTTGACTGTAGTCTTCTTTATTGATATTTTTTGTTGTTGAAATAATTATCGCGGAAAAAGAAAAAATCATAATAGTCTGTTGATTCATAGCTCTTCCAAAGTAAATGAAAGAACTTTCTGTTACCACTCTTTCCATTGTCTTCTTCAAATATCATGTTAGCTTTTGTTTAAAATTCGAATAGACAATAACCATACACCGCAACGCTTGTCAGGATTCCAGCGAAAAAATTATTTGCAAAGAACGTCTCCCTCGGGATTTATCAGGACTAGGGATGTAACAATACCAATACAGTATTGGGATATTGGTATTGGTATTGGTATTGGTATTGGTATTGGTATTGGTATTGGTATTGGTTGGTATTGGTGGGCATTGGTATTGGTATTGGTTGGTATTGGTGGGCATTGGTATTGGTAGGTATTGGTATTGGTGGGTATTGGTATTGGTATTGGTATTGGTGGGTATTGGTATCGTCAGCAGGCTGATGGAGAAATGGCATACTTGTGCACTTCCAGAAAATATCAAAATTTCGAAAATATTCTGAAGCAGTTCGATTCCTTGACGTCGAAGACCTTCGCTGAAACTTTTTACAGAATCTCTAGTTTCTCAAAATACACTATCCTGGCTGAAACATTTTCGCAATTTTCATCTTGATTTTTTTCAGCCAAGATAGTGTATTTTGAGAAACTAGAGATTCTGTAGAAAGTTTCAATGAAGGTCTTCGACGTCAAGGAATCGAACTGCTTCAGAATATTTTCGAAATTTTGATATTTTCTGGAAGTGCACAAGTATGTCTTTTCTCCATCAGCCTGCTGACGACACCAATACCCACCAATACCAATACCAATACCAATACCGACCAATACCAATACCGATACCGACCAATACCCACTAATACCAATACCAATACCAATACCCAACAATACCAATACCCAACAATACCAATACCCACCAATACCAATACCTACCAATACCAATACCTACCAATACCAATACCTACCAATACCAATACCACCAATACCAAATGGTATTGGTATTGATAGTATTGGTATTGTCACATCCCTAATCAGGACACTGCGATTTATGACAAGAACAAAAAGAAATCAGAAAAAAAGAACAAAGATCATAAAACGTATATGCTTCTCATATATTTAAAATATTAGCAGCCTCTCATATACCATGACATACCAATTAAATGTTGTTTCGTTCAGATATATGAATCAAATATGCAGAGAGAGAGAGAGCGAAAGTACCAAAGAATGTACTATATGCCACAAGAACACGAAGACAGAGCATACTTTCTAACTAAATATATGCCACAGGTATCAGCCATGACAACTTCTCCTGTTTCAATAGATATCGTTTACTAAAGTAAATCAGTTTTATGCAAAGAAAAGTGCACAAAACTTTATTCCTCTTTCCTTTTACTTTTCTCTCAATCTCATGTTTCAAGCATTTATTAGCATGTTCTGCTTCGTTTTTTATAACTCATTTGTTACGTATATACCCTCTAATACTTATACAACTAGAGTTGACAGTCCATATCACTACAGTGACGGCAAGTATAAGATTTTACGGTTGACATGATAGTTGAGCCTGAGATATCTTAGCGGTCAACAAAAAATTGTAATGTCTAAACACTTCTTGAAAATAACTAAAAAGTAAATGAACTTCTCATTGACTTGAAATATTCTTATATTATTTTATATATATAAAAGTCACTAAGAAAGTGCAAATAGTTGTCCTTTCATCTGTCCGTTGTCAATCAAGCGATGTTGTGTAGCACATTCATCAACTTTTGATTTGAATTCAGTATATCGGGATTCATCTGTGTTGCGGAGTAGGATTTTGATCGATGCATATGACATATGTAGTATTTTAAAAGTTACACAAACAGCACAAGTATTATGAATACATTGCGCTACATCGCTTGGCTTTCATTTACTCTTTTCTGCTGGCAAGCATACAAAATGGATTAGTCTTGATCTTTTATGATTTTATGGCTGATATGACGAAGGACCAATTCATATTGATTATTTATCAGTGCTTTCTGTCTTTGTTCATACAGATCTGTATTATTAAATCAGTGAATGATTAATAAACTATTCAGAAATTCTTGTTGCTTTTTAAGTAGAAACTTAGCAGAGATATGACATTGAGAAAGACACTTATGAGTGCACCATATCATGGCATATTGCGTTACCTAAAAGCCCTGAAAACATCTTCAGGTAGAGTATACTTTATTTGAACCGATGCCGTATATACAAAACTTAAATATCTGACCTCTCAGAAGATCAACTGCCGATAGATTCAATTATTAGCAGCTCATAAGCCTGGATTCATTTATCGATGTACTAATTCTTTGTTCGACATCATTACTTGACATATAAATAGTGCTGCTTATCTCTTTTTTTTATCATGTGAGCAGTACCGAGCATCACAAATATCGGTGTCGACAAAATATTGTATATGTTTATCATTCTTTCGTTCACACTAAAAATGAGAAAATACCTAATAGTATACATAATTAAAAACTAGCCAATACAGAACAGTGACTTGGACACTTGCTTGTTGACACACAATACAAACAAGCAAATGGTTTTTATCATTGACCCCCTCCATAATAAAAAAAGAGAGGCATGGGTATGTTGTGATTTATAGATCAGAATTAATTACTTAACGTATACATATAGAATATAGAACCATTTCAACATTGACACTGATGAATAGTATCACCAAATACAGATAGAGCAGTTTATAGGCTCGAATATGCGCTGGAAACATAGGTTTCAAGTGTCACTAAAGCTATAGCCTTTGCTAATATAGGCACTCGTTCTATCCTACGACATTTATATATATATATATAACGACTTCCTTCTTTATGCACACTGATAATAAGTTATTATGTGTTCAAATTCATCTTTCCAGTTTAACATGTGTACTTCTCCTTCTCTTTTTCGTGTTCTCTCTGTTCGGTTGATTGGCGCGCGTCGAAGAAGGGGAATGAAACAATAAAAGGAAGAAGAATATTCAAATAAACCAGTTGATATCCCGATATAATATAATCATCCTTGTTACAGTCCCCATATACGTATTCATATCCACACGCACACATTGCGAGTAACTATTTGCTCAATCATAGCCAGCTCATAATCATTTTATGAAACACGATCTGAAAGCAGTGTTGCAGTATATAGGGTAGGAATTTGAACCCACCCACCCCCTCCCCACCGACCGTTACAGAGAAATTAGTTAATTGGATACTTGCTTAATTAATTAATCATTTATTTATTTTCTCTGTAACGGTTTGTGATGGTTTCTAGAGACTACATACATCATCATACAGGCCATAACGCAGAAGCTCCACAGACCATCACCGCCCGTGATTGACGGATTCCAGAAAAGGAGTTTCATCGTGTTTCACATTTTAATCCCACATGGATTGCGCTAAAAGCTTTTTTCTTTGTAGAGATATTTTTATTTGAACACCAAATAACATGCATAAAATAAACTATTGACTAAATTTAAAATTAGACAAAATATCTAGAATGATGTATCAAAATCAGTTGTTACTTCGATTTATCATTATCGCGACTAGTTTTTTTAAAATTTTATTTTCATATTTTTATTTGCCACATTATTGCAACGAAACATCCTATGCAAATTTTTGGATACATATGCGAAGTTTAATAAATAGCCCATTAGATGTGAATTTCAAATTCGAATTTTTAATTGATCAAGGTTATTGCGATTTTAGCTGAAATTCATTCTTACATCTAGATTTACAGGTAGACATCCCTCCTAATATGAATCATTTAAGTCATAATCATAAAGAATATCTAGAAAAACTTTCTAATCAGCAAATACCAACATATGACCAAACTGAAAATTGGAAATCGCAAACATCCGGTAGCATTCAAATAAAAACTTTGACTAATAAAATCCTATTTTTATTTATTTCTGAAGTATGGTATACAACACATTTTTGTAACCAAATATGTGATTCCGATTGAAATTTTCTCTATATCGAAGCGTTCAATTCTAATTATCATCGAATTTCTTATGATTTATACACGAAAAATGGAAAAATCATTCGAACTCCCGAACTTCTACCTATTCAACAATCGATAATAAATACATGTTGTTCAGGACCTAAGAATGTGCGTGGCATTATGAATGAAAACAATGAATTATTTCTTATGTTCAATATGATTGATTCTGGTAAACAAGAAAACGTCTGATCGTATAATGTTTTTATTGACGAACAAACATCTTTATTGATACAACGTAATTTATCTGAAAAGAGCAATGATCATTGGATTCCATTTATCAAAAATGATAAGTTCCATTTTTCTATATATTCACTTAAACCATTAAATGTTTTAGAATGCTCTATTAATCTTAGTGAATGTAAGATTATGTCAGGAACACAAATTGTCAATAATTTTAATGGTTTAGCAGATGGAACACAATTTATCCGATATCGAAATTCAGATTATTTTGTTGGACTTGCTTATACGAAAGTGTCGTGTAATGAATATGACTATTTCTATCGACCTCATGTCATTCTTTTATCAACTATTTTAGAACAATGCCATTTAGTATATGTTAGTGAGCCTATACTGTTGGATGATATTCCGATGTTAGATTCATTTTCAAGATTGCATGATAAAAATACATCAAATTTCTGCTATGGAACTATTCCAAAGTTAGTTTCTGAATCGCTTATGAGTTGAGAATAGTCAAATGATAAGCTTTCTTTTACTATTTCGACTAACAATCAAAAAACGTTTCTTGTTAATATCATTGGTATTGGTAAAATTGCTCAATCGATTATTTTTGCTATTGAAAAAAATTAAACAAATATTTTAATAGATAAAAATCTTGGCATTAAAATGATTTCATATAGTGAAACAACTGCATTCGATTATTGTAAATCATTGACGGAAAAGAATAAAGTCAAATTTGAAAAAGATTTTATGGAAGAACAAAATATGAAAAAAACATTATCAAAGATGTTATTGACAGTCCTACGTATCCTTAATTTCGAGTTGCTTCCAATACAGATGCTGCAACATTAAGATCTTATATTCAAAACGATGAGGCCAATTTCGGTATTATCGATAGATATTTAATCGACTACGAATCAGATAGTAGACACTCAGGACAAGATACTAGTATGATGATTGATGCTGGAGGAAATCATGGAACTTATGCCTTGTACGATGCAGCACTCAATCAAAGTGTTCATATTTTTGAAGTGCTGCCGAAATATTGGATTGTCATAGAAGAATCTCTTCGCAAAAATATCCACTTTCAAAAGATGATTTATTTACATAAGTTTGGAGTTAGTGACGAGTAGGGTGTGGGTATGGGTGCATGGTTCTGTCTTATTCTACACCCAGACCCTATTTACGAAGCAGATCTACTCAGAAATAATCTCAATTCTCTGTTGTTCTGCGCCAATTGCGCACAAAGGTCAGAAAAATCAATTAATAAGTCTGATTTCTCTTTTTTTTATTCCATAAAAACGATGTCGTTATACGTCATACTTTCGACTAGCTATTTTCTTTTGAATAATAACATAAAAATAATATTCAGTAATAGAGAAAAAAAATTCATGAAGGCGTAGTTGTAATGAAACATTGTAATTTTCCAACTTCGAGCGTAAACAAAAAAGACCACAGCAGTGTTTGAATAAGAGAGATTGCATAAATTTGACTGTAGGCGACTCTCAAACAAAGAACGATCCTGTCGCATTCTACGTCATCTTAAAAAAAACATCCACGGACAATAATACAGAGTTTTTACTCAGTGTTTTCACGTCTCATATAAATACTTGATGGAATTATTCAACAGTTAAATTTCTATTACTGTCTGCAGTTGTGCTACACAAGCTGCCAACATGACTCAGATAAGTAACATACAGTTAGAAGAATGCTCATATGTATTGGAACTAGCGATGGGGATGAACATAATTAAAAAAAACTCCGATGATACGATCTTAAAGAGGAAGCGTGAATATAGATTATACTAAGGCTGTCCGCACGTATTTTCGCTAGGATAAAATGATGCTACAATTTAAAGAAACATTTCATTCCATCCCATGTCGCATATGTGTATTTTCATCCTGTTTAGGGATGTAACAATACCATTCGGAGACACATAGAGATTGTCAATTGTCACAATGAAAATCGGCAATCTTTATTTGTCTCCGAATGGTATTGTTACATCCCTAATCCTGTTAGATCGAACATTATACGATTGTAACCTGGCTAGTTCTTATTTTCTAGATACCATCGTAGAATCCATAATTATTATTCAGCTATGAAGGAAATCTGTTAAGTTAAAAGTATATACTCACGAGATCATTTTGTCATGTAGAATACAAATCATCTCCTGAAATCTAGAAAACTATCTACATCATGCAAAAAAATGTTTTTCTTAGCCATTTGGAGTTTGTAGGTGTTCTAGAGATTGATGGTTATAGTTAGATACACATTTAACAACATAAACAAATTCATGCCTTGCCTGGCTCCATATATGAATACCTTTCATTACTTGTTTTTGTCTCTGTAGAATTTGCTACGAATCGAAAAAACAATGAATACATTCACAGATGCTTACGATGAAAAAATTCGTCCATTGATGGACAAAATTGATCAAGCTCGATCCTTATTGTCATCGAATGATGATGGTATTACATTGCCGAATGTTGTTGTTGTCGGTGATCAGTCCAGTGGAAAATCAACACTGCTAGAAGCATTATCATTAGTTGAACTTCCAAAAGGCTCCGGTATCGTCACGAGATGTCCATTAGTATTAAGATTACGTAAATCTAATGTACGAAGACTATATCGTGTAAATGATACCAATAAAACTCTACTCGACGAAAAAACTACCAACGTACTGAAATACATTGAAGAAGAAACAAGAAAGTTGGCTGGTAATAATAAAAATGTCGTTAAAGATTTGATTGAGCTGCAAGTGGACGATCCTAATGTACGAGATTTGACCGTAGTCGACTTGCCGGGCATCGCGCGTAATCCTATCGCCGATCAACCGAAAGATATTCATAAACAAACAACAGATTTAATTCGCCATTTCATTCGCCAAGAGGGTAGCGTTATTTTATGCGTCTTTCCTGCTAATGTTGACATAGCAACAGTTGAGTCATTTACAATAGCACGTGAATGTGATCCGACAGGAGAACGAACGATTGGTGTTATAACAAAATCTGATCTTGCTGCAAATCATGATATCTTGATACAACAGCTGCTAATGGATCGAGCAGATGTACTTCATTTGAAGTTAGGCTTCATTGCTGTCCGTAATCGCAGTACAGAGGAAAACATTTCATTAGAAGATGCACGTAAGCGTGAAAAGGAATTTTTTAGTCAACATCCTGCGTCGAGTATTGCTGGACATTGTCTTGGCATTCATTCACTTATTAATCGTTTAGCTGATTTATATTCTGATCGCGTCAAAGAAACATTTCCAAAAATGCGAGCCGAAGTACAGAAGAAGTTAAAAGATGTTCGCGAGCAATTGTCGAAGTTTCCGCCAGATTTAGGATCCACCTCAGCTAGATTAGCTAAATATTATGAACTAGCTGATTGGTATGCAGAAAATATCATTGGAATGCGCTTCAAGAGTTCGGATGATGGTCAGCAGAAAAGCATGATTAACAAGTTGCATCATAAACTCAAGCAAGTTCAAGAAATCATGGAGAGAAAAGATGCGGACCTTTTTTCACCATCATATCGTTCAAAAGTTAAAGAAGCCATGTCAGCATGCTTTGGTGAGCAATTACCAAATTTTCTACCCCATCCCGTATTGAAACAGTTCATATGCAAAAAACTAGATCAACTCTGGGTCGTGATCGACGTACTCATCAAAGAAAGTTTTCGTATGACATGCCAACTACTATTAGAAAATGATAAAGATGCATGCAAAGATGATATTTTATTGTTGAAATTATTACCTACATTTCGTCAAGTTACTTATGCGTACTTGACGAAAAAGCAGCAAACAATATGTGATCAATTACAAGAACTACTCCGAATAGAAAAGATTGAACCTTATACTCTGAATGATGTCTACATGACTAAAATTAATAAATTCAAAGAGCATGTAGCAAAGTGTAAATCTAGCAACACAGGTGAGGCAAAGCATTCTCCAGGGACACATAAATATGACGACGACGACGACGATGAATCAGTATATGATGCTATCTCGAACGATGACCAAGCAGTGCAAGATATGATAATTAGCATATACTGGTATTGGAAAGTTTTATTCAAACGTTACATGGACTATGCCGCATTGTCTGTACGTGCGGGATGTGTTTTGGACACTTGTTCTGGTATACGAGAATGTCTAAGGCAAACTCCTGTTGAACAACCTACTTACGTCGATGCAGTACTTGCCGAGGACACATATGTTCGAGCTCAACGAGAGCAACTACAACAAAAGCAAGTACGTTTGGAAAAAGTGGATGCTATACTTGGTGGCGGTCGGATGCCCATCGGTGACGATGTTACGTTAGTTAGTGGCGCAACGTTGCTAGAAAATTCACCATTGATGACATTAGATAAACTTGCAGAAAGTATGACTCTCTCTCGCGAAATCAACACTACTAGTCCATCAACACCTGCATCGACATCGACTACATCCAGTTAACAAAATATTCCAAATGCTGCAGCAATAGCTCTAACAAATCTTACTTCAATCTTCCTACAGCAAGAAAAACATAGACGTAAATGAACGAAAATATTCTTCGAAACCGCTCTTCGCACAGCAGGTCATCGAATAAGCATAGGCCTTGAACAATACACCTTTAGATTTACTAGTGATTTCCTAATTGTAGTGAAACATCATTTTTGAGAGTAGTGAATAAATAGTTTGAATAGCAAACCTATTGAAATGCACATTTGTTCACAATTAATAATGTGGAGCGGTTCAAAGGTAAAGACTCGACATGGGATTGATGCAAGTTCATTTATTTAGTTGAAGCAGTCATCGAAATACTCTTAATCCTGTAGAATGATTTAAATAGCATTGATCTATCTAAGAAAATTATATTCTAAAACTGTGGCACTAAAAGCACTTAACTTATTACCGAAAATAGAACCAGTCTTTCGTACTTTAGAAAACAATCAATACAAATTTTCCCCTCGTAGAAATACTATGGTAATAAGGATAATCTATATTATGCATATATCGACTATAATTCAGCTTGATTGTCTGTCAATCTACTTAATAAATAGACTTTATAATATGTTCAAATTGCAGTTTCTACGAAGTTCACGTCTATTCAATCGATTTTATTTTATTTTCTGTTACGGATCCGCTACTTTTTGCCCATGTAGAAAACAACGAAAAGATTTTAACAAAATCGCCAGTCTATTTCATCGTTCATTTCAATTTATAATTATCTCCTAAATAGCATTACTTTACCGACTTTTAATAAGATTCTTTCCTTGTTACCAGTTAAATACATACCAAATTTTCAGATGCGGCTGTTATTACGTTATTTTCATTGTCAAGTTTTTCATATTCCAATAAAATATCAGCGCGTTGGACGTGGGATAGTTCGTACAGTCACATAATCAGAGAAACGATCAACAGTGAAAAAATAAGGTTTAGACGAATAAAACATTCTAGCTCTCAAGATTCAATATAACGGGTGGGCCATAAAGAATGAGGGTCTCGATATTTCTTGCATATCTCGGTCAATTTTCATTCGTTCGTCCTAATTTTTTTTTCAAAACATTCGTCGTTCAATTCTCTACAAAACCATCTACTTTTATTATCTCAAGTAATTTCCTCTATTTTGAGACAATCGATATAATCGATTAGTCCAAGATGAGCAACTTTCAAAGACAACATCTTGAGAAATTTTACGAACAGCACGTTTCAAAGCGGTGATTAGAGTTCTTTTAGATGTCACTGCATCCCAGTTGATCAGTTGAGCAAATTCGTTCCAAATGCAGTAATCCAATGGGTTCAAATCAGGACTGTTCGGAGGCCAATCGTTCGCACCAATGAATGATGGAAAGTGTTCGGCACACCATTCTTGTGATTTTGCATGGGTGTGTGGCTTTGCACCATCTTGTTGGAAGGTCCAATCATTCCCAAACGTGTCGTTGCCAAACTTGAGAGCAATTGGAAGCACCTCCTTTATGTACCTTTCATGATTGACTGTCCCATTCTCGAAAATCACTAAAGGTGATACACCTTTAGAACAAACTCCAAGCCAAACCATAACTTTTTGCGGAAATTTTCGTTTTTGCCGAATACCACCGTTGATATCGGCTTCTGAACGATTAGCCGCCCATATTCTGTCGTTTTGAGAGTTATAGACTCCATCAATGTCGAACATTTTCTCGTCTGAAAACAGAATATTCATAGTGTCTTCTTTTCGGAAATTTGTTCGTATCCAATTTGCAAACTTTATTCTTTTTTCTTTATGCTCATCAGTGAGCAATGGTTCTTTTTGTATCTTATATGCCTGAAGTTCTAGATCATTTTTGAGTATTCTCCGAATACTTGTTCGAGAAATACCCAATTCACGGGCTATTTTTCGAGAGGATACAGATCTTCGACGTTCCACTCGGTTTTTGATCTTTCGGATGGCTGCTTTGGTTCGGATTGTTCTCGGACGACCGGGTGACGTTGATAAATTGATACAGCCCGTATCACGAATGCTTTTGCACCACCGTTCTATTGTCTGAAGACTAATGGCACCGTTGAGATCTCGAAAAATCTTTGTCGGTCCATCACCATTTTCGTACTTTGAAAGTACGAGTTTTTGAAGGTCTTTACTTTTCATAATATTAAATAAAACTAATCTAATCCAATTCAAGAGAAAGTACCCAGTTTTGTAGAGAATTGAATGGTGATTCGTTCGAAAAAAAATTAGAAAGAACGAATGAAAACTAACCGAGATATCCAAGAAATATCGAGACCCTCATTCTTTATGGCCCACCCGTTAAAACGGACAGAAAACTTTACATACGTCTGATCTGTAAAACAAATCATTCTATGAGAAATTAAATTTTAAAAAAATCATAATCACTGAATCCTCTTGTTATCATCGACCAATGATTGCTACTATTACTACAGACATTGGCGCACTTAAAAATAATACAAATCTCTTTATGTGGAATAGATTATGTCAGTCATTAATTAAAATTTGTTATTTTGCCTGTTTTGAAATTCATTCTATATGTCATATACATATTACTCAATAACATAATTATGCGTATTTGATAGGTTCATATTCTTGTTAAATTGTCGAAGATAAGCAACGCAAAAAAGATTACTTCAACTATTTTATGAGTCTGCTTCTTTCTAAGTAGATTGAATGCAATATCATTTCATGCCATTGTCAACTACTAAAAATTTGAGGTGGATTTTTAGGTTATAGATTATTCTTTGGTACTGAAATGTCGTAGAGGAAAATATTTATTATATGACTTGACTCATTGACTCTTTGCGTACTTTTGGTCGCATTGAAGAAAATGTCGACCTAAAACCTAGATGTAATTGAAATCAATGAGACAATAGGTATCGTCACTTATAAATATGCCCAGAAACAAGATGTATAACAGCTATATACAGCGAAGAAAATACTCACGATTTAATATCGAAGTTATATACAAGTAATAAAAATGCATTCAAAAACGTTCCACCATTAATGCCTTACTGATTGATTTTCCTACGTTATCTTAAAGTATTTAAAAAATTGTCATTCCAACGACGAATACTTCTAAATTTTATTTCAATTTTATACTCATTAGCATTAAAGTTTATTCTTAATCGATTTTCATTAATGAATGTTTATTTATTTTTCGTGTATCATCGAACAAAAACAATAGATAATCAAATTTGAAGAGTTTATCAATTACTGAAAAAACAAATGCATACACTATACACATAATACAGCGATTTTTTTTCAAGTCCATAACTGAGGTGACATATTTTTCATTAGAATTATCGAAAGAAAAAGTTTTTTTACTATAAGAGAAAAAGAAATGGCAATATGTTCTCTTTTCTTATATTCTAGTGTTTCAGCAATTAACTTAAAAAAAGAGCTTAGTATAGAATAATGTGCGTTGGCAATATGAGAAATAATATCAAAAATTCTATTCACATGATTATCTACCCCCTATTTTTGAAGTAGGTAATCTTGATTATAGTTCAAAAAGAAACATAACCAGCTTCGTTTCAAACAGAAATGTTCATCATTTAACTTCTTGTTGTGATATACAGACTTTTGCTATGCTCATTACACGCATAGTAGTTCCGGTAAAACCATAAGAAAACTTTCTTCAACAATCAATTTATTTCGCAGGCCATATTAATTACGGCTAATATACTAATATTGGTATTGTAACTAAGACGTTTTCATTTACTTTTAGGTATTCTTGTAAGATTTATCAGAGTATTTATTTTTGTTTGCAGACAATATATAACTATTCAACTATTTTGGCTCTACTATGTCAAAGGAAGTTTCTGAAATAGAGATTGTTACTGATGCAGTGAGTTACTACGGACTGATTATTGTGTTAGCTTTCGGAACTTTCGGTTGTATTTGTAATTTTATTACTTTTACAGCATCACAATTACGAAAGAATCCTTGTGCCTTCTATTTTCTTGGTTCAACTCTGTTTGATTTATTATCGATGACATTCGGAGTTAGCACTCGTTTTGCTGCGGATCATTTTGATAGTAATCTACACAGTTCAGATCGAGTCTATTGTAAACTTCGTGCTTATCTAGTCTCGACGATTCCATTGGTATCGATGTATTTAGTTTTATTATCGTCTTTCGATCGATGTATGTCATCTTCGGTTAGTGTTCGTTTTCGTTCATTTAGTCAAATGAAAATAGCTTATCGTGCGACGGCCATAGCTATTGTTGTTAGCTTACTCTCATGCTCTCATATTCTTTATTCATATGATCTTCGACCAGTATGCGCAACTATGCCCGGTCCTTATGCTATGTTCGACGGGATTTTTTTAGTCGTTTGGTTGGGTATAATTCCTCATGGGCTAATGCTAACATTTGGTTTTACTACCGTCATGAATATTCGACAAACAAAACGACGAACAGCGGTTCACTGGCAGACAGTAGGCATCGCAGTTTTCAGTGCAACTCAAAGTATTGAAAGAAAAAAAAATATTCAATTAATTATAGTGAGTGATATATGATAGTTTTCTTTTTTTAGTAGTAATTTATAAATATTGGATTTTGAAATGAATCTTTTTTGTTGTTTTCTTCAATAGATGATGCTCGGTCAAACCGGACTAAGTTCATTATTAATACTCACTCGTATGATTTCTTATGCTTATTATATATTGAAACCAAGAGCTACTGGATATCAACGATTAGTAGACAAATCTTTAATGTCGTTTACAATTATTCTTTATTATACTAATTTTGCAAAATCATTTTACATGTACACATTAACAAGTCATCTATTTCGGTCAATATTTATGGAAAGAATCAAATCATGTTTCCAAACAATCTTCGGTCAATAGTTACCGTTTATATTCAATAACTGGTGGTACTCGAAAAATACATGAACACCAATGACTGAAATTTTTAAACTTGTACATTGGACGGGCAGTGCATTGATTACTGATGTTGTAAAATAATATTGTCTTGTGATTGTATGGAATAGTTTTCGTAGATAAAATTTACATGATTTCAACTTTAGTGAACACGCGGGTCGAACATTAAACTTTCTAAGATTATCTATTTTTCAGTTAGAATCTAAGAGAATTTGCTTGCTTTGTGCTTTCTCTGACATCGAACCTATTTGAAGAGTTGCCAAACATCACATTCTGCTCGAAAATATTCGCGTAATGTTATCTTTGCGTGTAGGTTTTCAATGTCGATCTTATCGCCAGCTTCATTACTCTAGCAGAACTCTTTATGTGATCGAAGAAAGTTTTCATTCCCTACGTTTTTTCTTTATTGTCGCATATTTTACAGTTTTTTCATTGGTTTAGTCTTTCGCAGTTTTGCCAAAAAACGTTGTAATGTTTATTTATTACTGTTCTCAGATAAAATTATGCCCTATCTTTGCTGTTTTCTTCTGAAAGAAGCAATCCAATACGAAATAATCTAAACGATGCAACGGCGGTTAGATGAATATTCAGATGATAAATGAAGACATTCATTGTAGTCAATGCAGGTGTCAAAACGTGTTTGCATTGAAACGATCTTCGTGTTGAGTGCCGAATCGTTCACATAGAATTAAGTTTCGAAAGGCATGAAAAGCAGAACTCGGAATAATACCGTTCAAAAAACGAGTCATGAGGGAAGAAGAGTTGACAAATGTTTTAATATGTTTCACAGACTTCACGGTGCTTTCAACTGAGATAATACAAATATTACTCATACTACATACAATTTCTTTCCCTTTCTCTCATTACTTCATATTTCTGCAGAATGTTGCAAGTACTGCATTCAACCGCGTGGTTAGATGCAAAATATTTATTTAGTCCGTATCTTACAAAATCATTTTCTTCCAGATTATTCTTTATCATGAGTGTGAACAACGACAAAGCTGTAACACATTTACTTGACCTACCAAACGAATTATTTCCGGACTTGCTAATTTATCTCAGTGCAGGAGAAATTCTCAAAGCATTTCTTGAACTGAGCGAACGCAATTCACGACTTGCTGCTCTCATTGGATCGTTTCTATCTTATACAAACTTATCTCATCAGTCGAATTTTTGGTTGACTACTCGTCTACCTAAATTCAGAGAAATTATCTATTCGGCATGCGTTACTACTCGGCAATTATTATATCTACGCGATTTACCATCGTTAGAAACGTTAAAAGTTGTTGAAATTCATTCGACAAATGGTTTGGACACTGCACTTCGAGTTTTAGGTACTCGATCTCCAAAATTGTATTCGCTCAAACTTAATTTTACTTTAAAAAATGATAGTTATCACTTGACTAATAACTTCGATATTCCATTGGAAGAGTTGGATCTCTCATTTCGATGTTCTTTCACTCCAACAGGCTCAATGGTTGATTCATTACGTCATTTAACCTTACGTTTAAATGGCATGAGAGATTTATTTCAACTTGGTCAACAATTACCAATGATTGAATCATTGTTAGCCTATGTAAATAGATCAGTGTATTGGATTTCTGAATCCGTGGAACAATTTGATTCATTTACAATTATTTCCCCGCATCTAAAACGGGTTGGTCTCTATTCTCGAGAGTATGCAACATTCAGATGAGCTCCATCTGGTGTATAAATGACTTCTTTTTGTTATGATTTGTTTAGATATGAACCAAGATATCGGTATGAATTCGAATATTTTGAAAAATTCGTGCATGGATGTTCGTCATCGCTTGAATATTTAATACTTGATTTAATTTTACTGAATCAACCCAACGCATCGACAAGATTCCATTCAACAAAAATCGTTGATGGTGACCGACTCGAACAAGGAATGATAGCAGTTTTACCTCATCTAAAAAAATTCGAATTTCGTTTTGAATTCGAAATTCCTGTTAAATTTATTGAAAAATATCAAAATTCATTCGCAAATGAACTATGGAGACAACGATGTATTGTAATTGATTATTCAGTTTCAGGTATACAAATATATAAATAGGCAAACTTTATTTCGGTTGATTCATCGAATTGATGATTTCAGATTTGAACATTATTCATTTTTTGTTTAACAGAAACTCTTCCTGGTTCTGATACTACCACAATGAGTGTCTTTTCTATCATTGATACTGCAACAGTCTTTGAGCAATTATCAATCGATTCGTCAAGAATTGCCAATTGGCATTCAAACATTAGTTTAGCTGTATATCACAGTCGAATTCGACTCACTACTGTGCGTAGTATAACTATTTTACCTTCAAATAATCAGGCTATTCTCACTCTCGATCTATTCATTTGGATTGCGACTTCATTTCCTCGGCTTCGTCGCTTGGAACTTGTACAAGGAACGCATTGGCAACTTGAAGATGAAAGTGTGTCCTATCCAAAACTTAAAAGTATTCAAGTTCTCTGCTTCCGTAGAGAATTCTCTTTTCAACTGATCCGTCGTTTTCTTCTCATGTGCCCCCGAGTAAAACACTTGCAACTATCAAAAGCGTCACTCAAAAAAATGTTTACGGAACCAAATGTACGTCGTGATCTGTATCTGAAGAGTATTTATCATCAAATAGTAGCAATTGAATTGAATGGTTCGAGCGATGTTTTTGACTTTCAGCAACAACTTCATGATTTTTTCCCACTTGCTAAACTTATTTAGTAACACTTTTTTTAACAGACATAGAATTTTATTGGCATTCGAAATCGAAGAATCTCCAAAAAATCATGTCTAATGTCGGTCTTTTATTTTCTTTTTCGTGAAAAAATAATTCTTTAATAAAATCTACAAGTCAACGACTATATCATATCACGAGATGGCTTTTCTGAATACGTGAGATGCTGCGTCTTGTAAAGTTTCTGTTTTATCGATTTCAAAAGGTAGTAAACTTATCACGGAGATCAATATCATGAAATCATCGAATGTATTAAGTTCTATAAAAAACGAAATTTCTTAGCATAAATAAATCAGTAGGAAAAGTCATTCGCGCATAGTTGACCACCACTAGCGAGGTCAAAGGAAAAAAATCTGTTCACTAGTCTACCTACTAATCCATAGTTGCACAAGACAAGATCGATGCCGAGAAATCGAATAGTTGTCTGGCAATGAACTTCGCAACCACACTAAAAGTTCATCGTCCGAAGAAAAAGTTAAATTATTGCTCCATAATTCACTTCGACATTCACAATTCAATGCTCGAAGATTACACATGTTACGAACAAGATCGAGAATAATACTTCGATCATCAATTCGAATTGTAAGAACTTCACATTGACGTCCGAGCGATGAATTAGCTAATGTAGAACATTGCTCAGCATTCAAATAGCGATTCATTCTAGTACAGTAGCTTTTCAAATGAATCCGACAAAGCGATGGATGACTGATATTCATTTGTGCCAATTGTAGACATGACGTTGGATCAATTCTTAAATATTTTAGACGAGGTGCTCGATCGAGTAAAACTTTTAAATACGATTTCGATTGACTATTTCCTCGTATTTCAATGATTTCCAATGATATTAAATGATCCAATGTTGGAATGATAGTCCAAAAATAATTATCGACAGAAACTCTCAAGGTCAGATGACGAACGTTCGGATAGACTATGGGAGATAAGGTTAAATTATCGATACGTCCGTTATAAAATACGTTCATCACTCGATCATAAGAATTATAATCACAAGTATTAGGACCAGTCGTTTTCGACCATTGATTCTGATGAATAACATGAATATCACCGAAACAATAAGGTAAAGTATAGAGAAGAAAAAGTTTCTTCGAATGTTGTGGCCAATCACATCGAACAAACCATTGATGTTCGTCGAGCCAAAATGGAGTTCGAAAGGTATTCAATATATCGTCAAGTTGTTCTTCTACGTTATTATTTTTAATCGACAGAACTTTCATTAGAAATCGAAATCTCTTTATTTGAGGTACACAATCGATTAAGATTTGTTTCCATTGATTTCCGTTCAAATTAATTGTTTCTGTTTCGAATGTTAAGTATAATAAGTTAGGCATACTTTTCAAGATATGTGTCAACGAACAGACCGAACCATCAAAATGAATTTTTAAGCGAGTAAGCAATTTAACAGGCGGAATTCGAAATAATTCAGTGTTAATAGGCTGTCCAAATTTAATAAAAAGATGTCGAACAGACGGTACCGAATGCAATAGATAAGCGAGTTCAGTTGAAGAAAATGTGAAATTTTTTATCGATAAATATTCAATGGATTTTGACATAATGGAGAACGTAGCAAAAGTGAATGTATGTTCGAAAATAATATCCAATGTACAGTGTGTAAGTTGCTTTAGACTCCAAATATTTAAAAATAATTCGTTGGGACTAGTGTAGGATGTAAGGTGACATTTAATAAACTTCAGATGAGTAAGATACGGAAGATACAAACAATCTAATGTGATATTGACAAGTGTACTCGATGTATCAATGTTCTGAATTAGAAGTGATCGTAGATGAGTAAATTCATCGAGTGTAAGACAATACGGAATGAGATGCTGAGACAATTGTGGAGTTTCTTCACCATCTGACAAACAAAGTGAACTGACATTATCAATAATTAATGGCAAATATTCTTCGCACATAAGATGAAAATTTGCTTTGGAAATCGAACGAAAATCCAACCGATACGAACAAAACTGAACGAAGAGAAGTTGATTGAAGCGAGTATTAAGACTTTGAAAACTACGAATGAGTTGAATCGGATCACAGAATTCGAATAGGTCTAGTAGTAATTCGTTGGGCAATTCTTCGAACTTCATTATTTTGAACTTTTTCCTGCAATAGAAAAATGTCGGGTCGTATTGCTTATTCGGTAGACATAGTATTTGTAACGAAAAGAAAAAAACGTGTCTTCATTACAACATATTGCTTGAGATTTTCTTCCTTCTGACGTGAGATGAGTGTCTACTCATGCAGTGATTCACATTATTCTCTTTCTTACTCATGACGAGGATTGGTTAGAAGAGAAAAAAACAACTCGTTTTAAGTAATAATGATTTTTCCACTTCCTTACCTTCAAAAATGTTCGCCAACAACAAACTTTTCATCTTGGAAAGTATCCAGCACGTAAGCAGTTTATTGCTGGAAAAAATTGAATAATTAATAACTGAAGATATAGATAGAGCCAGTTTACACCCTTGTCCAAATATGAAAATTGTTTGTTTGAATAACTTTTGCTACGTAATCTTTCATGTTATTGGTCAGCATGAGTATTAGGATTGTTATCTTCAGAATGTAAACTGACATCAAACTTTATTATTAGTATCGATAAAGTGCTCTGGTACTGTTTATTTGCATTGTAACGTACATTATTCTTATATTAGAAAATAAGAATAATGTTTGTATAATTCAACTGAAAGTTTTCATTGAAGCAACTCATCGAACAAGTCTGAAGGCATACTTTCTTGTTCGATAGTCTCATTATTGGATATTATGTAAAAAAATATCGAATATTTTTCTCTCTCTACTCTATCCATTGAGAACCACTTCAATATTTCGTGTTCAAAACGTGAAATAAGAAAGTCGTAGTAATCATTACACGCTTGTGCCACGTTTTCGTATCTGAATTTAGCCAGGTAACTTTATATTATCTCTCGCCGTAATAAAACCAACATGAGAGACATGTAGTCATATCGTCATTTTGATTCTTCTTTCTGTAGGTGTTCGTGCACGCAAATATTTTATTATATATTTACTCATCACTTATTTCAAACATCCATTATTATCGATCGTAAAAACTAGACGATTCCAAATGTAAATGTATTTTCTTCCAAGAGTAAAATAAACATTTTCTTATTTCTCTATGTGATTTTAGGGATCCTCGTTTTACTGATGAAGCAATTGCTTATTGCCAATTGACTGCATCACTCTTACAACCATCGAATGGTTTGTCAGCTGAGTTTTTACGAAAATTTTTCGAAGATGTTCATGCTAAAGGCAATGAAAAACTTATTGAAACATTCACAGGCTCGCTTGAAGAGAGAAAAGTAACGACAAAATCTGCAGGTATATCTACATAGACTTGATCGAATATATGTTTTATTATCATCATATTTAGATATACCAATAAATATTTATACACCAATCGATGCTGAAAAAGATAAATTAGTTATTTACTTTCATGGTGGAGGTCAGATCGTGTTTAAATGTTAAGTTCAATCGATCGTTATCTTTTATATTAGGTTGGACATTGGGAAGTCGAAGCACACATCAATCTATTGTTAATCTCGCTGCAGAGTATGTCAATTTCTTTGTCTTTCTATTCAATAAACACGGTGTTCATGATCTAGTTTGACAAAAACTATTTGGATTTCGGTCGAATATCGTCTAGGTCCAGAATACAGATATCCAATCTGGCTCGACGAGTCATGTGATGTGACTCGACATATCATTGAAAATAAAGAATTCTATGGTGTTGTTTATATTTTCTTTGCATCTAAACTAGATAGTTATTTTTCATGTAGGCGTTGATCAAGCAGCAAAGATCGGGGTGGTAGGTGATAGTGCTGGAGCTATGATTAGCACATCTATTTGTCAGACGGTGAAAAATATTGATTTTCAGGTACAAACTTGAGTTCTGTGTGACAATATATAGATGATGACTGTTACTCTCTTAAATAACAGGTTCTCATTTATGGTTTGTACGATTTTACTCGTACAGCACCATCTTACAAGGAATTTACTGATCCACAGTATGTTTGCACTCCTGAATTGCTTGATTGGTATGAAACATTTAAATTCAAGTCAATATTTCGTCACGAGTAGTTTCTGCTATTTATTTTCCAGGTTCATCACTCATACATTTGATGATGGAGTTGATATGAAAGATCCTCGAATATCTGTTTTTCTTAATCCATCACCAGATCGTTTACCAGCAGCTCTATTTATTGTTGCTGAACTGGATGCTCTTCGAGATGATAGTTTCGGTATAAAGATGTTTATGATGCACACTTGAATGCATCTATTTATTGTTTCAGCATACAAAGAAATTTTAGACAAAGTCGGTATAAAGAACAAACTTTCACTTTTCAAAGGTGTTCCTCATGGATTCTTTAGTTTACCCGGTAAGAAGTTAGTTAGAAATAAAAGTAATCATCTACACGATTCTTTTTTATACAGCTATTTATCCAAAAGCATGCACACAAGCCGTAGATACTATCAAGGAATTTATGGCATCCATCTAATAAACATCTTTATCAAATTAGTTTCATTATTTTTCATTTTACAAATCGAAGGAAATCTATTAAAAATACGATTGACAGAGTCAAAAATCTTTTCATCTGTAAAACAACACCTAAAAAGTGTAGTCATCTACTTATGCGATTTAGATAATAAGAGAGACTTAGTGATGATTGAGAGAAGAAAAACCTCCGAATAATGAAAAAGATGAACTAGCACATTTTAAGCAATTATAAAACAGCGCAAACCGATTTAGTGTGGGGGTGTGGATCTTGATCTCATTCGTATCCATACCCACACCCGTTTATCTCATTCACTTAAAACTCATTTAATCTAAAAAAAAAGCTTAAACAAGTACTAAAAGCAACAAAAGAACAAAATCGAATATAAAAATATATGCGAAAAAACAACTTTTTCATTAAGTTATTTATTTATTCATTCATTCATTTGTTTATTTATTTATTCATTCATTCATTTGTTTATTTATTTATTCACTCATTGTTGATTCGCTTATCTATTTATCCTCACCCTCAAGAAGACGACTTCTGCTTCAGCTCATCTATAGCCTTTAATATCACCCGACGATGTAGTACAGTAGACACTCCTACATCTCGTAGAACTTCGTCGTCGACACTATTAATCAAGAGATATCCATCAATACCGTGTGTCAGAAAACTAGTCGTGTAGTCTTTATTAATATGCTTCAAGGATTGTAACCAGCGGCCAACGCCTTCTACATCCCATCGATCGCAATCACCAAGTATACCTAAAGCAGGAAAAAATAAAGAATATATAACGGTTAATTGATCTCCCAGTTCACACAAACTTCTTTCGACAACTTCGTATGCTCATCCTTTGCAGAACACGTCGAGCTAATGAGGGAACTTTTCGAAGTGATTCACCGCTATATTTCGCCGATAACCCACGGAAAAAAATTATACAAAACCGCGGTTTGATCCGAGAAAACCGCGGTATTATTTTTATCCCATTTAAAACCGCGGTTATCAGCGGTTTGAAAAACCGCGTTCAAGACAAACCGCGGTATGCACACTCATAACCGCGGTTTTCATTATAGCGGTTGTTAACGGTTTTCCAAACCGCGGTGTACTCGATAATAACCGCGGTGCATACCAAAGTGTCAAGGAATGTGTAAGGACATTCGAGATGTCGTGCCCCACAAATTCTGGCAAATTTTACTTATATCACATACATAATATAAGAACTCTACAAAGACACTTTGTGGAAATAGAGCTCGTTCGAGTTCACTACACTGCCCCTCGAAGGGCGCCGCACCTGAAACCTTCAAGGTACAGGTTATGATCGATACACTTACTCCTATTGAGTCTAGTGTATCGAAAAAACTGCCGTAAAGAACGGTATTAAAAACCGCGGTTTGAAGCGCCTTTTGGATATAACGGGAGTCAGACCATTTATGCGTGTCAAAAAAAGCCACCCAAAACCGCGGGAGTCACACCATTTATGCCGTTCAAAAATACCGCGTGAAACCGCGGTTTACAACGGTTTTCAGAACCGCGGTATGCGACGGTTTTGAAAACCGCGAAAGTCAGACCATCTATGCGTATCTCTAAAACCGCTGAAAACCGCGGTTCTGGGTGGTGTTAGAGATACGCATAGATGGTCTGACTTTCGCTATTCGAAAATACCCGCTGAAACCGCGTTTTTCGCGACCGCTGATTACCGCGGTTTTTTGAAAAAATTTTCTTCGTGGGGAGTAGAGGACGTGTAGACTAAAAAAGGCGTTAGAAAATAGGGGTCCATGTTGCGATTTCGGTGGTATATGAAAGTTCCATCAAAACTTTCTCTGCATATGCCTGATTTTCTCGTAAAATCACATTTTCGAATCGTGATCTGAAACTTTGCACATATCAAGGTGTCAATTAGTCTACACCGTACACAGAGGTTTACAATTGGTGGACGCAGCATCCCCACTGCATGAGTTCGCCAAAATACGCATGCTACATGTAGTGTCCACAAAAGCGTTCACGGTTTGAAATACACATATCTCGACGGTGTTACGTTCAGGTGTGGGTTTGGGTATGGGTTTGGGTGTGGGTGCGATTGTGGCTGATAGGAGAAGATATACCCACACTCACACTCTCAACCATTTTAGGTGATCGTGGATGTTTGTACACTGAAAAAAAGAGCACCACACGGAACCCGGAAAGTTTCGAATTTTCTCACTGAACTTTAAAATAATTTCGCAGATACTACGAAACTTGAAAAGGGTTTCATACTTTGAAACGAATGCTGAACTTTTTTAGGTTTAGTAAGCTTTCCACAAAACCTTCGAAAAAATTTCCTGGACTCTTGATAATAATTTTGCGACTATCTTGGGCTTTTACGAAACCTTTTTGAGGGTTTAGAATTCGTTTCAAAAATGGTTCCGTGTGGTGCTATTTTTTTCCCAGTGTAAAATTAGCTCGCCGAGATCTATCTACTAGTGTCAACAATTCTTAGTTTGGGGATGATTGCGTCTTTGCAAATATTCAACAATTATTTACAGCGCCCGGTCGAGAAGAACAGTGGTATCCCAACTTTCTTGCACCCATTGGAATACCATCCATCTGAACAACATGTCCAAGCTCCATTGTCCATACGGTATCCATCATACTGGAATCGTCCTGGGTGATAAATGGTAAGCTTTAGCGCTGGATTGTAACATCCAACGTAGCAAAATTGATTACGCCTATCATCTTTGCTTGCTTCATTTTCCTTTGCGCAGCAGCATGACCATTGATTTGTATCCATACTAAACGTCCCAATGTGTATAAAATTCTGATTTGCTCGGTACCACACAGTTGCTTTATCCATTAAATCGTTGACAATCTTATTCTTATATTGTGCATAATCTTTAATCGCCAGAGGATTCGAACTTATTTTTATCTTTTGTGCAGAATAATCTGAATGATCTTGAGGATGAGTACGAAGGTAATCCCGAAAGGCGATAAAATCGGAAGCTGAGGTATCTGATAAATTATCTACGTAAACCATATGAATGATGAACTTTTCCTGTAAAAACACATAAAAGATGAAAAAAGGGTTTAAATCTGAGGATCTGACTATACTTTTATGAGAACACCATCTACATGAAGCCAATCTTCAATATTACAGGCAAGCTTTTGAGGGCATCGCATCTGATAACCCATTTGGATTAGAACATTAATAACGTTCCAACCATGCCCATGTAAGCCTCTTGCGTAGTGTGCAGCTATAATTAAGAGATCAATCATTGGTTTCGCACACATTCCTTCAACACTTGTACTTCCTATATGCTCTACATCAAATAATTTCTCGGGCTGAATGTTATGGCTGTAGAATGTTCGCAGAGCGTTCTGTAGAATAAAAAGGTTATTTGTAAAAAGTAGCATTTAACTACCCACTGAGATCTCCACGCCACGAGTAAAACTACAATGAGTAAGTGTGGGTGTGAGATTTGAAAGACAGAGTAGTTCCTCACATCCACACACTCCAAAACCCATTCCACCCACAGTTAGGCCAATAGAAACAATTGGAACGCATTTATTCCGCAATAAGTGTGAGGAAAAACGCGTATGCCGTGACAATTATAGTAAATGATTTTTCCACATTAGAAAAAATGACAAAAAAGCATTTACTTTGTGTATTTAAAAAAGAGGGCAAAAACGCGTTTTACTCAGAGCGTAGGGATCTCAGTGTGCAACTAAGCTATAACAGAGAATCAGTCAAGACACACTTACATGAATACTTTCTCTTTCCTTTTGATATAATTTTGGCCAGTCGGAGTTATAATCTTGCAGTTGTACCCGACTCGACTGGTAATTTCGCCAGGCTAATGATTCACCAAGTTCTTCTTTTTCTTGGAAATAATAGTCGATGTTACTTGCATGATAATGTTTTGATTCCAAAACTTCTTTTGGTATTTCGCCTCGTTTGATAGATTCTTTGAAATTGGTATGACCATTGCGAACATCATCATACACCTCCATATCAAAACCGTTTACATTAAATCCATTTTTGAAAAAAGTTATATCTACACGTGTATTGCTGCCTGTAGCAGGTTTTCTACCTATTATTGTCCACGTTGACATATAAAAATTACTGAGACGAAGAATAATGTGAATATTTTTATGAATTTTTTTTCACTATAATAATGTGCATGTTGTTTCGAAAAATAAATCAGTTTATTTTTCGAAAAAAAACCCTTCTGAAATAAAGCGAAAAAGATGATGATGCCTGTTGAGTGCAGCACAAACTTTCGTTTCTCTCCTTTCGTAATAGAGTCAAGGGGGAAAGTGCTGGCTCCAAGCACCAAAATTTACTATAAAGTGCTGAAGGTGCTGAACAGGTGCCGGAGGTGCTGAGCAGGTGCTGAGCAGGTGGGGTGGCGGTATGTTCGCCAATAAGACTTTCGCCAATAAGACATTCGCCAATGGCGAAGTTCCACCGAATGTGTTGGCGAAAGTACAGTGGACTTTTGCCAATTGGCGAAGTTCCACCGAATGTGTTGGCGAAAGTACAGTGGACGTTCGCCAATTGGCGAAGTTCCACCGAATGTGTTGGCGAAAGTAAAGTGGACGTTCGCCAATTGGCGAAAGTGAGATGGGGTATCTCAGTAATTACACAACAATATTACGAAAGGGTATATGTCAGCCCTGAAGTTAATGTTACTAGAGTATATATATCATAGTTTACACTTACCGATGTAGGTGAGAAAACGTTTTTTAGTCTACGTCGATTTTACAATGACATTGTTGAAAGATCACTGTACTTTCGCCAATTGGCGAAATTCTACTGAATGTATTGGCGAAAATACAGTGAACTTTCGCCAATTGGCGAAGTTCCAGAGACCATATTGGCGAAAGTACAGTGGACTTTCGCCAATTGGCGAAGCTCCACCGAATGTATTGGTGAAAGTACAGTGGACTTTCGCCAATGGCGAAAGTCCTATTGGCGAAAGTCTTATTGGCGAAATTCCGGAACCCCGTTCTCTAGACAATATGTAAGTAGTCATTTGCAGTGATGAGATCGGTTCGACAAAGCACGAACCGGATCCCATCACTGGTCATTTGATATCATGTGTTCTTCGTTTTCTGCAATGTTTCTGCAAATGACAGTGTCAATATCCAATGAGAGATAAAGGGTCATATTAAAATATGTGTAAATAATAAAATAAGTATAATTTCATTAACTGCTTATAAAGAATTTTCATTTCACAATGAATTTGGAATGTTAAGCAACATGAGTTATTAAAAGCATGTAGGGTGCAGGAAATGCCAATTTTAAGCAACATTCTTTTGTCTTACATCTTTATATGACGCGATAATGTTCTTGGAATTACTTATGAAAGGAATGCTCAATATATTTGAACAGTCTTCTTGTTGTAAAACTTAGAAAAACTCGAATGAGACTTGATGTTTTCAGCGATCTCGTGTTTTCATTCACTTTTCTAATGTTACTAGTTTCAAAGATCATTCCATGAACACTATCAAGCCATATCGAAAAATTGCCAAAAAGAGCTGCTTAATTATTGCATTTTCAACACACTAAACGAGATCTAAAGTGTTATCATAATTTGTACAGAACGATGATTTCTTCTTTAAAATATGAAGTTATCAAGGAGAACCAATGCAGACTTCTCTTCTGATTTTTCTTTGTCACAGCCTCCTTTCTCATTACAGCCGCTATGGCTGGATGGTTAAGATGCTCGGCACATATCCACAAGATAGTGTGTTCAAACCTCGGCGCCATCATCCATAGAATAACCTTGGATAAGTTACTAACGGCTGCTTTGTCTCGGATCACCCATCCGATAGCACGCTGATTACATGTGACATACATAAAAATATCCTCGTGGATAGTATGTGGTTAGTCAGTATGCATGGGAAGCTTAAGTAATTAAGCGGAAGGAACTCTGAGTCAGGCCGGCCTTCTGTCCAGAGCTGCAGCTAGTAATAGTTGTAGGAAAAATATCGGGCTCTTGAAACTGTCTCCGGACAGCTACCCTATACTGAAAGGTAGCCGCAAGGCAAGGGTATTCTTTCTTTCTTTCTTTCTTTCTTTCTCATTACATTCGTATTCTACAGTTGCGACTGTGTTTTGAAACATAATTGAAATCTAAGATTGAATAAGTAGAAGATGATTTAATACTGATATCAACAGCAATCAGGACTCTTTGCTCGGACATTGACAATCTTTTCTCTCAAAATGTAACTATTGAGATCTTTATGATGATATTAAAATCTAAAACATTGAAAGAAGCTATTACAGTTTATATAAGAAGTGTTTTAGAAATTCGAAGTATTCTTTTTTTGTGAATTTAAGTTTGAAAACTTTCACGGTTTCACAAAATAAACAACATCTTTTGTTTACCTAATTTCATTTTTACCTCATTATGACATATTCGTTCATTCATTTATTGTAGATTTATTATTATATTATAAACATCTATATACCACTAGCTTTTTAAACAACCTCAACGCTTGAGCTGATCTACGAGCAACTCATTCTAGAAATGATTGCATTTCCATAGGATTAATGTACATATATTAAGAAAATAATTTTGACACAATAATTTCATTTTTTCTTCAGCGTTTTTTTCTTTAAATTTAACTTAATATGCCATTGAAAAATATTTCAAACCTTATAGAACTTTCTTTAAAACATGTTAACTCAAAAAAAAAATGGAGAACAGATATTGATTGCTTGTAGATTAGCTGAAGCGTATAGGAAAGATAGGTCGATATAAGACGTAGCTCTCATTAATACAGTTCATCAGATCAAAAGGAAGTAAGACTATCGGGTATCTAAAATTGGTCATCCGTTAACAGTTGAAACGTGTAAGTTAGCGACTAATTCACCATCTCGAATCAGGTCAAACTGTCATGTCTATACACTATATATCTTCCTTTTAGAGTGTATCTATCCAATCTTTTATCCTTGCTCGTCGCATTTAGCAATGAAATGGCTCTATTTTATCCTATTATTAATGGTGGCTATGCTTGTTTGTTTTGCGAAAAATGAACAGCAAACAGTGATATCTGAAATATATTCACTTGATGGCGACTTCGACAAGATTCGGGCATCTGAACACATACAATTCGAATTGACTCACGTCAATAGTGAACCGAGTGTCATCATCGAAACGGAACAATGGTTGCATACAGGCCAATATATAACTGTCACAACAAGACCGAATGATTGTTTGTATCCATGATTTGAAGAATACTGTCAGCTTTTACTCATAGCGTCCCATTTCCTTTATGAATGTTAAGAAGAAGCACTTGATCTATTCAAACATGAAACGGGTTTTTTGAATATATTTCTATATGAAGAAAAAGATAGTTGAGCAAAGAGAAATATTGATTTAATAGATTTCTTGAGCAGATTTGTTAGTTCAGTCTCATCGCAATGTGTTGCAAGTAAAGAAAAACTTTTATTTTTACCTTTTATTCTGAAGACACTTTATTGAAAAAAAAAAGAATTATTTCAAATTTGTTTGGCAGATCTTGATATCAAATTGGCGAGCGGCACTAATTATCCAGCAATCAAAGTGTATGTTAATTACCGCAAAGCTCTCCTTAGTTTGGAAATAGATGGAATGTCGTCAATGAGATCAAGAAACGTCATTTTTAGTAATCCTTCATCGCTTTTGAATATTGCACATTCTGGAGCTGGCAGCGCAATACTCAAACTACAACACGGTTCTAATATTAATGTTGCCATATCTGGTACAGGCCAACTCTCTTTGTCCGGTCGAGTTCAAGGGAATGGACGATTGAGCGTCTCAGGTACTGCGCACTTGGATGCAATCGAGTGTCCAATGAATATTGCGACTGCTGAAGTGGCTGGATCTGGATCAGCTTCTGTTTATGGTGTAAAAGGAGTTCATGCCACCGTGAGTGGAGTTGGTAACATTTGCTATCGAGGACCTTTGCTTAGTCAAGTGATAAGTGGTCTTGGCTCGATCAAACAGTGTATTGTTGAAGGGACATCTGCAGAACCTCAACAAACAGCTACAAAACCTCAACAAACATCTACAGAACCCCAAAATTCATCATCGCAAAGCGACAAAATCATGGATAGAAATCAACGATTATTAGTGATTCTTGCTACTACAGTTTTCTTTCTCTTCTTCTAATTAATCATTAATTGACACTGTTGCTTTTCTTTTCAATTCATAATCGATGATCCTATAAAGTATGCCTTTCCCTCAAGAAAATCTTCTTACGCCGATTTCGATAACATAATATTCGTTTCTTAGACAACAACAGCATGAGATATAAGAATAAGACTTGTTTTAATAGTATCATAGAGTTATACGGCTAGATGGTGGGTAGTGAAACGAGCACACTCACATCCTTTTTCTATCAGATTTGCCAACATAACTCCAACCTGGAAAAGAAAGCTTGTCCAAGTGACATCATAACCAAATGATAACGGTTCTTCTCAAAAACATAATCAGATAGATCTCTCTTATATTCAACTATATAAATAGTGGAAACATCTATTTCATAAACATTTAAGAACTATTCATTTTGTCCATGCCAATAAATACACGGTAAGATATCATTTGATTGTTGAAAACCGAGTCACTTAGGCATACATATATTTCTTCAATTTAATAATGAAACAGCAAAGGCAGGCAACATGCACACTGGATTTTTGTTTTTACATTTAATATCTTCTTTTTCACCTTATGGATTTTTTCATCTAAGAATGATAGGGTTCAATGCAAATGACATCTTCAACAATAATTGTTTTCAATAGCAGCCGTTTTTAGAGAGTAAACGTTATCGTAAAATGAAATGAATGTGTGAATTCATTAGTAAATTGATAGTGAACTGCTGCATGGGTTTATCATGCTATATTTGTCCTACGCCTAGAATATGATCGGCATATGTGAAACCAATGATCTTTTCACTTTGATTGGATTTTATGACCTTTTAATGATATTGGAGCTGAATTAATTTTTTCATGCCAAGATAAATAAAGTCCAATATCATTATGAAAATCTAAATGACGACGTGATAAATTATTCTTTGTATTATTAATTTGTGTTGATGACCATCTGTCAAGACCAACAACCCACTCAGGCCTATGAGCAAAACAGGAAGAATATTTCAATGAACTATTTGATGATTCAATTAAACGTGTTGTTAATGATCGATCAATTGATAGACAACAATAATGAGATGAATATGAACATTCTTCAAATTTCGACAAATCCATCTTTTCAATTTTTTTAGTTTTATTAACAACAAAAAAACATTTCTTTTCTTTTTGATTGAACTTTTTAATAGAACTATTGGAGTAATGCTTTTCACCATAATAAGAGCAAAGAGGTATTCACACTAACAATATGAGTTTTATGCATCACAACATTTTTTTTTAATATGAATAAACATTAATCAAAGTGATCTCTTAAAAATATTTCACAATAATAAGAAAAGAAAGATTGTTTAGAATTAGGTAAATTGTAAACAGAACAACATTCAATTAAATTGTTCATTAACACAATTGGCAATAAACAACATTTATGAATTCTTTTAAAAAAAAACCATCATCGATTCACATTCAATGTCAAAGCCATTAGAACTATTTGTTTATTTATTTAATTTATTCAAGTGTAAGTGGCCTTGTAGGGCTTTAAATTTAAACATTTAACATGTCAACTGTATGTGGAACAACAATAGATTGATTTCGTTAGAAAATTTATTCTTCTAAAACAGATTTGTTTACAATATTAATTTATAATTAAGTTTAAAGAAAACAAAATGTAGAATTTTGTTTTTTTTTGTTCGACAGAATTAATAGAAATCTTTCAAAATTATTTTCGATCATTTTAAAACTGATTAAGAATTTTTTTTGAAAAGAATTCATAAGATTTTATTCTAAATAATTTCAATTTTATTTTTTTTTTAGTTTCATATTTTAATAAAATAACAGTTTGTTTTTTGTGTAAAGATTACTATTTCTTTTTTATTTATAAGCGTTCGACGATTTTCTTTACTACTATCGTTGTTCAATTCTGCATCAGTTGTTTCAGTTGTTGATAGATCTCCTAAAATGATATTAAAACAATGAATGTTATTTATTTCGATGCGAAAATGTTTTTATCGCTTTTTTAGATTTTAAAATTTCAATTCATTTTTCAATTAGAGAAAATCTCAATATATTGTTTAACAAGACTTAATGTTATTATTTAATAAAACACAATGAATAATAGTGCTAAAGATTCGGAATTCAAAACAAAATAAGTTAACAGAAATTGATTCTTGTTTAAACATATATAAAGTGTAGAATTTTAAAGAGATATTAACGAATATTAATATTGTGTAAAAAGTTGTAAGAAAATGGTTCATAACAATGGTCTATTTGATTTTATTAATGTAAAAACATCTGATTTCAAGATTTCCACCAGAGAAAAATCGCTTCAAGTAAATCTTTCTTTTCAAGTATTTATTTCTAAAAACTACTCAATAAAAGTTTTTCGATAACAGTGCATTATCTATATTGAAGAAAAGTTCTGCATGAACTACTATCCGTAACAGTTATAGGACTCTATTACAATGCTTTCGCTATTTCTAAGTGTTTGTTGAGCTCAAGTAGATTGCTACGCTGCAGTTTTGAATGAGACCAATATCTTATCTTTGACGCTTTAGTTCACTGATAATAAGTGATAACACTCGATACTTTTCTTTAATCCTTTCCGACCAGCTACTAGAAGACCGGTAGAAAACAAATATTTTCGGGCGAATTCTTAGTTCCGTTATCGGGGAGATGCTAAAAGTGTGGTCGTTGGTACAAAAAAAGCTACACGTTACCGAACGGTCGAGTGTGGCCTACAAGCAAAATCCCAACATGTCAATTTTTCGAATTCACTGCCTAATCCATCTGAGTAACTCAATAGATCATACATCCATAGGAGAAAATTAATCGCTAATTGTTTCTTCGATTGATAGTTAAGACACGAGAAAAACGCAGAATTTCTATTCCGACCCTTTTTGGGGGGATCCCAAACCGAGCCCTCCCTGTATTCAGTGAAAGGTTATATTTTTCTTGTACGTTTATGGATTTACTCATAAATGTATTGGCGTAATTATCAATGTGCTAAAGAATTAAATATGATGAGTACAGATCAGCCCTGCACCAAATGTTAACTCAATATTGCCAAATGGCTACATCCGGCTGGAAAGGGTTAAGATGAACTCAATCAAAGCTGTCCCTTCTAAAATAGTATAATTGTTTTATCAATTCAATATGTACTAATCGAACATCCATTTTTTTCTGTAGTAAATCGTCAAGATCCTAGATTTCCTACTCCTTAAAATTGCCTTATCGAAAACCTTGCGATAACATACCTGATCGTTTGTTACGAGCAGCGGCGAATTCTTTTTCCAATATTTTAATCATAGTTATTGTACTTGCTTTTAATCCTTTTCGTGAATCCTGATTGTCAGCATCAACAACGTAAAATTTAATACCGCCCAGGACGATCATTCCGACCGCCGGAACGATCATCTTAACAGGACTGAAACGTCTATAAAATGGTATAATAAGGCGTTAATTTGCACCTCGTTTCGCCGTAATCCGTCAGCTCGTTTTACGGACCGTTTTTCCGCTAGAAAACGGCCATCGTTTTTAACAAAATATTCATCGTTTTCTGAGCTGACGGGAAACGGTGCCGTTTTTCAACGTTTTTTACGTCTTTTACGGCCATTTATGCACCGTTTTCTTGGACCTGGGTGGTTTCTCGTACACTTGGAAAAATAGTGCTGCTCATTTCAACTATTTCTCCTAATGACATATTCATCAATACACGTTGATTCACAATAGCCAAATCATCACATAAAAATGTTGCAAACTCCTTGGTATCCCAGGTCGAACAATCCGGCCTGGAAACGGCCGCTTCCGGGTAGTTTCGTTGATTTTGTGGAAGCAGTATTCCGGTTGGAAATTTGTCGCATTTTTTCCGGTGGTTTACGATTAATTCCTGCCGGAAAGCACCGGAACTTGGTAGGAATTCGTCGGAAAAGTCCGGCCGTATTTTTGACCGGAATACTGTTTCCATGTTCCAGCAATTTTCTGTGTTTTCCTGCAGGGTATGGTGCCTTTTCCGCATATTCCCTGGAGTATCTTACGGGATCCGGTGGCCGGAATGTTCGACCTGGGATACTCCTTTTCTGCATATGCAAAGAATTGTTGCGGATTCATAATAGCTATAAGTTAAAAATCGAAGCAAAATAAATAATGATCACAAGCAGAAAAAAAGCATACTGAAGAATATTTGACCGAACGACAAAATGAACAATGTAATTATGATATTGACACAATAAAGAACACAAATTTTCGATTTAGTAATTGATTTCAGTGGACAATTTGCTCACACTCGCAAATATATGTGTAATGTGTGTACACATATACCTATTTCCATATGACCGGTCGTATTTTGTCCTTTCTTTTCTTTTCGTTCAGTAAGAAAAAGAGACCAAGTATGGCCCCATAGTACGATGGCTATACATTTCTAACATGATATTGGCAAGATAAAAGTGAAACGATATCGAATGAGAGATTTTCTTCAATTCCTCAATGGTAAAATTACCTTTTAAACAAAAATGTGTTTATTCAATAGACATTTTTCAATAATAAAACTAGGGGATGAGAAGTTATTGTTAATTAGTAACAATAATAATAATTTTCTCGAAGAATCCGGCTCGCAGCTTTTCTTGATTATACAAGGTGTATCATAATGATAAGACCCTCTATTGACTTTTGAGAAAAATAAAAATTTCATTAACTAAAGAATGTTTCATTTCCAATTTAATGGCATATCTATCAGTGTCTAGTAGTAGTCTATCATGTATCATATTAGCTTCAATTTGACCAATTAACGTCCATGAAGAAATTGAAAAATTTGAGTTTGAATTGCCTGATAATTATAAGACCGGCCTTCATCACAATATGTGAATGCTAAATTCACCCTATCTTTACCAGCTCAAATGACCCTTTGAAGTTTCTATTCGGAAGAGGAAATAGTTAGCTACACGTTGAAAATACGCCCCAGGTCAATGATTCCGGAGGACGGATACTGTAGGAACCGGCCGGAAAGATGCGGAAAAATCACCGTATCTGGCCGGAAAGCACGGGAAAGCACTGGAAACTGGAAGCAGTATTCCAGTTGGAAGTTACCGGATTTTTTTCCTGTGGATTCCGGTCAGTTTTCTGTGTTTTACATCTGGAAGTTGATCGGAATCTACAGGAAGAAAATCCGGTAACTTCCAACTGGAATACTGCTTCCACTTTCCAGCGCTTTCCTGTGCTTTCCGGCCGTTTCCCGCCGTACGTCCACGACCTGGGGCTAGATGGGCAAAGCTAAGTTCAACTTTTCTATCGTTTAAGAAATTAAATTCAATGTCAAAACTACCACTATGTAATTCGAGAAAAGTAAATTTTCTGTTCCTTAGTGTGGGGTGTGGGTGTAGGGTGTAGGTGTGGGTAGCGGTGCACAGACACAATATCAGCATTCACATCCCACACCCGTAGTTTCTCTGAATAGTATTATGAAGAATGTCAATAATGTTCTACAATACGGAAAACAAATGCAACTTGGTACTAGCATACCTGCCATATGTGTACTCAGTAAAATCGATGAGTATTTCCAAGGCCAAGCGCCTAATTGTGAAGACGATGTCAAACAACTGGAAGAATATACTGAAAAAGCTTTAAAGTCGGTAAACAAGTACTTGATTGATCCAGCTGTCCAATGTATTCCCATATCAACAAGATACAATTATGGTGTTGACCAACTTCGACTGAGTTTAAATGCTCAATCACCGTTGCATGCTCAAATCATTGACAAAAATCTCGATTACATTAGCCGATGTCGACTATCAATTGCCAATAAAATTATAGCTGCTTTTTCTACAGCTTCTGCAGCAGCATCGTTTCTACCTCTTGCTAATATCTTCATTGTAACTTTCTTACAAGAATGAATGTATCGAATGTTGACTTGTTTTGGGGTGTGGGTGTGTCATAGATGTCATAATACCGTTACACTGAGTATCGTGATGAGTGTGGGTGTGTGGGGGTATACAAGGAAGACACACTCACACCCTCACCCTCAAGAAAAAAAGGTTTCCTATTTTCCTATTCTAACAGGAAAGTGCATATGACAATTATAATTCGAATTCGAAAAAAACCTTTTCCTAATTTTCCTATTTTCGAATGGAAGTGCTGGTTGAATTTTTATTTATTTTCGAAGTAATTTTATGCAGTTGAAGCTTCATTTGTATTCGAATTCGAATTAGGCATCTCATGGCTTTGATACAGATATTAGTCTCATCTGAGCGCACACACCCGAACCCACATCGACACCCTTGTTTTTAAATCTTAGCTGTCTACAAGTTAAATATGAATATATTTGCTTAATTTGGTCAAGCAATCGAATGAAGAACATCAATAGTGGCAAGAATTGATTTATGTAAAGGATTATCTCTGTTTTTCATGAGTGCCTTTTCTATATAAGAATATTCTATACTTGATATCAAGCTTGTCTTTTAAACTTGATCGTTTTTAACTTGTGGGAAAAGGTTTGCGTTTTCGAAGAAAAATAATTTCACAGAAAGATTTTTTCAGATTTCATTTTTATCTCCTACATACGTATAATTATTCACTGTCAAGTAACATATATGCAGATTTGCCGGAAAATCTGATAGAATTCCAGTACATATTATACCAATATAATTCTAAAGCTCTATCAAGATAAAGTCATCTTAAACTGGATTTTTTTTAGAACGGTACGAGCTACCATTTTCATGAACGTAGGTATAATGAGAAGAATTAAACATTTACAACCGCAAATTACTTTAATAACAAGACAAAAATCAATTTGTATTCGAAAAATATATTCATGTATTGTTTCCGTATAAGTAACTCACGACTTGGTTCTGGCCTCGTTTATTTGAAAGGATCTTCACAGTAGCATCGTAATAGCGTTTCATATCTATGTTTTCGTCCATTACACTAATAGTTTTATTGAATTTTGTGAGTAAATCTTGGGTTCGACCAATAATGTCATAGTTTTTTTTTATTGAAAGTAATGCAGTGACTTTTGCTTTTAATTGTGTTAACGATGAGTTTATTTCTGTTTCCAACTTTTGCTGTCTGGCAATCAAGTGTTGCGCTTTATTTTTTAACATAAATTCTTGTTGTTCAGCATAAGTATAATGTGATCGAGTCTCATTATCTGGTAATGTTACTCGGACTTTTGCTGTTTGTTGTCGATACATAGGATTATGGGGATTATACCCATCATCATGATCATAATGAGCCTTACTGTATTTCTGATCATGTGGTCGTTCTCTTGAATATGTGTCATGTCTCTCATCACGATCATGTGATGCTGAAATCTTATGATCTTTACCACAGGTTTCAGCAGTCGCTGATGATGAAGGATATCCAGCAGTTCGAGCAGAATATGGTCTTGTAGTTGAATGTGTGCTGTTGTGAGAAGAATCATGATGAAATGAAGTATCGGTATTCTGTTTTAATGATGATGAACACGTAGAAGAACGGCTTTCTTGAGGATCATGGTGATGATGATGATTGGATGAAGGATTTTTATACTCTGGTGGCCTGCAATGCTGACCAGTGTCATTATCAGTATGCGCCGAAGGATTATTTTTATGCATGTAGTCATCATTCGTTGAATATGAACCGTGTGGATCTCGATTAACAACAAAAGATCTCGAGATGTCTTTTTCACAACTTCTTCCTGACGAAGAGGCGCTTTGTGCTGATGCTGGTCGACGATTTTCAATAAATTTCGATGGATTTTCTGATTTTGCGGGTAGTAGTGATCGTGATTGACGTTGTGGTGATTGATCCCAACGCATAACTGTGATTTCTTGATCTTTTTCCCATTTTTCATTACATTGCATTGTATGGTGCGCATTGCTAATACCATCTTCTGTTGCAGTTTGGTCTTTATATATATTAATTAGACTGATAATTTTGTTGATAGCCTCAATAATACAATTTTCAATTAAAGCTATTTTAATACCACCAATTTCGAATACTTGTGTTGAAACGCTATTAAATTGTAACAATTTTCGCACTAAAGTTTCAGTTATGTCCAGAGTGTCTTCAAAATCTTGTTCAAACCGACGTATTGCTTTTGATGATTGATTTTTGGGGTTCCATCGAAATAAGCTATTTTGCAAGTGAAATACCCTGCTATCATCTATTTTAAAATGATCATGTAATATTGCTGGATCTAAATTAACACTAAGTTTATCACAATTTGTCAAAACTGCAACACAATTGTTTAATAAATCATTTGGCCATATTTGATACAATGAATGTAAAACGTTTTTGAATGACACACCGAGACGTGGAAGAGCACCGTTTATAACAATAATAATTCCATTTAGGAAAGGTAATTGTTTTAGAGTCTTTTCAATGCAGTCCAAATTTCTTTCATCGACATCGAAGCCGTTTGTGTCATTGAATCCTGGTGTATCAATTAGTTCGAGATAAAAATCTGCTGTTCGAAATGAATACGTCATGCATTTCTGCGTCTGACTTTGTATTTGATCATTAATATCACGTTCACTGTGCTTATTTCGGTATTTCTTATCAAGACAGTCCAACCAATTTGCACATGGTATAGATAATTTAACTTGTGGACTAGTACAAAAAATTTTTTTTGGATCTTTTGTACCATAACTCATATTATACAAAAAGTTAATTAATGAAGATTTTCCGACACCAGCATCGCCAAGTAAAATAAAACGTTTCGGCTCGCGCGCTGAGGTCATGTTTCTTATTTTTTAAGCAGAATGTAATATGAAATGAGTTGTCCATACTATTGCAAAGTATCGAGCTTATATATTCAGAATGCAGTTGACTTTTTCCTACTCGTTGATGTATCTTATCAAGACTCTTGAGAATATTTACTAAGAAGAACAAAGTTTATTGCTCTTGGAATATATTGATGCAAATTTTCAGCATATAACATACAGAAGCAAGGAAGTACATGCCTATCTCAACCGTTCGAGAGACTTCAATGGTCTATGCTGGAACAAATAAGAAGATATGGCAATAAAGATTACAAGCGAATTTTTGTCATTGCAGTAAGTCAAATCAAACAAATTTACATTTTTTTTCCAAGTTTTTGCTTTGTTCGAAATTACATGTCTACATGTATATATAAATTACTTCAAAAAAAATACATCATTATACATCAAAAATTAAAAATTAAAAGCCAAAAGCGAAGATGTCTTTTTCCAGTATTACCGTGTTCTCCTGTTCTACCGTCCGAAAGGAGTCGAATCCAAATATTATCATTCTATTCATTGGTGAATCAGGCTCAGGCAAATCAACTTGTATAAATTATTTTGCCAATTATTTTACCAATTCTTCATTTGATGAAGAAGATCATTATTCAAATATGAAAATTGTTATACCAAACAGTCTATTTCCTGAGCCGAATTTTCCTGAGGGACACCATCGACATTGTGAGCGTAATGTACATGATACTAGTATGAGTCAAACGCAAGAATGTACTGCTTATGATTTTCGATGGAATGGGCAATGTATCAAAATTATAGATACACCTGGTTTTAATGATACAGATTCCCATAAAGATGATCAAAATATTCAGAAAATCTTGACACAAGCTTCACAAGTTCCATTCATTAATGCTATTGTAATCACGATCAATGGCACAAATGTTCGTTTATCAACATCCATCAAAACAACATTGAGTCAACTGCGTAGTTCATTACCAGATAAAATTTTTAAAAATTTATTTTTTATCTTCACAAATTGTACTGAAGAAACTAGAAACTTTGATTTATCCCTGATTTCTGAATTCAAACCATCAGAAGAACGAACATTTCATATGCAAAATGCATTGTTTTCCATCAAAGATAAGTCGTTACTTCAAAACACAAAATCAGTACGAAAAATGACACAAACATGGAAGGAGTCGGTAGAAACAATGGGCGAAATAATGCATGAAATAAATCAAACATCGGCTACATCGGTACAAGTATTTAATGATATGAGAATTCGACGAGAACAACTGATTGTACACAAGGAGAATTTGATTGAAAAACAAAAGTCTTTGTTAAATATCATGAATACATTGCAAATTGAAAAAGAGCGTTTGAAAAATGCCTCTGAAGATCAACAAGCAAACAAAAATTTCACGGAATCAAAACGTATCAGCGTTATTGATATAGAAAAAAAATCATATTATAGTACAATTTGTCTGAGACATGGTAAAGTACAAGTATGCCATGAGAACTGTTCGTTATCATATGAGCCCAAGTTGAATTTGCATCATTTTCAACAATGTGCTGCTGCAAATGGATCAAATTGCCGACATTGTGCGTGTGGAATGAATGACCATTTACATTCTTACGAAATTCCAGTATCACGACTAAAAACGGTTGAAGAAATCATTCAAAGTAAAAAGGCTGCTTTTGAACAAGCCAATAGAAATATAAAAAGTAGTAGCGATAGAGTTGTTCTCTTAGAGCGTGTTCGAGATGCTTGTCAGTATGAGGTTAATGATATTAAAGATGGCTTGTTGACGACAATAAAGGAGTTGAAACAAATTTGTTCACACTTCAATTTTCACGATGAAATGAATGGTACAATACAAAAGTTAAGAAAAGAAGCTAAAATTGCAACAGACTTTAAAGCAAAGCAAGAATTCACTCGAACAGCCAATGCCATTGAACATTTTATCAATCGAATTTAATAAGCAATTACAGTGACGACCATTTATTCTAGAACTGTGACATTTCGTACCAGAATCTAGCAACTAGTACGAACAGTGATAAAGCTGTATAGGGATTGTATGCGCTTTAAAAATTGTTTAAAATATATATACTTCATTCTTACTCTTAATAGTTTTAATTAATTTTAATTTAGCCTATTTACGTATATCAACAAGGTTATTGAAAGTCAAATAACATGAAGATGTGAGCCAATACAGGTTGGTGCTTGTACTGGCGTCACATTATGGGCAGAAAAAAGGAACTAGGAGTAATTCTTTCAATGACTGCAGCTAATATTTTAATTTTTGCTTTGCTACAAATAGCTGACACATCATACTGATTGTCTGTATTTACTCAGCTCCTCCTAATTGGCAGGTTGCTAGAAAATCAACTTTCCGACTTTTGAAAACTATGCATTTGACACAACACAATATGGTTGTATCATTATGATGTTTTTCAGTCAAATGAGACAAGAATTTCTATCATGCAGTTAGAATACTACGCGGATTTAACTTGAGGATGTGAGTATCGAGTTTTCTCCTATGTGCGCCCACACTCATCCAGGTGCACTTCAATTAAGCATTGTGGGCTACTTTATTGGCGCTGGTATATGTGTAGCTACAGCCGCAACATCAACAGCTGCTCTCGGTTGGGCATCCTATTTTTACTTTATTGACTAGATAGAAGTATGCTGTTTCTACGCAAATACCATTACTAGAAGACATTCTATGAAACTGAATAAATCTAGAGAGAATGAGTATTGAAAACAGGATTTTTTTGTTCTCTTAACTCTAACGCGTTATTTTTTCAATGTTCTAAATAAAGACTTTTCATTTCGATTCAATGAATATTAAATTTGTTATTTTTCAATCATAATTTTTCCTGAAGTTCCTGCCTGATTCCTTTTTAGTAAATAATCGTTACATAAATGCCAACAAATATCTGAATGTATAGATCGAGCGAGCGTTTATCAGTCTATTCATTATCATCATTTTTAACGGTTTTTTTTTTCTAGAAAAAAGCATTTCTATGTTAACAAGTTTTAAAAACCAATAAACATCTTCATCCCTATATAAGTACTGGAACATAAATAGTATTTATACATGATTCTGACCCTCAAAAGAATTTATTTATTCATTCTATTTCAGTCAGTTCGAAAAAAAAAGATTTAATGCAAAACTGTACGATCATGTTTATGTCTTGTTAATGAAGATAAGACAAGTCATGATTCTGACAACGATAATATATTCCTTAAATGTCATTCGCTGTACAATTCATTCCTAATAATAGTTAAGTTGATGATTGCAATCGACTGAAGTCAAGTTTAAGTAGAAGAACAAATTAATTATGTATATCAAAAAGAAACTCTTTCATCTTCTAGCAACATGCAACACTAACAATAGTAGGATAAATCCTCATGGAATTCAAGTTCATGAACACATATAATTAGTTTTTCCATAGAAGAAAAAACAAAAAAAAATTAATATGAATCTTTCTTTTTCTCGACATACATTTATTTATAATAAATTTAAGGTAAAAAAATATTAGCCACCCGATGTTTTCTAATTGTATGTGACACAACTTGCATCACAAATATATGATTATATCATATTTAATTATACGTCCGACGGCCAACGTCTGTTTTCTAAAAAAATCAAAACAATTCCTCTGTTGATCAAATTTGACTTGGCAATCATTTTGTTTTCTTTCTTTTCCGATGCTACTGATGAATAAAAGATCTTCTCAACATATTTCATTTGTCATGCAATAAACAATGCGTGCTACAGTACGATAATAATTGTCCTAGAGTATGTTGCCTTTTTTCTTCTTTAGACAATCATTATCATGAATAATCACACAAAGTCACTGCCACCTTTCGGATTATTTGTTGCGATGGGTTATTTACCGTCAATATTTAGTCTTCTACTTATATTAATTCTTATACTTATTACGTTATTTATACTGTTTATGAAACACAAAACTAGTCGTGCATTTGACGAAAATGAAATACGAAGTGATGACAGTGCAAGTGCCAATGAACTGAAATCACTGGAATTTCACCGATCAAAACAATATTCGTCAACGTCAAATAATCAACAACAAACATCGATGACTTCATTTCAAACCGATATTGATGAACAAACTACCCGTTCAACGATTGATTTACTTTCTGCCAAATAATTGAGCTGCTTTATTGTTTGTCTTGTGTTAATTCTGTTCGAGTTTAAAAAATTAGTTTCAATCATAGGTAGCATTTACTAACCATATCAGCGCTTTAAATCTTCTTTTTATTTTCATCTCGGAAAGATATGCTTAATTGAAATCCTTGTATAAATTCATATGAAACCTTTTGTTTTTATAAAATGTAAATGAACTCCATAGTTGATCAACATTGTTTTTTCGTATTTTTAGGAACAAATGGATTTTTCAACTTTATTTTTCTTTAAATTATTTGGCTATTATGATTAAAATGATCCATCTGTTTCTCTTTTGTGCGTCAGTAAAATTACCAGATTTTTCACAATTCAATGTGAATTATCGATATTAAAATAATATTGTTGATCAATCATTACTATTGACCAACGAATAGATCATCCGATTATTTACATTATGAACTAAATGTTTTCGATAGTTAGTTGATTCGATTCTACATTTCTAGAAATCAATACATCGGATTAGATTTAAGTGATAATAGAAGATAGACTCAAACTAATCGAAAAAAAGTTTTTGGCCAACACTATCTATTCAATGGAGACAAACGAGAGTTATTCATCGAAATAATCAAAGGAATATTCTTTTTGTTTTTGTCTATTTTTTTTATTCTAGCTAATAAAAAAGCAACTCATCTGTGATCCTTTTCATGAAATCTTTAGGTACATCGTCATTTCAACCATATAAAAAAACAACGGAAAAAAAGATGAACTGCATCCTGATCGCAGAGACTTTGTTTTTGACAAGTAAGACAATATGTCTGCAAAGAGCAGCATAAGAAGACGAACACGAGAAAAATAATCATAGAATAGAAACATCAACACACGATTTACTTATATGAAGAAGAAAGAAACTCATTCATGCAGTCTATTAAACCTATGTGAGATTTTTTAGGTTCATCTTGATGATGATTCTCATTGTTAACATGCAGTAGAAAAAAAGAAGACAAAACAATCTACTTTGAATGTGTTTGGAAGAAATTATTTTCATGTGCTAGTATCGCTGCTCAACCCGAATCATCGTTGATTCTTCTGACTAGTAGATACACTCTTCAATGAATGTTGTGCAATATTTATTTTTTTTTGTATCAAGAGGAAATGTCCGCAATCCAAAAGATATGATGCTATTAGTAATATTACCTTAGATTTATCTATGAGAATGCGAGACATGTTGGAGTAGTGAAAATCAAGATCTTGAAGTCTAGGAAATAACTGTATCACCTATTTGATGGTACGCTGATTTTTATTGTAAATCTTGAAAAAATAATTTTGTCCGATGATCATGAGGTGACTATACTACTCGACAAAAATAAACTTTCTAACGATGATCCTGGCTAATTTTTTTAGACACAGTACATCATCAAATATCTTAGTTAAATTTTAATTATTTTTGGTTTTTCTCTTTATTCATTCAAGATTAAACTTTGCACAAAATCCATGACTTGATTTTACTGGTGTCTCTACGAGTTCATCATCGGTATCAACTGAATCCATTCTTGCCATACGGCTACTCTAAATTCGATTGTTGTTGTTGTTGTTTGATTAGATTTGTAGCAGCAGAAAAGTGAACAGCCGAATTAGGTATTGATTGCTCATTGTTGTGTTCGCCCTCGTCCTCGTACTTCCATAAGGATCCACAATCGATTAATTGAGCGTTATTAAATTTTTTATAATCGAAAGCTTCAAGTGTGGAATCGCACGATGAAAACTGAAAACCCCACAAAATTTCACTCGGTAAATACGACGTACGAAAATGACACGCGAATCCAGTGTAATCAAACGCTCCTTCAATAATTGCAATGATTTCAAAATGTTCTTTTGCTAATGTCGATTTTTGAATACCATAGAGCGGACTACGACTATTAATTACATGTTCAACAACGGTTGGCCGTGGAAAAAATAGTTGACCATTACGAAGATGTGTTATTTCCATATCAAAGATTTGATGAGGTACTATTTCGCCTTCAAGTGTTCGTCGTTCACGAATCATTAATAAACGAACAGTAGCAGATATTAATTGAGAAGCTGATAAATTTCCTATAGAAAAAAAAACAAAATAATATTTCTATTCAGAACCATAACATGTTTCAAATATACCTATGCGAAATGTTAATGTCAACAGATTACCTCGTGAAAGAATTAGAGCTTTCTCACTGAAGACAACAAATTGAGATTTTTCTAAAAATAGAAATTTATAAGTTTCAAAGATTATCTTTTTTTCAAATGATGAATAGCTTTGTCCAATCAATTTTTTGTCTAAGTACAACTCATGGAAATTCAATACTTCATATCGCAGGCAAATCATAACTTCTACTCATATATTCGTAAGTCTATCAGCTTCCTACTAATAAACAATTTTTTCAAACATTTAGAATTCGCTGTTCAAAGTTGCTGGGCTTCATGCAGACTACATAACATGATGTTGTTTCTTTCCAATCAACTTGTTGTGCATTCACGTTTTCGTAAGCTTCGACTTCAATAAGATTCTTAAAGCAACAGTAGAAACTGAAATTTTCAGTCGCGTAATACAATCTTCGTTTGATTTAGATACGCGATATCAAACGGACAAAAGACGACAAAGTAACATACTTTTAAACCTGGGAATTTCTCTCGTCAGATTGAAAATTAAACTTGTAGATTGGCTCACTTTCCGAGTTTACAAACTTTCGAATCGATAGCAACTAGAGTTTTCACCTGTTGGCCTTGATAATTTTGTAAAAACAATTTGTGTTACTATCACTTGCAATAAATATCCCAATGATGATTGAAGTGTTAATACAAGAATTCCACCGATACATTCTGTTGTTATATATCGTGAACCATATCCAATTGTATGTTGAGTTTCAATAGAAAACAGAAGTGCACTTAGAAAATTATGCACATCTTTAACACAGGTTTCTTTGTCGGCATACGTATTTCCATGAGTAAGATTTGTTTGATTAGCTAATAAATTATTATTGTCATCTGTTAAAACAAAATCCCCATGTTCAATTGATATAAGAAAATAAAGAAATGCAAATGCAAACCAACTGAACAAAAACCCACATAGAACCAATGTTAATACAAGCCACCATTTAGCTTGCATGATAAATAAAATCAAATTCGAATGAATATGTTTAATACGCCCAATCGATAAATAACTAACATTAATGTGACCATCTTTATCAACAAAACGAAAGGCATCCGTTGATGATAAATCATTTATATTATCATTTGCATTAACAGTTCGATATTGTCCTTTGTTGTCATTAGTTTTATTCATTCTTCGTTGTGAGATTGATAGTGTAAATCGTAGAAGAAATATTTTCCTTGTAACGTCACAAGAACGAACGAGACGTCTAGCTGTATAGAATAATAACAAATAACTTTAGAATCTTTCATATCTGTATACATATATCTATCCGTGACAATTATTTTTGCACACATATTCTACTTGCCTACTGATAAACATGTGCATTTTTTTCTTCTTTTGTGCCCTATAAAGTTTCATTCATAAGGTACCTAGTGATATTTTGATAGTTATTTGTCGTTGTTAATGCCTGAATGATCACATTCTTTCATAAACATTCAATATATGTACCGTGATCGATTGGTACGTACACATGATCAAATTTGTCGTCGTCCTCGTATGTAACTTTTGAATAAACAAAACACAAATACAGGAAATAGTTTAGACAACTAGACAATATTATAGTCAAACTCAAACATGCAGCATGTACTTTCGTTGAAACTTCTAACGGAAATATACCTAAAATGTAAAAAAATCACCTGTCAATCAGTGTCGGACGTAGTTTCGCGAAATAGATAATTTATTTTCTAATATACTGTGAAATTCAAGATTATTCATGCTCTCGAAAAGAAAAAAAACAAATAAATATTCAAATATATTTTTTTCGGTCTGGGTAATTTTACGTTTTAGTAATATATGCTCCTATTCTTCAACATTGAAATTGTTTATGACAAGAAGAATGCAATTCTAAATTGAGTTTATGTGCGCAGACCATCAAAGAGATACAATACATATTATTCAAATATCGGTTGCACAAGCCGACAACAATTTTTTGAACCATTCTCAATGGTTGGATCCCTCGGGACGCAGAAGAATTACATTATTTTTTGTTTCAGTGTATGTACAATGTTGAGAAGCACTCCATGCAATACTATACGATGCATACATCTAGTAGCAGATGAAATAAATTATGCAGTATTTATCCCATTAAGTGTTCTAACATAAAAAGACATTTACCTGTCTATCGTCGAAGTGTGAAAACAAAAGAGATTGATTTAAGATATGTCTATACTCCAAGCATACTCTTGTTCTCATCTAAACTCTGAATAATGCACTCAAGATGGGCTGCAAAAATCACAATCAACTACAACAGTTGACGACAAGAATACCTCATGAATAGGTTTAAATGATCAAATTAAGAAACGATATATTGTAAGGTATGCTTTCACAGGTCGATATAAATAGTCCGAATATTGACTTATGTCATAGTATATGGGAACTGTCGTTTCTTTCAGGCAAATAGTTTTATAATTTTTGAATTCTAATTCTAATGCATCACTATGAATTGCTTTCAAATGGATCTATTTCTTCAGACAATAGAAACATGTTGTGTTCGATTTCAGCTATTATGTTTAGTCTTAGATTACACATTTTTCCGAAACATGATCCACTAGTAATGTTCAACTGTAGATTTGTGCTTTCTCTTTCTAGCATTAACACAAACTAGAGGTTAATAAAACACTATTTCAATGATTAGTTACGGTGGTTACATCGTATTTCTTAGTTCGGTTTTTTTCTTCTTCATTCCTAACTAAATCAACACTATTAAAAATCACAGCTTTCCCAGCAGAGAGTCATATATTTTTATTCACCGACAACGCAACACATTTCTTATCTCATCTTCGTTTCTTTTAATCTGAATATAAATCAACAATTACTCAAGTTGTCAATTGTTTGCCACTAGAAATTCTTTTCATCTATCTGCCACTTTCATGTACGAATGTGTCATAAAATAAAGCACACAAGGACTATACACGAAAAGTCATATTCGTTCATAAACATACTGACATCTGTAATCACGTAAAACCTGTGGTCTAGCAATGTCAACCAATAGATAAGAAATAAATAAAAACTTTCGAACGAACGACACGACGAATGGTTCATACTCTTCTTGTCTTCGTTCTTTTCAATTCAAGACATTCACTCGAATCCTCCAATGAAAAAATATTGATCAGTACAAAAATGAGGGGTATATAAAAACTACAAGAACTTCACAATGGTATTAATATTTATTCTATAATTTAACGAAATAAACAAATCGATTAATAATCAAATCATATCATGTCACCATCAAATTCAAATAGATTCTTCTCACGTCTACGATCATTAATAACAAATCAATCGAATAATAATAGAGAAGAAATTACTCATAGAAGAAGAAAACAAGAACGAAATTATGCATCAGCTATATTTAGTATGTTTTCTATAGCTACATTAGCTGTCAGTCTATTTGATTATCGTTGGTTTTGGGTAAAAGGTGGTCTATGTAATTTTAAATATATTGGTTTAAATATGTTTTTTTCTTTGGGAAAATTATTTGTTGTACGAGCTCCTGTTCCGTGGGATTCATCAGCACCGATGAATGAAATTTATCAATTTAAACCAAATAATAATATAGGTACGTTTGCTTTTATCCTAATATAAAAGACAAGAAAAAACAGAACAAAATTATTATTTTCGTTCTCAATAGAATTGACTGGTTGTGTCGATACACGTTCATTATTAATACTTCGTTTAATGATAACATTAATTTGTCTAGCAGTTGTTTCCTCAACCATTGGATTTATATTAGATGCATTAGGAGCAATGAAATATTCATTTAAATTTATGAGACGTTATGCTTTTTGGTATATACTATCAGGTAGAATAAAATTGATTGAATTAACATATTGCATTCTTGTTTTCTGTCCTAGTTTTTCTATGTATAATCGTACTTGGCCTTAGTTTTTATGTATCAGAAATAATCTATTCAATACAAGATAAGACTCGTTTAAAAATTGGGAAAAAAATTGAAGTACAATTTGATATAGCATATTATCTCGTTGTGATATCGAATATCCTTTCACTATTCGCTATTGCTTTTGCACTCTTAAGAAAATATCCAACAAACGAAGAAGAAGATTTTGACAGGTAAATGAAGAAGTTTTTGTTTTGAAAGTTTTACAAATGAAATCAAATTTAGATTAATTGATAATTGGTCAAGACGTGAACAACCATTATTTTTTGAACGCGCACTACCAGCAGTTACTCCCGATAATGATGAACCGCCACCAGATTATCATTCCGAAGAAAATTTACTTGTTTTGTAAATAAATATTTCTCATGCTCTTTTGTTTGTTGTCTTGATTATAAACAGTGATTTTGTTTACTTACACAATGTAGCTATGTGTACCAAATTTTAGATAATGAAAATATTTTATTCAAAAATTCTAAGTTCTTTCTGATTGCCTATGTGTCACTACTCATCATGGTTCTTTCTGAAAAACAAAAACATGAACTGTAAGATTGATTGATTGAGTTAATATTTTATTTTATTTTTTGTTAATTAAATATTTTGTATTAATATTTAGTAATCAAGCGATTGCTGATTATCTTGTGACAAATGGTTATACTGTATCATGTAAAGAATTTTGTAGAGAAGCGAATATCGTATGCAAATGATTGATAATGTTCAAATTTTTATGTTTTTATGTTTTTGAATATTTTCTAGCCTATAAACGATAGCGCTGACAAAAAAGATCAATTAGAAAAAAAATGGACTTCCGTTATAAGATTACAGAAAAAAGTAAGAAAAATCTATATATAAAAACTTCATATAGGTAAAAAATTGCTTATCATAGTTGACAAAGGCAAAAAGAGAATATGATAATCAGAGGAGGAATGTGTTTGAATAGCAAATAGAACAGAGGAATGTAAAGATCATCCTCTGATTTCTAAGTAGATACAAAATTAGCATTACTCATTTTCTGTATCCTATTGGTCGAATATCCGAAAGATGGCTGAGTTTTATTTCCTAGATCAAATCTTGATTTGATTTCAACATATGAATTACTGTTTTAAAGGTGATGGATCTCGAGTTAAAACTACAAGAAGCACTTCAAGAGGCAACAGTAGGCGGACCTACAAGAGAAAAACGTTCACCCGGCGAATGGATACCTCGACCTCCTGAAAAATTTGAACTAAGAGGTCATCGTGATACGGTGACGCATGTTGTCTTTCATCCAACTTTCGATGTAATAGCATCGGCCAGTGAAGATGCCACAATCAAAGTAAAAAGATAATTTTTAAATTAACTATTTTCTTTTGTTGTTTTTAAAGATTTGGGATTATGAGTCAGGTGAACACGAACGAACCTTAAAAGGTCATACAGCACCGGTGCAAGATATCGCTTTTGATCATACTGGAAAGTGGCTCTGTAAATTGAACGATTGGAATAAAACTAAGAATTTTATATTTCTTTTTTTAAATTTTATTTAGTATCATGTTCGGCTGATATGAGCATTCGACTATGGGATTTTCAAACATATCAATGCATAAAAACAATGCATGGTAAAATAGAAACGACATTTTTTTTAAATTTAATTTTTTAGTTGTTTGTTTTTTTCATATTTTAAGGTCATGACCATAATGTATCTTCAGTAACATTTACTCCTAGTGGTGATCATATAATATCGAGTAGTCGTGATAAAACAATTAAAATTTGGGAAGTATCAACAACGTAAGTTTCATTGTTTTGTTTGTTAAGTTTTTAAATAAAACAAGGAAAACAAATTCTATTAGATTTTGTATTAAAACTCTTATTGGTCATCGAGAATGGGTACGTATGGTACGTGTTTACCAAGATGGAACACTCATTGCAAGCGCATCAGTTGATCATGTATGTGATCCCTCATTTTTATTTGTCAATTAAATATCAAATGATTTTGATAGACGATAAGAATATGGTCGCTGCCAAGCGGTGAATGTAAAAGTGAATTACGCGGTCATGAAAATGTTGTTGAATGTATTGCGTGGGCAACTGACTCTGCTGGACCATATATATCAGAACCTATTGCTAATGGCGGAACGGAGGTACGTTCTTTTCTGGTATTACAAGTAGTATGTTAGTGGAAAAGTTTTAAGTTTTGTTATAAAAATTTTTGCAGAGCTTTCGATGTATAAAGTTTGAATATTCTTCAATTTATATTATTATAATCTAATTTCGATAAGAACTGTTGAGTTTGGTACGTGATAATTGTATTAGATTATACGTTGTCGTTTCTTCTAATGTCTACTGGGTGTTCAAGAATTTGTAAGTCGTAGCAAAATTAGTTTATAAGCAAATAGAGAATAGTAATTAGCTGTACGTTTTTATATGACTATTGATTATTTATACGAATGTTTTCAATAGTATTCTGTCATCATCATGTGTTTTTATCCTATAAATTTTCATTAATTCACCAAGTCTTTCAGAAATCTTATGAAGCATCATAAATAGTTTTGTTCATTCAAGATTGTGATTGTTTTTCTCGTTATATTCCCTATACGATCCCTTTGAGACATACGACGTCAGCAATTTAAATGTTACTTTCTCGAGGTACAAATCGATTAAAAGTATAAACTTCATTTTACATTGGACACGCAACATTTCCATACATACCGATCCGACGGTTCATTAGATTTTGTGGGCGAATCCGTAGTCCATGATTTGCGTTCAGTGCTAAAGTAATAGATATTTTTTTTTTATGTACAATTCATTTTAACATTTCCATGTCGAAATTTTATTATTATTATTATGAGAGCAGAGATATCATTAAAAAGCTCCACATTCGATTGGTGCCTATTTTCTTTATGCAGATAAACGAATGTTATCATGCCTCAAGACATATTGAACATTTTCTATACATATAAGAGTATAGAACAAGTAGGGGTCGAAAGAATACAAAAAAAAAGAAATACAAACATAAAGTTCATCAAGTGTTTTATTCCCACTGAATGTTCGAGATAATCATTCTGATGAATCATACTTACTTGTAATCTTTGAATTTATCGGACGTTTTTCTATTTTTTCTACTCTCTGATATGTATAGATAACTTGGTATTAGAGGAAAGCACTGGTTGCGATGTACCGTTCCCTATTAAAGACTAGTTTCCATCAATACTATATTTTGCAATCTATGAAATATTCTCAAATCTGATGTTAACTTCACATATCATTAAAAAGTGATCGCACAGAGAGAGAGAGAGAGAGAGAGAGAGAGAGAGAGAGAGAGAGAAAGAAAGGTTGTAAGAAATTAAAATATTTCCATCATTACTTTTGTTAATTAGATGCAACCACGCTCTGGCCCTTATCTTGTATCCGGTGCACGTGATAAGACAATTCGAATTTGGGATGTTACAAATGGATTATGTTTACTTATATTGGTAAATAATGACATCTAAATAAAAGATTTCTTTTTCTTTAAATACTGCTTTTTATATTAGACTGGCCATGATAATTGGGTTCGTGGTCTTCTCTTCCATCCGGGTGGAAAATATCTATTGAGTTGTTCTGACGATAAAACTTTACGTGTGTGGGATATAAAAAATAAAAGAAATACCAAAACTATCGATGCTCACACTCATTTTTGTACTTCACTAGGTATAAAATTTTAAAAAATTCAATTGTTTTTCTTATCGAATATCATTCATTTTAGATATGCATCGAAATAAACCATATGTGATTACCGGCAGTGTAGACACATCAGTTAAAGTATGGGAATGTCGTTAGTTTTTACTATTTATTTGTATATGCTACTCTTGCAATAGCTCCTTTTTCTACTTGTCTGTAGTCATGTATCAAAGAAAAAAAATTTGTCCGAGCGAACAAAAACTCTATTTTTTTGACATATGACCGATAGAAAAGATGACTAATATTCCCGTGCTGCTTGTGTATGTCTGTTGGTTTTATTTGTGTGTGCCGCACTGTTTGTTTAGAGAGTCGTGCTCTTTTTTTTTCTGTGTGTTCGTGTGTTGATTGGTTGTCTTTATTTCTTTTCTTTTTGCTCTATTCACTACATTTCGCTCAAATACAGTACAGAACTTCGAAAAAAAAACAGAACACAAATATAAAAACATTGCACCGGAAACATGAGATTCAATTGAGCAGTGAAGAAAGATCTGCATTTATTCTTTGTGTAGTAACCAAATACATGTTTGACCAATGCCTGCCATGGAAATAACGCGGTACCCGATTTTTTCAAGTTTGTCAAGCACGATTCGTGCACAATCATCTGTACGATATTCGGCACTGCAAAAACAAAATATGCAAATTTTTTAGGAATAATCCAAATAATATTAAATTTACAAACCTGTTCCAGATATATTTTCGCTGAAAACTGTCTTTGTTCTTACGAAATCACAGTTACTCATTCAATACATAGAAGACAAAAGCAACTTAAAAAAATCGCAGCAAAATGATGATGTTAGAATAATGCATCGTGGTGTGTGTGAATGTAGGTATAGATCTTTTATGCATATGTCAGCGCATGTAACAATATTCGCAAGTACATAAACTAAAATTCGACGAGCTCAAAAGTTACCGGGATTCATTAAAAGTGTTTAGAAGCTGTTGAGAAATTACATTTGTCTTAATCTTGATTTTAAAGAAAAACTGTTTATTGAAAATATACGCAAAAGTGTAGAATTATAAAAAATCTATTTAAAAATCATATGTTCAAGCCTTTTCTATCGAAATAGAAATAAACCCTAAAACAGTATCTTGAAGAATCAAACATAATTTATGAGACGGAATTCAATGCTAGTGTGTTTTCGATTTCGTAGGCTTCGTTTCAAACTAAACAGCTGATCGGAATCGGAGTAAAGACACAAATACTTCTATATCTTAATAGCTGACTACCATCGTACGATAGTATGATGAAAAAACATCTTTTAATGATTAGAACAACGATAAATTAAATGTAGAAAAAAAAAAGATTATTATCATGTTTATCACCAGAAATCAGAATTGTAAATCGATTCGCTAAGTCAATTCTATTATGCAAACTTTTGATAGATCAACTTATCGTAAAGAGATATCATTTTTCTCATTTGAAAGTACTATATATATATATGTAATACTTATTTAGAAATCAATCGTAGCTAAGAGCTCCTTTCGCAAAACTTCCAGTTATAGATCTAGTCAAAGATTTACATTTCTAGTGCAGACGAAAATCATACGATTGAGTTCTTTCATTGGTTCGTGTTGAAAAATCTTTCTTCAATTAATACTTACTAAGTATTGCACTTTTCCCGAAAGAGCTTTGCTCCTAGATGAGCCATGATTTCTGGGTCAACGTTTTCATCGCCTACAACTGTTGGCCCTGGTTCAAGACGAATTTTAGTACTTATAAGTAAATGAGGCATATCTGAAAAAAAAACAGATGATTTATCTAACACAAATATTCATTAATCAAAATAGAGGTTTTTCTTTTTTTAACAATTCAACAAGTTTTTCAAAGTTCGGTCTATCTTTTGGATCATCAGTCCAACATGATGCCATTATTGAGAAAATTTTCGGTGGACATTTATCCGGTTGTTTCAAACGTTCACCTAAATTAATGTTTATGCTCAATAATCAAAAGTCATAAACGATTTCTTTTACCACGTTTAACTGCATCGATCACTAGGTGATTAAGTATTATATTTTCATAAGGTGTATCAGCTTTAGAAAAAACTTCCCAAATCGTTACACCATAAGACCAAACATCTGATTTATTTGTGTATGGTGCTATAAAAATAATAAAAAAAGATTAAATAAATCTAAAAATATTAACTAAACAAACAAACAAACCATTTGAAAATACTTCAACAGCCCACCATCTTGTTGGAATTTCTTTGATCTGGCAGAAATATTCTTCGTCTGATTGTAAACATCTTGACAGGCCAAAATCAGCGACTTTTACTCGATTCTTTTTATCAACTAAACAATTTCGAGCAGCTAAATCGCTTGAATACACAAAAACAGACGAACTTCTTAAGTGATTTCTTTCGATAGAATGACATACCGATGTATTACATTACGTTTTTCTAAGTATGCCATTCCTTTAGCAATATCATAGCACATTAGTATCAATTGTGAAACGCGTAAGTCATTATCTTTTAAATACTTATTTAAACTGCCCTCTAAAATAGCTAGCAAATATATTGAAACAAGACATAAAAAGTAATTCTACATACGCTCAATCAATTCCATGATAATCATCAGTGGATCGCGTATAGCAGCGATGCCAAGAAATTTTACAATATTTTTATGCTTATATTGTTGAAGTAGAAGAGCTTCGTTAATGAAATTTTTTCGACTTGGAGAACTTTGACCTGTTGATGATTCATGAAGAATTTTTACAGCTACAGATTGACCACGATATTCACCACGAACAACATTACCGAAATGACCCTATTGATGACAAAGAGAAAAAAAACATTAAAAAAATCAATTCGCTAAGAAATAAAGCCTTAATAAATATTTAGTTAGTTCGGAAGCGTTAAAGTAATATCTTGAAAAAATGAAATACTATATGTATGCATTTGTTATTAAAATAATAAAGAATAAATACAAATGAGTTTGCTTCTACACATTAAGTTTTTTTCGATTTTGTTAAAGCAAAACTCATGTTGACATAACTTTCGAAAAGAGTTGAGGGATTTAATACGTGCCAAGTTTCAACACAAACATCAATTTTTTAAAACTCACTTAAAATAGGCAACACCCAATAAGCCTTATAAGAGGCAGTTTTTATAGGTTTTCTTGAATCTCAGTAAACTCATTCGACAAGATAACGCCCAACACGAAAGCATTTCTTCAATCGTCTAACACTCTATGCATCTTTTAAAATTTATCATAATAGAACACCAGAGTATTTTTTTTAACGAACAGATCATTCGTTTCTATTTCGGATCGTCTAGTTTTTTTCCTATTGTTGTTAATGTTATATTTATCTACAAGATTTTTCAGAGAGAAATACATAATTCTCTTACTTTTCCTAAGATATCCAATGTACGAACATCATCATTGTTAACTATATAATCCGGTCTTGCTATGGGTCGAATTAATCGTGCGCCACCTTCTCGTAATTCCAGTTTCTGTCTTTTATAAAATGAAATCAATTCAGGAATGGATGGCTTTGCATTGGCTTGTGATTGGAATAAAAACATCTGACAAAAAATAATTAAATTAAATTTCTAACCTATAGATTCACATCTTACATGATTTCGTTCATGAATTAAAAAGTGTTCATCTTTTACTCTTTGTCGATTATCTTGATCTGTCCACAAGATGGATAAAACAAAATTTCCTTGTTCATTTATACGAACTAAATAGTCGCCTTTCTCAATTAATTTGCTAATAGTTTGACTGCGTGGCATAACACCATGAAAATACAGTTGATCTTCAAGTCGATCGGTTAACTAGAAAGATAACAATAGATAATCATAATTATGATTTTGAAGTATTTTACATCTTCATCGGAATCGCCATTGGATTCATCATCTGATCTATATCCAACGTTTCGTAATGTTGATTTTAGCTCATCTCGCAGTTGTTCTTCGAATCGTTTTCTTACTCGTGTATAATCTATGGATTGTCTTTGTTCGAATAGATCCTTTCTTCCTTCGTAGGAACTGAAAGAAAAATCATTTTCATCAGACGAGAAAGAAATAACTTGTTGTTACTAACTTTTGTTTATCTCGAGTAAAATCCACGATTTTCGGTATTGGCTCATTTATACTCAACGTTAACGATTGAATTCTAGAGCAACGAAATAATTAGTAAATTTACATAAGAAAAACTTCTTCTATGTTTTCGTGTAAGACTTTTGTTTTAAATCTTGTTTCGTTGAACTATCACAGATAAATTGATTTAGCTTTAATTTTGTTAAACCGGATGTTTGAAGAAGTAATTCATTAAATACGAGAGAATTCGCCTTCAACGGAGCGACACTAAATAAATAGATGAATAAATTTATTTCAAGAAAGTAATGGTAAAATAAAACGAACTTCGAATGATTTTTACAAATTTCATCATAGAAATGACGTGGATCAAGAGAAGCTATCATTCGTCTTAATGTTTCCGTCGCTGCTGTCGATTCATCATGTTTATAACTTAAATGACTAGTCACAGTTTCGAGTAAAGTTCGCCTAGATGATATAAATATTAATATTTTTCAACATAGATTCATTTTACGGACCATGATTTATTAATGAAAAATTGAGATTCTTCATGATAGTTAATTAAACTTCGAAGTTTTTGCACATGTTCTTTATCAATTAAATTATATTCTCGAATTTTAAAAATATAATCATTATGTGCACGATATACATTGGCTCGTTTTTCAATCACAGCATCTTTTAAACTTTTTACTCGTGAACCATCATTTTTACGAGCATCTAAATAGGTTAATTAGAGAAATTAAATTTCAACGTCTCTCTCCGTTGTTCATGTATAAAACGCCGTGAATAATGTTTTCAGTTAGGCATATAAGTTTCATAAAAAACCAAACATGTAGTTTTTTTTAACCTACTGTTCCCAATCAAAATCAATCCTTGTTCTTTTTCTTTTCATATAATCCATAATAAATTTACATGTCTGTAAACTAATATACAAGAAAATATGGTTATCAATACTACTTTTGTTAAAATAATATTCTTATCAAGCTTTTATTATAATACTCGAGTGCATCAACGAAGTATTACTCACTTCGTATGCTTACTCATGTATACTCGACATAGAAAATTTTGTTGTTTTTGTTCGTTCTCATCACTTTAAGTTTAACGGCAGATTTTTTTTATCCCGAGCAATCAAAGATTTTTTTTACTTTAATGAAAAAGCAGCTTACTATTCTGAAGTTTTGTTAGTTCATTATTTTTGGCTACGTAGGATTTGGCTTCTTCTAAATAACGTTTATCAGCATCAGCAACATCACGTTGAGCCTAAATAATTATCATAATAAAAAAAAGTACAATACAAGAAAGAATTATGCCAATGAAAAATTCGTTCTATGGTATTTAATGAACATGCGACTTACCAAAAATTTAATTTTTTTTCTATTATTTAAATAAAATGCTTGTTTTTTTTGAAAATACAAAGAGGAATTGAGAGACTCACCTTTCGATGTTCGCCATCATATCGACGTCTTTCTTCTTCAAAGAATGTTTTTGAATCAGTTTTCTGTTCTAACAATCCTTTCATTAAATCGTCCAATACTGATTCTCGAAATAGTTTAGCATTGGAACTCATTGTTATTGCTAGTTGAGACCATTGAGAAAAAATTTCTCGGGATACCTTTTTTTACAATAAAATAATATTAACTATAAAACAGTACTTTTCTTAATGTTTGCCATTCATTTTACCGGCGCAATCGGATGTGTACTGGTCGGCCATGAAATTTTATTGGCATTTGCTGTTAAATCTTGAAGGTTTTTTGCGTATTGTTCATCAATTGAAGCTCTTTTTTCCAGAATTTTTTTAATATCTTGTAAAACCTTGCATTCATCACCTACAGCATTAGTTAATATTCGACAGCCTTCATCACTGGAAAAACAATCGGACAGTTGATTGACAGCATTAGTCCATAAGCAGGGTGTTGATGCATGAAGATGACTCATTTTTATATGTGACTTTGAAGCATTTACGTACTCCTGTATGTTTTTCTTTTCTATATTTTGTCTTTATGCTTGTGCCGAGTTTTTTTTCATTTCTTATCGCTAGAAGTCAAATAGCAATTACTGTCCGTTTGGCATTTTTATTATATATAAGATGCCAGTAGTTTACAAGCTGTTGCAGAGGGCACGACTCGACAAGAGCGAGCTCAATTTCTACTTAAATTTTAAAATACAATAAATACAATGGAACAGTCAACATGGTATTAAGAATATTAAAATTATCTAACTTGTGTCGAACACAAAACAGGCAAATCAAAAAGAAAAAGATTTGCAATCTAAAACATAATAAACATGAAGCGAATCTCTTGTTCATTTTAGTTTTACTGCAGCAAGAGACAAAAAAAAGAAATATATATATAAGAACGAGGCGTATGCGTATTTACATAAAATTTACACTGATGTGTTTAAAAATAGAGGAATAAATATACTTTTTATTTACCAAAAGCAATCGAGTAGAAGAACGAAGAAATAAAAACGAGAAATGTAATCATTTACTTGCTTAGGAACGATTCAATCATTAGCCATAGAGTTATATGTGTCACTATTGATTGACATCATGTTTTTATTCAAATCAGACCTCGAAACGAACTCGCCGTATTTGATTATAATTATAAGAAATATTCACGCAAGAGAAAAAAAACAGTTAAATATATAGGAAAGATACTGGTGATTTTGAGATGAAGTATAATACCTGATTTACAGTATACTTTAAAATTGAATCTCTATTTATTTAATAATGCGAACTCTTTTCGCTCTGTCTATTATCAAATCAATACAAATTTAACTCGCGTTCGCCATACGGATTCCATTGAAAAAGAAGAATTTCTATTGAAATTGTTTTTTATTAATCGATTCCATAGAATCTAATCAATAAGAATAATATATCGAAAGAAATTTTTATAATAAGATTCCACTGCATTACTTTATTTATGAGAAATATGATAATTCATTATTGATTATCATATTTCTTATTGTAAAACTATATTCAACAAGAACAACAGCAAAAAATACTTCGATATATAAACAAAAGAAAAAGAAAAAGAAACGCTGAAAAATTTAGTTGAATAATTCTAACCTAAAACTCTGCTTGTTTTTGTTTTAAATATTAGATCTGACACACAAATAAAATATAGAAAAATATTTTGTTTTAAAATTATGTCATTGAATTAACCATCGCCCGTTTTGGTTCAGCTGTTTTATAAAAAACATTTTTAACAAGTAAACACCGGGGACTTACATATAATGAACTTTTCTCTTTGAATTGTTTGAAGATTTTCATTTCAGGTAAAAATCTTCGCAGTGTAAATACTTTTGTATCTTCATGTAAATCGATTTCGAGTTCAAATATTGTTTTCTGCTTTGGATTTATTCTTATTAATGGTAGATATTTAATTATGGTTGATTTCATATCCGTTGATAATAATGTTAGTTTTATTTTAATTTGTGCGCCCATAATACCAAATGGTTCTTCGGCTGACATAATTAAACATTGTTTAGCAATATTTCGTATATGATTACATGGAAGAAATAAATTATTACATGATAAATGCTTAATTTTACTCTCACGTAATGTTGTCAACAAATGTTTCGATATCAATGATATGTGTTCTTCACGTAGATCAAGTTCAGGATCGTAATTAAATATTGATTGTTGAGGTTCATTAGATTTGAGATCTTTTTCAGTTGAGTTATATTTAAAAAAATTCATTAAATTCATTTTTATTTTTTCTACTAACGTCGAACTTGTTTCTTGTGTTGATGATGTATCACATATGAGATTTGTTTGATTAAAATAATATTGTAATGTATTTGTTGATGAACTATATTTTTTATTTACTAATGTATTTGTTGTTGAAGATAATGTAGCTGGTATTGGACACGATACATTACGTGCAAATGGTTGTTGAGTTGATAATGCTAAAGATGGCATTATTCAATCTAAAATTTTTACAGATATTTTTATAGGTATGTTTTGTTTTCTATTTTAGCGATAAGAGAAGAGTTTATCATCGTCGATGAAAAGAGAAAAGTATTTGATGAAGTTACCTCTTATCTGTATGAATGTCACCGAAAAATGATGTTGAGTTGTATGATAGAGTGTCGTCGTCGCCGTCTCACACTCGCTCTGAACTAGAAATGCATTGTAGGGAGCCGTTACTCTTTTTCTCTCGTTTTTTCTTCTATTCTCTGTTTCTCTCTCTCTCTTTTTTCTCTTGCCGTATGATGGCTATATGAAGTTTCTCTTTTTTTCTTCGTCTGTGTTCTCGCTCAGCACAGCTGATTGTTGATGAAACCGAAGAAGTACAAACCATATATAAATATATATACCGACCGGGCTCGTTCTTTTTCCATTCTGTTTACTCGCTAGGCAAAAGAGAAAAACAGCTGCTTGTCATATCGAATGATTGGTCGGCTTTTGACAACTTCATCTGATAATAAAAAAGAATAAGAGAAGAACACGAAGAAAAATGAAAGAAATCTCTTTTTCTCTCTACTTCTCGTGTGTCATTCAGTGCTTGGGGTGGTATATGCTGTTCGCGATAATGATGTGAATTCGGCATAAAAGATTTCTCGATTGTATGCATGCATGTTACATAGGATGAACCAAAGCCCTCGGCTATCGATCACACATGTGTCGTGAAGTGTTCATCATTAAAATACAATGCAAAAAAAAGCGAGCCTCCTTTTCCCCTTTGTTGCATTCCTATTTTCCATATAGTCGATATGTTTCAATTGATAGACAAAAAAAAAGAGAAAAACTCATTATCACTCTCTTGATACAAAATGACAGACGACGAGAACAATTGCAGCTGATATTAAACACGATTTTTGACAAAGAACAAATTGATCTTGTCAGCTGGTTATTGTAATAGACAACTAAAAACATTAATACATTCTCGAATTAATCTATAAACATTGCTCGTTGTTTGTTCTATCCTTATAAATAATGACAGACATTCGTTTTTCTCAATAATATGAGTTCTTTTATATTACAAATGAATTCACGCAGCAACTACGTGCTGACTTGCTATTCAATTAATCATAGTATTCGTATCAAATTCATCATGTCTGTTTACTAATGATTCTCTTTGAAAATAGACATATACATTCGTAGGTAACAAACACACCACTTGTCATTAATATACAGGTTAATTACTGATTGACTGAGAGAAGAAGAAGAAGAAAAAGAAAAAGAAAAAGAAGAAGAAAGAAAAAAGAGTACTCCTTCACCCCTCTCTCTTATACATGCCTCGAATTGTGCTTCTTTATTTTTATTAATATAGTTACAATCATAAAAAAGAAACCGACGAGAAGTAGACTATTGACAGAATTATCTTGACAATTTATTCGTTTTTTGTCAATATGCTCGAAGAAATTATATTAATGATTTAGGTAAACAGTTGGAAATGAGATTTTTCTTTCTCTTGATTAAGTTTCAATTGGCGAACAGTAAATCAAATAGAGATCACATTGACAATAAAAAAAAATAAAGTGGAAATCGGGGATTTCGTTTTCTTTATACTCATTTAACATATGTATTAAAGAGCATCATCTATCGAATATCACGACAAAATATAAGATTCTATAAGCCCATTACTATTGGCATTATTAGTTTTGTCATCTATTGATATGTATATAGCATGTATAAATTAAAATTCTCTACTTTCTCTTCTATATTGCATATATATTCTCATCAAGCTGGTCACAAATTCTTAATCCACTCCCAACTACTTTACATGTCAATTGTTTAATAATTCCACTTTTCTACATGACGCCAGCTGTCAACTAGAAAACAAATAGCTGTTTGAATTCACTTGTGGGTTTAATATACCATCAATCACCTTCGAAATCTGTGCCTATATCAATAGAAATGCAATAATTTTGATACTATATATATATATATATATATATGAAACCCCGGTTGAGATAGGCGAGCTTTTTTTTTAATGATTAGATCTTATCGAAAACTGAATGACGCTCGTTTAAATTATACTGATATATGCAAAGAAATCGGTATGCTATACAATCGCCCGATCATGAGCATAAAAGAGAGAATTAATTCATATTTGCATATTTGACACCATCATCAAACACATACACATTGGCACTCACGAAGGGAGTGGTCCTTTGTCGGGATATCGCCTATATACTTTTCGTCGGTCACAGTATGACACTAACAAAAAAAAAAGAGCTCAACCAACGAAAAAAAAAATCAAACGAATATGTGAACTATAGGTACAATTAAAAAACGTTTGTTGCTAATAGAATTCTACGGAAGTATCAATCAAGAATCTACGATAGTCTATCTGCCGGAAGGATATATTTATGCAATTCTAGAATTATATTTTCCATTTAGTTCATACCTACAGGAAGCACGCTTCCTTTTGTTTTGTCATTAAAACGCGATAGATTTGTTAACATGAAATTTATCCATTTTCTTGTAATGTGTATGATGTTCGTGATCAAATTTTCCTTTTTTTGATCTTGATTTACTCAAGAAATGGAATAGTTCAAAGCATGCGAACATATTATAATAGTTTATATAAAGAAAAACAATGCATCAAATGATATTCTGTTGATCGACTTGAAAGAAATATTAATGTTGATGAGTTTTTTGCTTCTCTTCTTTTTCTTTTTTTGTTCTATTGACAGCAACCAAAAGAAAAGACAGATGGAGTTTTACAAGTGATATCGACTCAACAGTTCACATCTGCTTGATTGGCAAATAAAAGTTTATTATTTATATATTTTGCTGAACAAATGTCATCGATTATCATCTTTCATTTGATAATATCAGAACTTTATATGTTGTAAAATTTTGAACTCTATGAATGTCAATAGATTATGTGTTATCTAATTTCAACATCTTATGTCGACAATTAAGAAGGCGATTAGTGGATGATAAAGCTTATTAGTTTTGACAAACAATATCTCGTATCAACTTTGAATTTTAACACTTTCAAAATGCGTTCTTTTATTTAAGATATTCTATACAGTTTGGTAATGGACTTTTAATGAGTACTAAAGAATGAAATATTAAAATAAATATTCATGAATGATTGTTTGATGATTATATTCAGTCGGCAAGTCAAATGGTATTTTCTACCTCATTTGTTTGATGATTAACTCAAGCAAATCTATGCATTGAATATTCTGCACGTAATGATTGATTGATGGTTATTCAGGAAGTCGTCATTGGTTAATCTCAATAGTATTTTGTCTAACAGAAATAAAGATTGCTAACTAAAAACTAAACATGGTTCTTGTTATTCCATTATAAGTTTATTCTTCTTCTAAGCATTGAACTAATGTTTTCAATAGAATTAATGCGGTGCTTATTCTCATTTTTCTTTGTGGTTCGAAACATATATAGCTATATCAAATTCTCAGTCATCATTCTTTAGTCTATTTATTTCGTTTACTTACGAATAAAATGAATATCGCCTTAAAGAATAATTTATTCAAAATAAATGCAAAGAAGATTTAACTTAAGTGTTTGACATAAAGATAAATTTGTTTTTCTTCTATAATTAAATGCAAGTTTCTTTTTTGTTATTTGCAGAAATAATTGATATTAAATGATATTATTTAAATATCGAAAGTTCAAATTCTACTTTGGCTTCTCTCCAATTCTTCAATCGGAACTTTGTTTCTATATTGAAGATATTTCAGTTGATTTAATTATGTAGATAAATCTGAAATTAACATTTGATTTATTCATTTTAATCAGTACCAACTACTTCAGACTAACAAATAGTTTAGTATGCATTCTATTCGTTGGAATATTTGACAGATATGATTATCATCGGTTGAAAATGATTTAATGCGCTTCTTTATTGGATTATTCGAAGAAGCGAAACGATCAATAATGTTTTGTGAAAGAATATCTTGACATGTTTTCACTTAAACTATTTCAAATCATATTTTTTATCTTTAGATACTACATTATAGTGTATTGAAAAGTAAAATTGATGTTTTACTATCAATTTTTACCAGAGACCTCTGTAGGACTGGAAATTTTTAGATAAAATTCGTTATGCAATAAAACTCATTTCCATTTGAAGATCACACATGCAATAGCTTAAATAAATATATTCGAATTTGAATGAGTGAATATGTTTAAACTATGAACGCTATGAAGAAAAAACTCTTCACGATATTTGCCTCTATTATGGTTAATCTTATAACTCAAGAGATATGAAGCCTTTCAACTCTTCACGCACACGCGCATACACGGTTATATATGAGACCTTCAAAAGTCAGTCGTTTCAATAAGGAAATATTTTAAGTTCTATATAGATGTCTGACAAAGAGATAAATTATGAATTGCACAGGTCACCCAAGCCTCAACAATAGATTTTTTAATAGAATAAAATGCCATATCCGTAAACAAAAGTCACTTAAATCGGAAGGAAGTCTCAGGAGGTTCGCTCGTTAGTCATTATAATCAAAAAATGGCAATGCGATCATAAACAGAGATGTCTTGATAACTTTTGTCAACAACAATAAAGTTCATTCAGTCTTTTCTAAACAAAGAGTTACATGGATATGACACACATATTGTATAGTCTTGTTAATATATTCGAGTTTCTTTCTGCTGCCTAGAATCGAACCATCATATTTTGAGTAATATTTGTTACGATTAGGCTAGCATGTATAGCTATCCTGTATCTATTTACTTAATGACAAGACATATTTCATTAATTTTCATAGCGGATCATCAACTATCTCCATTAATTATCTTCTAAATTTTTTTAACTATTATCACTGAATGAAAACAATGGTTATACCGATATAAAACGTCTTAATTCGCATCCCATATTAAAATCCATGAATTTTATTTACGCACAACATCTATAAAGAAAACCGGTCAATATCGAAAACAAAAAAAAAGAACAAAAACAATACAAATACAAATTGTTCACTATATTTATATATGTTTGCTCTCACTCTCTCTCTCTCTCTCACGCGAAAAAAAGAAAAAAAAACATAGTTTGATGTTTGAATAATATTTTAAAAAATAAATATGTATTGAGTAAAAGAGAAATAAAAAGACGACTGACTAGGCCGTGGCCGATATAGAATTAAAATAGTTTGTTTGTAAATTATCGATTTTATGTGATGCTGATGAACTTATTGAATTTGATCGCGGCAAAGTTTCAAAAAGAGATATTGATGATGTTGATGAATATTGTTGATTATTTACAACTGATGATGATGATGGGTTAAGTAAAATATCGATTTGTTTTTGAATAAATGCAGTATTTTCTTCAATATCTTTTGTATCAATTAATAATGCTGATTTCATTCGTATGAAATGATCATACTCATCATATTGTTCATCAGAAAAGTATTTTCGAAGAATATTTGTTACTAAACGACTACGACGATCAATACCATCTTTTAATGATTTTGCTTCATCATGTTTTTGTTGAATTTTTTCACGTCGTTCCAGTAAACTTGCCTGCAATGAAATGAAATGAATAAACATCGTACTGAATAAATATAAGAGAATACTATCAAGTGCGGCAGCTTGTTTGATTCTGAAGTTAAGTTCGTTTTAGTCACGTTTTGACTGTCAACCTAGTGAAAGATCAACTAGCATAGTTGGACCAGTTTGGAAGTTTTGCATGACAAAAATTTGTTTAGATTTCGAATAGTAAATAGAAAAGCTCATAAAATAATTCCGACTCTTGTACAAGTGTTTTTCTTAACGGTATAACTGTCATTAGATAAATATTTCTGTCTTCAGTAAAAAGAAAAAAAAAAGATGCAGCCTTGTCGTCTTAGTGTATTGATTCATTTTTTCTTCTTGAAAATTTAAAAGCAAAAATAAATGCATCCTTATAGAATTTACCTTTGTCTGAGCGTTATCATTTGTAATCATCAATAAATCATTCTCGACTTTAGCTAATCGACAACTAAGTTTGAGAAGAATTGATGTAATTGTATCAATTTCACTGATATGTAATTTGACTTTTTCGATTTCATTTAATTCAGCTTTTGCTTCGAGTAGATTAATTAACTAAAAAATGCATAAATAAAAAATCAATAGAATCTTTCTGTTCTCTTGTTGTTTTTTCTATTCATACTTTTGTACCAAGGATTGCATTTATTTCAGTTTCATCCTTGACTATTCTTTGATTTGTTTGTAACATATCTAAAGTTCTTCTCAAATTTAACAGTAAATCTTCCTGCTGAAAACAAATTCACAATGATATTTTATTTAAATTAAGTTTTAATTTTATTACCGTTTGTCGAATATTATCATTCGAGCTTTTCTGCATATCATTGGCATTATTGTTTGCTGAATTTTGTCTTGAACGATGTCGTTTAAGATGATCAGGTATGGGAAACAAATTTCTAATATAATCAGAACTACGGTGTTGTTCCTTGTTTATATTAGATACATTTGAATTCGGCGAGAGAACCTTTCTTAAATCATTTTCAGAATTCATTTTTGTTGGCAGCGAACTTTTCAATTCGTTTATCGGTGGCGTTTGCGCTGAACGTTGTACTGCTTTAACGACTCGGACTGGTTTTTTATACATATTGGGTTGGACTGGTACTTGATTTGAGAAACTATCAAAATATTTTGTTGTTCTTATCATTGAGTCAGGAGAAGCTTGTTGGCTACATGACAAAATCATTTTTGTAAATATCTTTTTTAACAAAAATGATAAACATGAGATAACACATTTCACGTGCGCCATTCTTTTAGTCATGTCTAACTCAAATGCTGCAAGTGATCCTCTGTATTACGATGTCAGTCCCGTATACGAACGTTATACACGTTTATTTCTTTTTGTTTCCGGCTTAGTGTGTTTAGGATCAATCATATGTGCAATTGTAAAGGCTCATGATGAAAAAAAATTTTATATTATTATAATTAGTTTAGTTTCATCAATATTTTTTGTTGTATGTATTTATCTATTTTTTAAACGACGAATTCTTCTAGCTGAAAAACTTTGGTTTGTTAATTTAACGATATGTATCTTATTTTTACAAGCATTAATTTATTTAATATTCGTTCTTATTAAACCCTATCCTATTGCTTTGACAACAACAACAGCAACAACGTTAACATCAACTGATTCAACAACATCTGGCAATACAACTAATATGACTAATATAACATCGACAACTACCACATCATCAGCCATGCGACAATCGTGGGAAAAACAATTGTTTTTAACTAAACTATATGAACTTGCTGAAGAAAATTGAAATACTGTTTATTGTTTTTCTTCCTATATTTAATATTTCGATTTATAAATTCTACTGATTTGATTATAATCCTAACTAACAATATTGATATATTTATTTTACAGTTTGTATAAAATACTATATATGTATAAGTAGATTTTTCTGATTCTATTTATTCGTGTGTATTTTTAACTGTTTTTAATTCTTCTAGGAGATTTGGAAAAATATTCGATTTCTAATTTTGAGTCAAAATTAATTTTTTCACTATACACAAAATGCTTCAGGTAAACATCATAATACGAATACGAATAGCGAAAACAATACCGTTCGTGTCAAAAACAATCAAAAATATAATTGTTAAAGTCTATATTTAGAAGCATTGATTGTATTCGCTAGATCAATATAACATTCTAGTTAGATTAGTATAGGAACACAATATACAGCTGTAATCAACATACAGGACAATCAGAAAAAGATAAGTATGATAAACTTTTGTAGTTCTGAAGGATTCTTCTAATTTCCTGTGACCTCATCCTACATGTGTAGCCTCTACCGTTTGGCTGTTAAGCTCGTCGTCGGCATATACGTTCTCTTCCACTTTGCACGTGAATAATTTATCTTCGTCATTAGAAATAGAATAATACTTATAGCAGACAAGCAAATGGCTGATAACGGAGTAACTTCGTAACTTAGACCTAAGCTATCAATATCAAACAGCGCACGATGGCAAGCCCATAAAAATGCTATCAGTAATAATTAACATTTGATTTCCTCATAAAAAATGCAGTTTATTTCTTAAAGACAAACACAAGATTTGAGATAACAACACGAAGTCTCCCTTCACAATAATAATACGATTATTATCGTTTTGCTTCAATTTAAACTAAGTTATAAATTTTTTTGACAACCTAAATCTGTATTGAATCGAGAATGAAGAAACATGAATTGTAATAGCCGTAAAAAGAAAATAAAATGCAACTGATACTTGAATTGATTAATAAAATAAAAAACTCTAGTTGACCGATTCAAATAAAAAAGAAACACTTGATAATGACATTGTCAGATCTATGTTGCTGTTATTTAGATGAAGTTGTCATTTTGAAATGTTGACACAAATACTCAAAACATTCAATAAAAATCTATTTGTCATCTGCATATTAGCTGTGTAATTCTGTATTCAAAATTAATAGGAAAAAGAAACATCTGACGCAGTGAGCGTCTCATGATAATGTGAAAATAATAATATATTATTCTCTTTGTAATAGAACAGCTGATCGGTTCTACTTTGTCCAATAATGGATATGTTCTTTACAATTACATATCCTCTAATATGAAAATAAACGGCAAATTTAATTTTCTTTGGCTGATTGAAAAACAAGCAAAACGAGAAATCGATTTATTTACGAAGAAGAAAAATTCTCATCTTTCAGAAGCCGTTTTAACTAAAAAGAAAAAAAGAAATCTAATCAGTCGTCTCGGTTAATACAAGAACAAATTGTTCCAATAATTTGTATTTATAAATAAATTGTAAATTAAACTTACAAAGTTTCTAATCTTTTTGTAACCAGAGATTTTCACAAAATGAACTCATTCATATAGGAATCTCCTTCTATTGCGTTGTGAGCATCACTTATCCAATGACATGATTAGATCATATAAATTCTTCTCGAATTTGCGTCATATCAAAAACCTTACATATAAATATAATACTCAGAGAACTCTATATCGTCAAATGAAGGTTTCAATAGGATTAGTAGAAACTAGACAAAATATTTTTCTTACTTTGTTACGTAATTTTGATAATTATTGTTGTTCACTGTTGGATTTGTAGGCAATATCGTATAAGTTTTATTATTTGTCGATGTTGGAGTATAATCTGCATAAGTACGATTTTCAAAAAATTGTCGTTTCGATTGGAAATCCTCCGCTGTTTCTTGACGAATAGGTGAAAGTAGTGCTTGTACACGTACTTGACTAACTGATTTTGGTCGTAAAATAGTTCTATTCGATGAATTAGCATTTTCGAATTGATTATCGAGCAAATCTTTTGATCGTGATCGAGATAATGAATTGTTAATATCCATTGCTAATAGTTGATTTGTTGTTTTTATTGAACGAGATTTTTCACGCAAACGTTCACTATAGGATGCTTGAGTATCTTCAAGAGAAGTGTCAGCTGCTAAAGAGAAGAATTTAATTTTTTTTTTGAATAAATCAAAATAAAACAACAAACAAGAAATGTCCTAACATTCTTATATCTATCTATCAAACGCAGACATATGTAAAATAAAATAAAATAAAAGAACAAGTTTATTGGTTAAGAAACATATTTATTAAGGCGATAAAATGAAAGTGATAAACATATTTGTTTCTTTCGTATCAGTTTCTCTGGCGTTTTTTTTGTTTTATAGCTATAACTTAGTTTTTGTAACAAAAGAGAAAAAAAATGACGAATACGGTGGATTTACTAAATACTAAGATATCAAAGAGAAAGAAAACAAAACAGTACCTTTTAAGCTTTTTTCATAGGTAAATATTCCTTTTTTCCCTTGAATGAAGTAAAGCATCGATGGAAGAGAAAAAGAAGAAAAAAAACGGTATGTTTTGTCTTTTCTTCATCAATTTTATGAGTCACATTTTATTTTTTAATTAAAACTCGATGGCACGAGAAAGGAAAAAAGCAAAGATCATTTTACAAATGAGGAAAACAACAAAATTTAGTTTCTTCTCTCGGAATTCGAAACTTCGTCAGCTAATGATGAAGTTATTTTATCAAATATTGACTATCACAATATTTGGTAAACTATATAATCTCATAGAATAGGTATCAATATTCACTGACAGAAAACAGTCGATTTATTTGAACTATGAAAATATTTTTTTACAATAAAATATTGAAACATGAGGACTTGATAAGGTAAGCGCTCACTCATAAAAATACGAGCATCGTCAAGTGATACATCTGAAATTTTAGAGGTTTAAATAGTGTCTTAACTTTCTTTGTTGTTTTCAACTTGTAGTACAAAAAAACAAAATAACTCATTTTTCCTATTTATAGCTGCTAATAGGAAAATATGCTGAAGGTAAAATAGAATTCCTATCGAGTATTATTCATTGATAATATCGATTAGCATGCCATAAATCAAACAATAACTGAAAATCAATAAAGAAAAAAAGCTCATACCTATTCGTAAGCATCCATTAGCGAATGAATTTTTCTCCGAATAAATTCGAGCTTCTTGCTTATTATTCAACAATAATGATGTTGTAGGTGGTAAAGCATCTGTTTGATTACGATTGCTTATCGATGATGAATCATTGTTATAGGTCGTCGAACTAGAATTAAATACTCGTTTTGCTTTTTTATATATACAACAGTACACGATAGAAAAAAAAGGGGGAAAAGAAAGTTAAGGAAGGTTTCTAATCATTTGTATGCAATGTTTGCTCGATTTATAGAACATAATGAATATGTGACACATACCTAATAACATTATTTTGTGCTAGAACCGATTCCGATTGTTTGTGTTTGATTGAATTGGAATGTTTGCTCTAAATACAGTGGACAAACAAAATTTCTACGTACTATGTATATTTGAAAAGAACAGATGTTCACAGCTGTGCTATTTTCTCATTAAAAAAAATCTCGATTTGATGAGTTTATATTACAAGTTTAGAAATGCAAAGGAATTGAATGATTTTATTCAAACAAGAAAATAATGGTCACGTGTACTTCTAATGAACTTACGTGTGCAGCAATGGATGAGATTAGTATTTGCTCAGGGCTATTTTTCAATGCAGATGGTGGTGGCCAAAATGCTTGTACTGAATCAGAAAGTATAACAGGCTTTGTATTTGAAATTGATTTAATATGATGAAATTTGCTTTGATTATTTATTGAATATGATACTATATCATCCTCAGAATCATGTGTTTGAGATTCATAAGACGTATTTGATGATGTTGAATTGGTACTAATACTATTCATGCTAACATTTGACACGGAACGATTTGTTGTTAAATTCTTTTTTGGTATCGACGACGATGATGAAGACGATAGTGGTGGTGGATATAGATAATAATGATATTGTGGAGGGTTAGAAATGGTAAGTGTCGATGTTTGCATCATCTTACCAATCGATGATGATGACGACGGCGACTCATCATTATTCGGCAATGATTTTAATGGAGAAAGAAAGAATGGTTCTCTTTCTATTGAGTGACTTGGTTGAAATAGAAGACCATTATTCAATGAATCTCCTTCGTCAGATTTTACGGTTATCGTCGTAGGATTCATTGACATTGATGTTGAACTTCTATTCATTTTAGTATTTGTACACAGCGGGATAGATGAATCTAAATGGCGATTATATGAAGCAGAAAAAGAAAAGAACCTTGAGATACTCTCCACCTACTCACGAACATGTCATCATAGTAAACTCTTTTATTGGCCTTCTTGAATATACTTACTGGTATTACTAGAAGTACGACTATTGGTAGTAGTAGTAGTATTGTTGTCTATCGTCGATTGTCGTTCTGCGTGGTAATTCTTTGTAACCTTCTCGATATCTTCTTTCGATAGGTTACTTGCCGATACTGAAGATGAAGACCGAAGAGTATCAATATCAGCACTAAGACGTTTATTGGGATCTGCTTTATGTTGTTTAGATTTTTGTTGAGTAGATGATGTACGTTTTAATTGTTTGTTTTCATTATTCGATGATGAATTATTTTGATTACTATTATTTGATCGATTAATAAAACTAAAAAATCCGCCAGTGCCCATAAAAGTTTTTTTTGTTGCTGTTGTTGATGGATTAAGTGTGGATGTTTTAACGAGTAAACTATTTAAAGGCATCTGTTTATCAAGCGATGAATAGGTTAAATTATTTCCATCTAACAAGCATAATGAAAGATAATTTCATTGTAGATTATTTATCAAGAAAAAAAAACAACAGAAAATGACATTCATACTTGTATTAAAACTGTTCGTGCCATTTGGCTCTTTTGTTGGCAAGATTTTTTGATTGCCGTCATTGAAAGTGACTGTAGCGGCGTTAGCGTTGTAATGAAGGTGAGTAGCAGCAGTTGTTGCTCGTCCACTACTAGTAGTAGTGCAATTTAGATGCTCGACATTTTCTTGTCTGTGTCTTCGACTATCGTTATTCTCTTCTTTCAAAAATGGTGATGGCGAGAGAGAAAAAGAACGATGAATTGTATTTGTGGACAATGGAGAAGTAGTGTTGATTGTCCTTCTCGTTGTTTCAATTTTTTCTTTTTCTTGTTCTACTGCTTTCTCACCATAGTTTTTCTTCGTTTGTATGTCATTATCACCGTCAATATTCCCGATAGACAACGATGAAGACGTAACTGTGACCGATGGTCGATAATTACAATGTGTTGATGGTGATATTGATCGAATCTCTTTAGGCGAATGCCAATCGAAATGAACAGACTTCTTTGTTTTATTGTTATTATTATTATTTGGTTTGTTTTGTGATTTTAAACAGCTACCGCCAGCAATTCTGCTATAGAAAAATAGTAAAAAGAAAATACTTATATTTATATGAACGCATGAAACTATAATGTCATATCTTTTTTTTTCTCCATTAGATTTCCATAAGAGAAAAAGTAAACATAGACACAGGTTAATGTGAAATTCACTTACGACTTTATTTGTTCTTGTTGTTGCCTTAATCCATCATTACTATTTGTCATTGGCGGTATTGATGTCATGATAGGATTCGACGAATATGTTTGATTATTATAACGATTAGACGACATTGACATATTCATTAGACTATGCGCTTTCGTTGCTGTTGTTGGTGTTGTTGGATGACCACTGTCATCTAGAGATGCATCAGTTGTTGGTGTTTGCAAAGTAAAGTCTGTGCATTGATTTAAAGTTGATTCTACGGGAGATGGTGATGACGATGGTTCACCATGACCTTTAGGCCATGTGAAATCGGTAGATGATGATGATGGAGAAGGGAAGGATGACGATGGCAAAGAGGAAATTGGAGTCGACGAAGCAGCAATGGTCTTTGTATTTAGTACTGGTGACAAAATTTTGCAATCGATATGATTTAAATCTTTTTGTTGATATTCATGTAGCGATGAACGTGTTCTCGGCGAACAAATATATTCACGAATAGGACTTTTTTGGCGTGCAGATAGAATTGAAGTTAACGATGTAATCGTATTCAATGATGATGCGGTAGATGTGTCACTTATAAGATCATTATTATCAAATGAAGGCGAAGAACGTGTTCGATTTTGCCACATTGAATCGATTGAAGATAGTGATGGGCTTGGTGATAGATCACGACGTTCATTTGACAGGCTTCCATTACGATTCTAGATCGGTTAAATAAATCATTTTATTTATGTTATATTTCAAGTGAGAAATACTGAGAGAGAGAGAGAGAGAGAGAGAGAGAAAAAAGTAAAAGCCATTCTTCTTATGCAACCGTACTTTCATTAACATCAGGTATTACTATTTATGTATGTTAACATGAAATCGTTCGTTAAATCAAATATCAAGAGAAAACTTCTTACCGCGACTTGATTTGAAACTTTATTAACTACAAATTGATCATATTTTTCACTATATGAAACAGGTCCTTGAAGAGACATTCGATTCGGTTGTTCTAATTGATAATTCCTTGTTGGTTTCGATCGCATGCGTACTCGGTTCGAACTTTTATTTATTTTTAAATGATCAGCATAATTTTGTTTGCCAGTTGGTGGCAAACCATATGTTTGTTGTTGTTCATTGGGACCCCAACTAGCTCGTTTGAGTAAACGTTTGTCTTCAATAAATTCATTATTTCCCATAGCTTTAACAATTTCAGCATAAATATACTCGGAAGGTGATAATGATTTATTATCTAATGAACATAGTTCATGTTCTTGTCTTGAATTATGACGTGGAATAGATGAATGATAATTTTCTGGTAAACATGATATTTCTTCGCATTCATCAATGAATACATTTGTATCATTTTTAGTAAATTCAGAGAATTTCATTTTTTTATATCTTTTACAAATATATATATATATATAACGAAATAATAAAAATCTGAAAGGTAAATTTAACGTAATATGTGTACCATGAAGTAGAAATGACAGCAACTGATATATACGTAAATGTGGAGTGAGTAGCAAGGAATATACGATAAGATATTGATCTTAATTTGCAATAAAGAATACAAATAATAGGCAGAGAGATTTTAACTGATATTAGATATTTTCTTTTAACTACTATTATTCAATCACAATAACACGATTAGTATTGATAATAAGATCTCTAATACATTAGCGAACAATATTATCGTTAATTAATCTTTAACCATTGTCTAGGCTTAGACAAGCAAAGCATAAGCGGTATTTGTCGTGATGTTTAATCTTATCGTTGACAAAGAGAATTTTATTATGTTAAGTATTTTATTATGACACGTAACTGTCTGAACTGTTTATATATTTATATATTTTTTTTTGTTTGATTGAAGTGTCTCTACTATGGTTTAAAATTACTTTCTTATTCCATATAAATATTGATGAAGAATATGCGAAAAAAAAACACAGCGATATTTTATACTTTATATAAATCTAGATAAACAAAAATGAGTGAGATTCACTATAAGGTAAAAATAATGATCAAGTACATACTCATCATCGTAGAGTAACCTGATCAGTTTTTTTAATTATATTTTCAACAGTGGACTATTACAGTGAGAAAAAAAGAAGAAGAAAAAACTTAAATATGTGTATATATATAAACATACAGATGACATAATGGTCAAGAAAAAGTGAAAGAAAGCAAAAAAAAGAACCCCTGTACGTATTTTTCAATAACATAAACGACAAGCGATTGTCGTGGTTAGTGTTCTATCATGATGATCAAGCGAATGGGAGCTTAAACAGGGCAATAACAGCGACAAAAAAGGAAGCGTTCATTACATAAGTATATTCTTGTTGCACTGCCCTTTTTCTTGCTTGTTGAATATTATTCGAACGAATCACATAGAGAATAAGCACATCGAGGTCGATATTACTGGCGAATTGGTCGCTCTCGATTTTATTTATACATACATTGTTAGGTCAAAAGAAAAAGAAAATCAGCAAGTCACTTTAACCATTTGAATGATGATGACGAGAGAGAGAGAGAGAAAGAGAGTTCCTCAACTATTATTATATAATATGGATATGACAATTGACACCTTTATCTACAGACTATATGTTACCGATGGTGTTCATCATCGTTATTTCATTGTCTTTTGTGTTATTTTAAAAGGGTAACAAGAGACAAAGATGTGTACATCATCGAGCTAATTCGATACCTGAGATATATTTAACGATATTTATTCTTTTGTTAAATATAATCAGTACCGAATATGTCTATGTATATTTATATATATTATACATATATATATTTTCTTTTTACTACTTGCTTGTTCTTTCCAATATGAAATAGATATTTGGTTTGAAAAGTACGTTGAAGGTAAATACTGGTTGATGTGCATGCGTATGATCGGAGGTGATACGAATCAATTTCAAATGCATTGGTATATAGAACATTTATATCTGATTGTTTAATATAACTTGATTTGCTCAATGAAAAAGAGAAAAAGAAACTTAGTGCTTACTGTTATTGATGTTGGTTATATATGCATGGATGCGTATAAAAGACGATGATGAAGGCTGAATAAAATAGAAAAAAATGTAGGGAAGATGGGGGGGGGGGGGGGAGGATAAGGGTGTAACTTTAAATAGAAAAATGGCTAATTTAATCATTGTCAAACTTGATGATCGCGCTAGTTCTTTGAGCCGCCACGACATTCTTAGTCTGCTAATAATTGAATATGTTTTTAAGCCCTGTTGTTATTTTCAATGAGTTGTTGTTTTAATTGTTACACATGTAAATTTGATGATTTATTTTTCAAGGTTTAAACCATTTATAATCGAAATGAGAAAATGAAAAAAACAGGACAGACATCATAAATTAATATTGTTGGCTATCATTGAGAATTGTTAATGTAGTCTATAATGAGTATGTGAATTCAAGGTATAATTAACTAAGGTTAGTATTGATGGCAAAATTAAAAATATTGATCAATAAAATAACAAAAATTATTGATTAAAAACAAACTTTCTTTTTCACGTCGAGACATTCAAGGTGTATAATTATGAATTTCGTCGTCTATTTCATTATGAAATATTTGTTCATAGAAGTTTTTTTTCTTTTGAAAAATCGCTCAAATATTTATTAAATTTTATTAAAAATGTGAGATAAATTTTTTCTAGAAGTTCTAAATAGTTAATATTATTATTTTAGCTATAGAAGTATTCAAATTGATTGTTGAAAACGTCAATATCTAGTATTAACAATTGTAATGCGAGAACAATTTGAACCGTTCGGAACACTTGTCTCTCTCAATTGCCATCGATTCGGCCAATGAAATGATTCTATATATGCAGCAATATTTGCCGCAGCTACATTCGATTCTCGTTTAAATTTAGTCAACGAAGGTAAATATTCTGCAATGAATTCAAACCAAAATGATGTATCAGTTAGTGGTTCAATAATTGAAAATGAAACAATATTTAATTGTTGTAAATTGGAAAAATTTCGTAAGAAATCAATCAGATCATCGAAAATAGGAATATTTCCTATTAGTGTAAGCGAAGTAAGCGACGAAGGGATTGATAATTGTTGATTGTTTGATTCATTCTCTATAACAATCGTGGCTGTTAGATGACGAAGACAAGGCGTAAATTCGAACAGCCTATACAAGCTTTGTAAACTGCAGTAATCAATTTTGAGATATACTATCGAAGATGGTAATTGTAATAGTGTAAACTCAAGAGGTCGAGCAGAATGAATAGTAACATATTGCAGAGATGAATGAATGAGAATCTTTGAAATAAGACATTCAAATCGCGAACAATAATTATTTTGTTCAATGCCAAACGAGAATTTGATGAACAGACGCGTTAGATGAACTAATTGGGATAAACATTCTGTGGTGAATATACTTTCGGCCTAAAAAATACATACTTATTGAGATATGATTTTAAACTTTGACAATAAACTATGATTTAGTAATACTACAACGAACCAAACTCTTGTCGGAATAATTAATCAGCTATTGATATATATACGCGCTTTGATGACTATTTTTAGGTAAAAAAGGAAGAGAAAATAGACAGTACTATGACGTATTATTGTGAATCACTCGACATAATTTAACATGTTCGTATTGGTTTATGAGGACTGTTGAAAAACTCAAGCATTTGTCTCTATGCATCTAACTGATGTGAATCGTAAATTCAAATTCTTAATCGAAAATTAAATAAACCTACTTCTTCAAGAGTAATATTATTCAACGATAGAGTTTGTAGATTGGTAAAATTATGCAATGGTTTGTATTGATTGAATGTTTGAATGCTACGATAAATACTAAACGGACGAATTTTAATTGATGAAACTCTTGTGACTAATTTCATAGTTTCAATAAAATCAAGTTTACTCTGAAGAGTTTTGTCATCGATGATTTGAATATTAAGCCGATGGTGTGTCCATGGATGATCGAACATTATACATGTTAAGCGAGCATTCAAGTCCTTAAATATTGAAATTGAATCTTCTAATGATAAATATTCGATTATTGAAATAATAATTTCATCCGATAGATCTTCGAATTTCGTCAGTGAGTTCATTATCTGCCGATTAGTTTTTTTTTCCCGGTTGTTATAGTTTAACTGGCTTGCTTTTTATTGTGATTACTTTTTATGAGAAACACACTTATCTTGTTAAATAATATGATGAAGGACAAAAATAAAAACACAGTTTTGTCAATATAATATAATGACGACCTTTCGTCAACGAGTCAAGCAAACAGAACAGACGAATAAATCTTGCTACTTTTAGCAATGACTCATCAATTGTCTTGAAATATCTCTATCTTGAGAAAATTCTTTCTTGATGCTTATCGGTAGTTCATGTTTTCTTCATAGTTTAGATTGATAGTTACCTCAACGAATTCAGTCTTGAAATAAACGAATTTTGATTATTATTTTAACACTTAGAAAAAAAAAACTTTTGCCATCAACTTTTACTTAAAAACTATTGTTAATGGACACTTTGCAACGAAATTATCTATCTCCATAACAATCGAATACAATCTTTTGAATAATAAAGGCTTAGTTGAATTTGCCAAGGAAATGGACATAGAGCAGTATCGACTGTTAGTTCGTGTGCATTATGTGTACGTTCATTTGTTAAACGAATCGTTTGTTTATTACAATCAATGAGTAATTCAATGATATCATTTTTTTCTATATCACTTTTATATCCATTATGATTAGCGAATAATTTGCCATTTAAACAAACAAAATTATTAGCAATCCAACCGAAACTTGTCAATGTATTATATGCCGTTGCTTGTATGGGTGTAGTTTTTGAAACGATTCCAATTAAATTCCATTTATGTGTACTACTATGTTCGATTTTAAAACGAAATCGATGTTTTCCTGTTGAATATTCACCTTTACTACGAACTGTTCCGTAACCGTTGGATCCAATATTAACAATAAGTTTTCCTTCATCTTTAATAGCAATTCTGCCAGCTGATTTATCAAAGATATCACTAACGTTAATGATGATTTTAGAAATAAAAGGAACATCACTTCCACCTTTACGAATACTAATTGTTGGCGGTTTATCTAACTCCTTTTTTACTTTCGTAAGTCTATCCATCCATTGTCGTAGATCTTTTTCAAAAAAATTATCATTATCTTGAGCTTTGGTTAACTCTTCTGTTAAAGTTTTCATGATTGTTATTGCATCAGAAGCAAAAAGTCCAAATGTACGTAGTACTTGTTTTCGAGCATCGACAGCTACTTGTTGAATTTTCTCAATTGATTGTTTTTCCCATTCATCAATTTGCTTCATTAACGGATGACTCTTTGATTCTTCAGTATATTGTATTATTTTCTGTTTACATTGATCGTGTTCCAAAATAGTTCTATCTAATAGACTTGATAAATCTAATCGATGTTGTTCGACATGCTCCGTACAAAAGACTCTTTCACATCCAACACAGAAAGATAGACTGGGCACTTTACCACACATGCTGCATAACGACCTGTTTACTTTTACGGATGCCATGTGTACACCTGTGTATAACAAATGTTTTAATGAGAACGCAAAAAAAAGAACAAGTGCACGATGTTCGTTGTGTAGACATAAGTAGGCAAGGAATAGAATTTACATTTTGATCTAATTCCATTAAATCGAGAGTGTAGTAGAGAAAAAAAGAACAGTTATTTGTTAGCAAAATGAGTGGGCCATGATGAAAATACAAAGAAATTGAATGAAACAGCACAATTTTCTGACCACAGTAATGATCATCCTGGAGAAAATTCGTAACACTACTGGAATTTACTTTAACTCTAAGATTTATCTCAACGTATTTAATAGGTTTTGTATACAAAGAAATTTTACTAAAATCAACGAAAATCCGAAAAAACATGAATTGATTCATTCATCTCGCTTGTTTTGTTTTGATGCTGTTGTGTTTTATTCCATACTGCGTAACATGGATTTAAATTACGTCTACTAGTAAACACCAATGGAAATTTATCAGGCTCAAACTTTTGAAACATATATTCTGGATGCCTAAAATTGAAAACAGGCGAGTTTATGTATTTTAATACAAAACGGCTTTAGTGCTTGCGCATACCCAGCGGGTAATTCAAACACTATACCATTTTGAGGATAGATTCACACATTTTGTGTGATGAGAGTATTGACATTCTAAACTCGATGCATACTGTGATATGCCACTACCACAACAATTAAATGATGAACAACTATGACCATATCTAGAATATGTCTAAAACAGTAGCACTTACGTATTAATATTTCTATGTGTTTGATTTTATGACTTACTCCTGGAAGATAGAGACGCAACATTTCTTTTTCATTTTTGAGCTCATTAAAAGGTAACCCACAGCGCCGGCACAATGCCATGAATGGTATACTGTCCGGAAGATTTAATTGAGTTTTGCATGTTGACCAGCAACTGTCATGAGTAAAGAATCGCTCTAAGTTTTGCCTATGACCTTCAGTGTTAAATAAACAACAAGCAATTGAGGCATCCACACTTAGACATTCATAGAATTCAATATACTGCAGTTTTTTTACAGTTCCTAGTTATATATTGAATGCCGATCATAGTTAGAAAATTACCTTCAAAACTAATTTCTTTGATTGATGGAAATAATAGAGAAGTGAATCGTAATGATACATCAGTATGAATGAAGTTTTTGAATAGAACCTAAAAAATGAGGGAAATTTTCATTTGCAACAATGGACTTCTCGAAATACTTTTCGAATATGGTGAATTCTATCTTGTGGCATACCTTTTCGACGTGCCGAAATCGTCGTATACTTTCTTCTGACGATGTCATTTTCTCCAAAATAGTTTCCAAAGCTTTTGGATCTTCTGGCGGTAAAACCGCTGACCATCATTTTACTTGAATGGTTTTTTCAGTATCATGACATTTGCAATCATAAACACGCATGTGACAGATGAATGGTAATTCAATAACATTTGGCCATAGTTTCAAATCGCCATAAAGCCGTCGTTTCCAAAAACGACATGCTTGTGCTAAACGTATCAGACTTAGTAAGTCAAAATGACCTAATAAAATCGGAATTATATCAAGAAATGGTCCTGAGTCCATGGTAAATATAACTACAGTAGAAAAGTGTTAATTGAAATGTATGTGATTCTATCATCAATCGCATAATACTTACATGAATTTTCCATCATTTGAGAAAAGAATATATTTTTTTCTATCAGCTTACTTTTTTTGGTCGTACTGTGTCGTTTTATTGCGATTATTGGTGTAATTACATGATGGATGTGCAGTTGATATGATTAACATGAAACAAAAATATTTTGTCTCATTTCGTCTTGTTATTGTTCAAGTATTGTCACATGGAAAAGGAATGAAATCATTTAGTTTGCTATGCATTGAAAAATATTGCAATTCACTCATTGCTCTCCCAGGTCGTGGACGTACGGCGGGAAACGGCCGGAAAGCGCAGGAAAGCGCTGGAAAGTGGAAGCAGTATTCCAGTTGGAAGTCACCGGATTTTCTTCCTGTAGATTCCGATCAACTTCCAGATGTAAAACACAGAAAACTGACCGGAATCCACAGGAAANTACCGGATTTTCTTCCTGTAGATTCCGATCAACTTCCAGATGTAAAACACAGAAAACTGACCGGAATCCACAGGAAAAAAATCCGGTAACTTCCAACTGGAATACTGCTTCCAGTTTCCAGTGCTTTCCCGTGCCTTCCGGCCAGATACGGTGATTTTTCCGCATCTTTCCGGCCGGTTCCTACAGTATCCGTCCTCCGGAATCATTGACCTGGGGCTATAGATTGAACTGTTTGTTGATACTCAAAATGGCATCCAGAATATGAACGAGTAAATACATCAGCTCATCGCTTGTGTTCTGTAGGTTACTATGACCAATTACAACGAGTCCCTTGCAATTTTACAAGAGATTCAACACGAGTCAATTGTATTAATGCTGGAAGTATTTGAAAGGGTAATCGATGGAATCTATCGGAATATTTTCATGATTACTTTCCTAATGTAAATTAGGTATCGTTATTCTTTGAATAATTCAATAACTTTATTAATTATAAGGAACGACATGAGCTTTAACTTTATATATCACGACAACTGGACAAAAAATATTGAAAATAAATCGTGAAATATAACCGCGGTACAATCTATTTAATTCAAGAGGGTTGATATCAAAGTTGGCCACGGTTCGGTTCTTAGCTAAAATGATGCAATTTAAATTAGTGTATAGAAATGAAAAAAGTCAAGCAAGTAGTCAGCAAATATCGCAAGTAGCAATACAAGTATTCATATATTTTCTTGCCATTCTTCACCGAAGAAAAGCATGCGGTAAAGAAACCAATGATATATTTCATCTAGCGTCCAACAACTGTATGAATTCTGTTATCCTACCCTACAATTTTCTTCCTTACCCTAGCCCTACTCTATTAAATTAAAAAATTAAAATAACCGTATACCGTGTATAATTTTATTATTTATTTGTGAAATCACAAAGCTAAATTTCACAAATCTTAAGAATAATACACAAAGAATATTACAGGTAATATGAAGATCAGAAAAAGAATACTACATGAGCCACGAATATTATCGGCAATACGAAAAGAAGAAAAATCGTATTAAACCCCCTGCGCATTAGAAGACTCCTGGTCTTCTATTTTGTCAAAGCGTACAAAGTTTTCAGAAGAGACTCCTATGGTTTCCTATTTATTTTCGTAATTTTTAATTAATAAGCTTCTTCAAAAACCCAAAGCGATATTGAAGATCCGGAAAGAGACTTTTAGGTTTTTAAAGGTGTTGGTGTGGATGTAGTGGATGAATGTGAGTGAATAAATACCCATACCCACACGATACATTTATTTGAACTTCACTATTTTGAACATGAATAAGGCAAAAGAATAATAGCTAAAAGAATCTAGATCTATATTAATATAAATATAATAGACAACAATCATTCAGAATAAGACGAACAGGCTCAAATATAGAAAATGTAGTTTACTTGCCTGTAGTGAAATTTCAGAATTTTCTTTTTCGGTTCGGTTCAGGGCTTCTCAAACTTCTCTCGATTTCGGTTCGGTTCGGTTTTAGACATTTCGGCTTCGGTTCGGTTTAAATTTTGAAAAACCCGCACCGTGGCCATCTCTGGTTGATATAACAATGAAATTATATGTATATAATACAAATATAGAAGAAAAACGAACTTTTATGATCTAGAAGCTAGAAATCTAGTTTAAAAATGTCTGACATACGTTTTCATTATTTTAGATTCAATTGTTATTTGATAACCAGCTTTGATTTTAATGATACGGAATTGCAGATTCAATCTGACGATGAACATCTATGCAAGGCATTTCGCACCATCTTCAAGACAATAAGAGACAATGTTTGGAGAAATATTCAGATATTTTTACTTTTTCTGATTTCCCTAGTATGTGAAAATAAAGCCTTGTGATTTATAATGACTTGTTTATATCTTTAGAAATGGTTGATTATCATTTACCACAAATTGAAATCCCCACATATATCCCTACATTATATCCACATTTGTGGAAAAAAAACAAATTTCGGTGACCAAATAGAGATTTCGCTTCAGGGATTGTTCTATTTAGGGAGTTTTTCTTAATGTATGACATGACTTATCGATCAGAATTCAACACCATCTTCTACCGAAAATCTTTTATCATTGAAACCAGGTGCTGTAGCGCTAACCAGAGTATATAGGTAACTACATTCTGGTTACCAGAATCTTACAGCGACTATATGAAACATAAGCACAGAATGGTATATGAATACAGAGATCCTGCTCGTTTGTGACTTGAACAGCATATTGTGTAATTAAAAAAAATTCCTAAAATGAAAAATCTCCAAATCAGTGTCCCTATTTGGTCACTGGAATGGATTATAGTTGTTTAATTATTCACAAATGTCGATATCATGTAGGGATTTATCTGGGGTTTCAATTTGTGGTAAATGATCGACTTTCGTTTCATCTTGTTAACTTCTTTTTTCTGCCTGTCATTAATTTGACGGTACAACATTGGAAAATAAATATTTTTCAAACTGATTTTTTCTTTTTCTTACTGTTTGAAGTGTTTCATAAAGCAATCGCCACTGAACGAAAAAATTGAAGCATTTATTCCAAATTTTTGTTTACATGAAAGAATCAATAAAAATACATTTCAAATCACGTTTTCGTTTCATATATATTTATTTCAGAATAAAAACAATGCTACTGTTCTTCTAGAGGCGTGGTATGACTTTTTCATCAACTTATCGCCAACTGGTTTTATTTGATTGCGACGATGATGGACTCAGTCTTTTTAAAGATCATAAAAAATATCTCTCTGAAATTCCACCCAACTGTGAATGTTGTATATTTTGGAATGATTTTAAATTTCCTGTGTACAAAAATCTCAAGCAAATCTTTGGGAAGTATTCCAATATATCGCTTTGTCCGTCTTACGACGATCAAATAGATGATTCATCCGGTTCAAATATATTCTATTTTCTTCGAGATTTAATTTTCAAATTTTCATTTGTATTACTTGTGTATCGTAATTATCAGTCGTATAAAAGCGTTTTCAAATGTTTCATGGAGCGCTATGGCAAAAAATTAGAACTGTATGCGATCAATAAACCCTTTAGTCAACATTTGTCGCGTATTGTCAGCCAGCTTAAAACGAAACAACGTCTATACAGTTACCATGAAAATTTAAAAGAACTATCCCGCAACGATCAATTGAAAAATAAAAGAGACTCTTTTCTTTCATACAGTACAGGGAACTATGATAGTAGTCCCATTCTGTGTACAATTGAAGAGAACAATTTTTTCAAACGTCTTATAAAACGGAAGCAAAAAAGTATAAAGTACTATGATTGTAACACCCGACTTTGCGAACCGCCGAGGTTCTGCAGGATATTCACTCGTGACGAGTGCAATCATGATAATGACGCTTACAATGAGTACAAACGCGATTATGACAATTATTTATCGGCAATGTGTGAACCAGTAAAACATTCGAAGCGTGTAATTCGCTTTCACAAAATATTTCTTCAATTGTTTCTATGCCTTAAAGAACTAAAACACTCTGTTCCATCTACACAAAATCTTGATGGGAATTTGTTTGATTCTAATTCAGTTACGGCTATTCATTCATTTAATCCTTTTGAGTATCAAAGCTTAGTGACACAAAGAATGGTATGAAGAAACGAACTTTCTAATCATTTTTCACAAACTTTGTATGTTTCTTTCAGGTTTCGGGAAAAGTAGAATTGCCTATTGGATATCAGATACAAACAGAAGAAGAGTCAAACAAATCACTGTACTATTCACAACCAGAGAAGTGTCTATCGAGAAGTACTCATGACAACTTCGTGGGTGCGAATCATGCTGCATCTTCCCTGTCAACAGCAACTATGAAATCAAATTCTTTTTTTTGCGAATCGACAAGAATGATGCATAAGACAAATCATGCAGAGAATAAGACTAGCTCTTCTACTATTTCATACGGTTGCATGTCATGTGCACCACTGATCGCGTCGACTTTTGCCCAAGGTCTGCATTTTAATGGAAAACAAGCTGAACAGCATTTATCCACTAACGCTGAACTTTTGCCCTCTTCCCATTATCCGAAAGTTATCACAAATGATCTAGTCCCGACAGAAGATAACATGCAAGACCAGGAGGCACTACTGACCTGTTGGGAATGTTCCATGAAATTCAAATCCGGTCGTCCTCGATTAACACACTTCATTGAATGTCATTTCGCATCGCTCCCATCAGTCATCGATTTATCTTCAGGTATTCCACTGAGCCAAAACTCATTCATGAGCGAGCAGCTGGAGGAAAAGACGAATTACCCAACTCACTTCAGCGAATCCTATAACTGCCGCCAATGTGCAAAAGACCTCAAATCCAACCAGCGTCTCATAACTCATTTAATTTACAAGCACGCTCATTTATTTTTGGAAACACAAGCCAATCCATTAGGCATTCTCCAGAAAGAACGAGCCAAAGCACACAAGCAAAGCAACATTGTGATAGATGAAACCGCGATCATAGAATCCCCACTAACTTCTTCACATTCTCCAAAATCATTCAAATTAACATACAACTGTTCGCCATCTATGAGAAGCCGTTATCGTGTTTTTATTTTCTCTACTATTGCGCAACCTCCAAATCTTGTAATTAGTCGAAACACAGCAATGCAACGAGTAAAGAAAACTCAAATACATAGTACTCTTACACTGAAGTCACCAGTGGTCCATACGAAATTTTCGGAGGCGTTTAGAGCGACTGCTCCTTGTATGCGTCATCGCAACAGCAAACATAAGGATGCGAAACTATCCGCTCCTGTTGACGACCAAAGAAATGAAATTCAACCAAAACTGAAGACTAGTAACAATCAGACGCCCACCAAGACAGCATCATTCACTTGTTGTTATTGCTCAAAAACGTTTAAAACAGATGCTGCCCACACCACTCATTGCAGCACTAAGCATAGAAATCCGAACCTCATCATGCCAGTGAACCAACCAGGCCCGGTTCATATGCAAATAAATCCGATTCGAGCAGAACTAAACACCAGTGTTGGTCAGGCATCGCCAAATATAGCCTCTTTCACCAGCCATTGCAGCACTAACCATAGAAATCCGAATATCATCATGGGAGTGAACCAACCAGGCCCGGTTCATATGCAAATGGATCCGATTCGAGCAGAACTGAACACCAGTGTTGGTCAGGCATCGCCAAATATAGCCTCATTCATTTGTCGTTTTTGCTCAAAAACATTTAAAACAGATGCTGCCCGCGCCACCCATTGCAGCGCTAAGCATAGAAATCTGAATATCATCATGGGAGTGAACCAACCAGGTCCGGTCCATATGCAAATAAATCCGATTCGAGCAGGACTGAACACCAGTGTTGGTCAGGCATCGCCAAATATAGCCTCATTCATTTGTCGGTTTTGCTCGAAAACGTTCAAAACAGATGCTGCTCGTACCAGTCATTGCAGCACTAAGCATAGTTGAACAATTCTTCTTCAGAATTGAAATTTGAAACCACAACGGGTTAACGTTTTTGGCTTAGATGAAGAATTTAGTGGTTTCTTGAATTTTTTCAGTTTATGCTTAATTTTGTGTAGATTTTTGTTTAGTTTACCGCTTGTGTATTGATTTTTTTCGAATTTTCTGCCATTTTTGTTGCAGTTCTGATCATATTATTGGATTGTTGTTGTGTTGCGCGTATTCGGTCGGGGTGAATTGCGATCGAAATAATCGTTTTTCGGTTTGATAGGTCGTGTTTGTAATTTGCTCGATGTGTATTATGTGTTAGTCATGTATGTTGATGTTTCGCAACAGTTCTGCCGTGTTCTCGCTTATGGTGTTTGTTCTTAGTTTGGTGTTTGCTCAGTATTTATTCTTTAGACGGTGCTATTTTGCACTATTAGTGACTTGTTCCCAGTTTTGTTTAGATGAATGGCGTTAGTTGGAGAAAATGGCTTTGTGGCTTCTTCGTTGCAGAATTGTGGGCACTAGTCTAAAATCCAATCGCACCCACACCCATCTCTAGTCGTGCATGTTATTATCTTAGTCTTTCTTATATAGCAGACAGTGATCACGTATGAGTGGATAATGTATAGGAAATGAACTGTAATCGTTACATAAATCATATCTCAAGGATATATAACAGGTCGATATTTGGTTGAAAAAAACGGTCTAATGAATACTACGCACAATTAAGAGCAAAGAATGGAAGATCACCAGTGATCTCGTTCGAGAATACTGGTATTAGAAATAGAACTAAGAAGATGTATCGTGTCTCGTTTTTTCTTGATTAATCAGATCAATTAAAGTATTAAAGTATTAAAAGTATATTGATTTACATGGAATGTCTCAAATTCACCAGTCATATGTTTCCTCAACAGTATTATAGAGATGATCGGTTGAAATTTCACTTTGAAATTCTTCTTTCCAAATTTTATCCGTTGTATCTCTCTTTTTCTTCATCTTTTTGTCTTCAATGATCGGCCATGGAGAATGAGAAATAATATAACCAACAAGTCGAAGACAGTCAGCTGCATATTTCAACGGTTCTTGCATATGTGCATGCCACATGATATCTATCTAAAACCGTATAAATATATGCATAAAACAAGAATATTCTAATGTTATTTTCATGATGGAAGTTTTACCGCATATGTCGGGGGCACAAAGTCGTTGCTATCCTGCAATGGATATTTCGCTGCCATATATAAAAATCGTTCGTAAGATTTTTTTAAGCGTTGCATAGGTCCATTTCCAAGATTAATTTCGCGTGATCCTCTAAAGTAGCCACGAACAGGACATTGTTCCAGTGAATCATGCATAAACGATTTGCATAAATCGAGCCAACGACCATCAAGAATGACTTCGGCTTCAGTAAATGAAAAAGGATTTTCATATTGTTTTGGGGGATTCGTTGTAAATTCAAAAAGTGATTCATCCCAATACGAATAAGCATCTTGGGACGGATTTGTCAAGTCTTCCGATGTTGACTTTCGAGCATTTCTATTTGATGCTAATTCACAATATTTTTCGCCGAATCGTTCTTCATAAAAATGGCATGTATCTATAAATGCTTGCTTTTTTAAAAATTGTTGAATATCTGTTGTCACCAATGAATGATCGACGACTTGACGAAATAAACGTATACAATCTGCTCGATATATTTCTGGTCGAAGTAAATGCGTTTGCCAAATGATTTCAATATCAAGAGTAGGAACTAGCAAAACGTTGGGCAAGTAAATAGCTTTTAATTGCATGAATCGATAATATCTTGTTATCATTTGCTTCAATATAGCAGACTGAAAAAGTGTATCTTGAAATTTCGATACTTTTTCTAACATTGATATGAGTTGATGGGCTGTTTTACCAATATCAACAGACAATTCGATCGTCCTGAGATAATGAGAAACTAGTAGCATTATATAAAAGAATAGCGTTTTCACTATTTACGGAACAGAATTTATCTCACGATTTATGCCAATCGAATGCTGCTGAAGAAATTTAAGAGTTAACGGTTCGTACTCCATAGAATCTTATAGCTTTACTTTCATTATGAAATATCAATATACCTTTTGCCATACAAAACTGAAACTTGATCGTGAGAAAATTTCTGTAAAAGTAGCTTATTGTTTGTCAATCTTCCCGAGAAAATTTTTCAAGACTATAACCAACATACTTGTAATTCTCAGTAAATTCATATGATAGACGTAATGAAGAGCTTTTACTATTAAAATTTCAATTTTAGTTTCTGATATGTTTTGATTTCGCTAATTGGATTAGTTTATCTTGAAAAAGCTATTATCGAACATGGAACCTTATCGACTTCGACTACTTAGGACCGACCAAAATATTAACAATTCTGGATGGGACAACGAGACGAAGGAAAATGTCTCAGTCGTAGAATTTCCGAAAAAGTGATTCGTCATATTATTCCATGTGCAGGCTACTACTGTTGAATATTGAACAGCTCGAAGAAATTCGGTTTGGTTTCTTTCGGAAATAGATACGTTGAAGAGTTGTTCTAAATGTTTGTTTGTTGGAAGGACTCACTGAAGTTTGTTAGCGTACTTTAACTCATCAGACATGAAAAAGAGATTAGAACCGTTCTTTTTTTAATCCTTTCATTGAAATACCAACTACCTTATGGTAATTTGATTGATTTCAATTTACTCGAATGGGACATTATATGTTTTGTCCAAAATTAACCCTAGTCCCATTCACATTATAACACGGTGGCCATTTTATCCTTCTTTGGATTGCATACTATTTCGATAAACGAATTAATCAAAAGCTTCGCATAATAACTAACTTGATATTTTACGAATGATATTTCAGTATTTTTCATTTTAACTTTGAAAGCTCAAGCATGAATCATTGCACTTAGGGAAAATCAATCATGACCGAACGTACGTTTATGTGATATAAGCATGAAAATATCTTACATATCTTTTGAAGAATTGGGATGTTGCTTAAAACCACCCAAAGATTCACGTGGATGATCGGCTATTGGTCGAACTGGATATGGCGGAGATGGACATCTGACACATCCTAGTCTGCCAAATGACCTCATGTCGGCTAATTTTCGTTTTAATTCTGCATTTCGTAAATATTTCTCATACATCCAATCCATGTAAGTTTGTTTGAAAGATTTTGAATGTAACTTGGTTGACGCTATTGTAGATTTCGAAAAGAACATCGTATAAATCATTAGAAAAAAATAAAAAGCCCTAACTATTGAATTTTAATTTCCAAATGTCATCTTGATCTGCAACCATCTTGAACAATCGACATACGAGTGACACATTGCATAGGTCAGGAACGGACATTAATTAAAATATGCTCAAGAGAATTTCATTCGGAATACAATTGAATGGAGATGCAGCTAATGCATTCGATATTACAGTAGTTGACCATGAATGTGTCCATTTGACATGAGGTGGATCAATCCGTCGCGCAGAAGATGGTGCGATTGACGCATCACCTTTCTTCGGTTTTTTTTTGAATAATCGTTTGAACATGTAATCTAGAGAAAATACGTGGCAGAATTATGCTGGACAAACTATGTGCAAGGGCCTTGAAGAATATGCACAAAAACGCTCATTGCATAAATTCTAAATGCCCGTAACAGTAATTTGATATAAGTCATTAAAATTTCAATATTAAAGCTGGCCTCCGATTGCACTTGTTTAAAAATATAGGAATCCTTAGAGGATCAAGGTTGTCAAAAATATAGGATTTTCGATAAAAAATGACAAAAATATAGGATGTTTTATACATAGTTTCTGTTGAATTGTTTTGCTGTTTTTTAACTGTCCTGCTCGAAAATCGTTTTAATGAAGCTGTTATAAACAGTTCGACTGTAGTCAAGATCCTTATGTAATTTTTTCTGCGGAAATAAGTCGCTAATTCGAGGATCATTATCATTATAAAAGTTTTTCACAAATCGATAAATAACAGTAAAGTAGATCATAAGCTTTGAAAAAACAAATACATGAAAAAGACAAATACTATTCTCATAAATTAAAGGAGAGGTTTCAGATTACGGACATGACTTCCCAAAAAATTTCAACCTAATTTTATTGTCCTGATAATCAGCATTTATTGCTTATTATTTTCCACAAGTTTATTTTGTATTTTATCATAAATCAATTTTTTCTGGTAATAAATAAGTGTAAATGAAAATGCATATACACAGGATGGTGTAAAATTTCACGAGCTTTCAGAAGATGTCGTTCCTTTTAAAAAAAGATGTTCTTTTGGTAACAGTATCTTCAAAATACAGAGCGAAACTTATTTTTTCCAGGGGTATATATATATACAGCTTTTATATCTAACTAAAACCTCACTAAAAACCCGAAACTAGTACATGATCATTTTGTGAATGTTTTTTTCTTTGAACTATTTTGTATTTTGTACTTAGTATTAAACAATTTCTCAATCAGCCCACTAAATAGGCGAAAGGAAAAATACTATTAAAATAAATGTCACTATAATACAAGAATTTGTCCAAAACATATGATTATACACATTTAAAGTTTTTTTTTTGTCTAAAGGCAATAGCAAAATTAAGAGGTTTTTGGAAATTTTCTACTTTCTTCGATAAAATATAGGAAAAATAGGAATTTTCATTAAAATATAGGACAAAAATAGGACGTTTTTGAGAATAGAGGAAATAGAGGAAATATAGGTCGAATCGCCGCCCAGATATTAAAGCCGTTTCATTCACAATTTGGCTTCGTAATCGTGTTTCGACGCTTCTATTTCAGATTCATATATCTAGTGGAGAATTTGTTACAGGGGTTTCGAGTAGTCAGAAAATTTTGCTAAGAAAAGGATCATGACGTTCGCGATTTTTTGTTGAAAATCTGTTGATGTACAACAAACCTATGTGCGCCACAGAAGAAGTTGCAAAATTCGACCATACGTACCCACGACTACTAAACTTACGGAAACGCGCTCACCTAATCATAAACTAATTTTTCTCAAATTTCTCATCTTTACATTTTCGATTATTTAATGGCAAGCCTGAATTCTATGCCGAGCTTTCAACAATGAGTCGACTAGTGAAAAGTAAAGACTCGATAAAGTCTTTGTAGTGCGGGAGCAGGAATCTCGGATGAGTTTCACCTATTCAAGAATAACTTTATGGGATGAAAATAAGGCTTCGAAATGGTCTATAGTGTTGATAACACTTCAGAAATTGTAAGATACACGATTCATACTGAATGAGCAATTTTATGTTCAAACAAATCTTTAAGTTCTAGTAGCACCCTTTCTATACTTTTACCGCTCGTTTCCGCTAGCGCTAATTCATGAATAGTTGTGCAATCTATCTTATAACCAGCAGTACTCACTCATCTCAATAATTTTATTCTTCATTCTCTTCGAATATGTCCTCTAGTTATTTACACGCAGAAAAGAAAAACTACATGATGCGAAAGCGAAATATCTGCATAAAATCAATATCGTGACACTCTGTTAACTGTTTCAAAATAGACGAATGTGTCTATTCAAGTCTAAAGAATGTTTCTTACAGGATTATTTATTATGCTATTGATTTTACGTAGATTTAGACTGCATCTAGAACAACTAAGATTAGAACAAGTGTCAGTGCTTAAAAGAAATATAGAATCAACTTCGACTATTTGATTTTTATACACCGTGTTATGAAGAACGATTATCTATAGAAGAATTCAACATTTGAAAAGGTTTTACTCGAATATGGGTTTACTAGTTGCTTCCGTCGTATAGTCGGAGCAAAAGTAAATAAGTAAACTTACTAATTAGTGTTGTTGACAATAGTCCTAACTCATCATGTTGAATATTATTACGTAGGAGCCTCGTAATTGCGAGTGAGTAAATAAGTAAATAACAAGGTGTCAGAAGCATACTTTAGTCAATGTCTACGATTCACAGGGAATCGACAGAAAGCAAATGAGCTAAATGTTGCTGCATACCGGTTGCATTTTCAAGTGCTTTGTGAAAATATTTCTGCAGAGAGTGGCATTAAAATCAATCATATTACTCATGTGAGTCAATGTTTGAGTAAGAGAAAAAATGCGACGTGATAAACTCGAGCCATGAATAGAAAGGGAATGAAAAGATGTCAGGATATGATAGAAGCCGTACGAGAAAACTGTCACTAGTAAATCATTATTCTTTTTGATCAATTATGATTATTGTTAAGTTGTAATACGAAAGCAGTAAGATTAATGTTTTTAATGTGTTTCATAATTATGACTATGGCACAATATATCTTGAGTATGAGTAATTATTTCTTTAATAAACGAACACCCACACTGATCCACACTCCCAAAATAACTATCATTGATTTTCATAATATATAGAATTGCAGATTCAATCTGACCATGAACATCTATGGAACGCATTTTTCCCATCTTTAACACAATATGTTAGTGATTGGAGCAATATTCTGAAATGTTTTCTTTTTCTGATTATCCTAATAAATGAAAGTAAAGCCTCGGGACTTATACTGATTTGTCTAGATCCATAGAAATAAAGTAAGCGTGTTCATTGCTTTGTTATTTTTCATCTTCTCAACAGAAAATTTTAATATTCACGTAGGATTTATTTTCTACAAAGAATAAGTTACCACTTAAATAACAAAGTTAGCGAAAAACTGAACTAAGCTTTGGAGAAATTTGTTGGCCAGTTGCTTCATGATCATGATGACAACTGAAATCAAAGACAACATAGGAAAATTTAATGACAGTAGCTTTAACTTGCCTGTATCATTTAAATAAATCATTTTGTAGTGTTCTCAGATCGCGATGATCCCGGACTTCGTATATGAGTATAAACGATTGTATACGCTCTTATTTTAGCACTTTACACAATTCAATATTATGGCCGTTTGTGACCGTGTCTGCTCGATCTCGATTTTCATATTTGCTGATGATGCCTAATTTACCAATCATATTATGACTACATTAACAAAATATTAGAAGAGTTGAAAAAAATGAAAAAGAAAAGAACTTACTATCCTGGTTCAGTATGATTCGAGAATTTTAAATCGAGTTTTCTTGATTTAGATACTGTAAATGGTTTGAAATAGATCAAAACTGGTATCTATTTCTAACATCAGACAGAAGGTTTTTTTTTCATTAAGGATTTCTCAGAGAAACTTGACCAGTGTTGAAAAAACGAATAATAAGAATCAGCTTCAAATAAAGATATCCAATGGGTGATCAGCTCATACCACAGTTATAGACTATTCGAAATGAACTAAATGTTTATTTCAATTAATAGTTTCATCATATTTCTGAAGTCGACTGTTAGGATTTTATCTGTATTTATCTGCAATGAAACACCACAAATCTATAGTGTAACTACGTAGAAGAATCATTTTTGAGTACTCTTCATTGAGAAATTTAATAATATCTTCACCATTGAAAGGAAAATTATGCGATTTTGACCATAAATAAATGTGCAAAGAAAATGAACAGGTTTACGAATAGAAATGTTGTTTAGCCGTAAACATACATTTTGTAGGGTTTGGTTCGCAAAGTTGTTTTAAAAATAATTTATATTGATTAGTTATCGGCAAATCACGACTCAGCCGATTATTCAAATGTATCATCGTTAGTGAAAGGACAATATCAGAAAATCGATGAGCTAAATGTGATAATGAGTCCAACCACAAGCCTGCACGTGTGACAACTAAATCATCGTTTGATTCAATTTGTTCAAGAATGCCATCGATCCAAGCGATACTCGATGGAATCAAAAGTGATATCTTAGTCTCGGACTGAATTCCATCATCGCACAAAATTAACTTCATATTGAACGAATGAAGTGCCTAAAAATATTTTACAAAATCGGCACTGAGCATTTACCATGTCCTATGTTCGATGGTGAGTAAAGACAAATGGTGATATTGTTTGAAAAGTTTGATTTTCAAAAATATCTACTATCTTGGTTATTGAATCTGTGGAACGTGATCAATTGAGAAATACAAGAACAAGTTTCATTTGTGTATTCTATACAAGACCCAGTCAGATAGTCAGGTAAGACGCCTAATAGAATTAATCAATCAAGCGATGGAAGGTGAATATTGAAATGATGAAAAGCAAAATGTATGATTCAGTTTATGAAAAACAGGCCATGCATCAACATGATTGAAAGAATGAATCAAAATCTATCGCAATTTTTTCTTAATGCACAAAATAACCATGTGTAACTTTGATTAACGTAGAAGAAAGAAGAGAAATTGTATAAGTCATCTGAATGATCGCTTCAATTTGCAATAAGTAAGTAAAAAAACCAGACAAGAAATCACATCGGGAGATTATTCTGTGAAGTCGACGCACAGCACCGATGAGAGAATGCATTTATTAACGGTGTCGTGCACTATTCGCATTATATTATCATTTTTTTGGCATCGCTCTCTGGAATCTGATTTAAAAAGGAATGTTTCATGTTAAGAAAAATGAATAGTATATTTTTATAAGCATATGTATTTTTGTTTCGGTTCAACCGATAAATAGTAACACTATGAACGTTCGCCATTAGTAACTTATTAAATATTGCAATAGTTAAGACCAATTGTGACACGAGATCGACAACAACTTCTGTAGCATGAACGATGGAAAAAAATAATATTTTTGTGTTCAAATTAGAAAAGTAATGCACAAAATCTGTTATTTCCTAAGTCAATCCGGCTTTACGTCTATTAGTCGTCAATAGCAAAAGAAAACAACAGTGACGTTCATAGAAACCAAATGAGCCTTTAGATGTAGTGTTTTCTCACCCATAGAATTATGTATTCAAGTGAAAATATTCAAAAAGTATTTTTCATTTGATATTAGTTTTGCATCATATCTTTACAGTTCATAGGAAAATCTTCACATTCTTTTCCAATAAGCTGCATAAGAGTGTTGAGTAAAAATATATTGCGAATCTATTTCTTTCTTGAAAAGGACAAACACTATATTACTAAATATGTTAGTAAATTATGCTTACTTACTGATAGTAAATAGTTCTTCATGATACACGAACATTTTATTAAATTATGTTAATTATCCAGCGAGAATACGAACTTGAAAATTGAATATATCCATTGTACAATCGAACGTAAAATAAACAATATGTCAAAAGAAACAACATCTCTCTCATCAAAATGGCAACAAAATAATACATCAAAAGGTAAATCATACAGTCTTTGGCTACGTGAAGGCAAAAAGAAGAGTACATTCATATGTGCTGTATGCGACACCGAACTAGACTATGGCCACGGAGGATGGACGAATGTAAAAAGCCATGCAGAACAGTCGAAACATTTACGATTTCTTAAAGATGCTCTGAAATCCGGTCAACTCAAATCTTCAAATACAACAAAATCATCATCTATCAATGAAAGCTTACATCGATCAATTACTACGTTACCCACAACAATAAACAAGTCATCTTATTCGTCATTCAGCAATATGTCAGATCGACAATTGACACAAGCTGAAAAGGTATTACGAGCTGAATGCTATTGGACTATGGCCGTATCACAACTGGGTTTCAGTTCTGCAGCAGCACCAAATATACCACAACTTTTTGCAGCGATGTTTCCTGATAGTAGAATAGCGGCTGATCTAGCTAAGACAGATGGACAACGCTCTCCTGTCGTAGTCGATGGTATAGTGCAATGTTTTGTGCATGAACTTGTTAAAGATGTACTTAATGCTCCTGCTTATTCGCTGATATTCGATGAAAATACTATCGTAGGAGGACCCAAACAGCTAGATGTGCATATTCGATATTGGAGTGAATATAAACAGAGTATCACGACACGATACTGGAGAAGTATTGTATATGGAAATACAACATCGGAAATCGTTGGTCGCTATTTGATCGATTTATTGAAAGTAGATGGCCTTGATTTGTGTAAACTTTTTCAATTAGGTGAAATTATTACAAGCGAAGATAATATGAATTCGAATACAGCTATTGAAATAATGATAGATAAAAAGATTCGAATGGAACGAGAAGCTAAGTAAGTTTTTCAAGATACACACTATGAAAAAATGAATATAAGTATGATAGAGAGAATAGTTCTATCGTTATATCTTGTCGAAAGACGGCTAACAGTCCGTAAAAATGAATCGTTAGTAAAAGTTATACATCTCTATTAGGAAATAGGTTGCCATATTAAATATCTAGGAAAACTTTTATAGTTAAAAAGCAATTTTTTTTACTCAAAATCATCCTTTCACCATGAATCTAACATACAATCGACCATACGCATCGTTTTATGGAAATTAAATAACTCCACAAGCAGGATTGCTTAAAAAAATACGAAAGAAATGTCAGTTTTTTTAGAATTGGAAGAACCATATTTTTATTCTTATTGATTAACTTCTTTTATAATTTTTTGCTTTCATTCAGAACAGGAGATGCAGTTGAGAAAGGTTTGGTTTCTATCGGGTCGTGTCCACTTCATGCCATTCAAAATGTATTCATGAATGGCTTTACAGCAAGCAAGTGGCAGATCGACGAAATCGTGCATGATTTTTCCTTTTTCTTTGCTCAATCATCGGCTCGTTCTCAAGATTATTTGAAGGCCATTGAGAATATAAACAGTGGTTCTCATCAATTTTCAAAACAATATGTTTTTTCACGTTGGATTGAAGTAGGTTCCACCGTGGAACGAATTCTCAGACAATGGCGTGTTCTCATCGAATATTTCATTACCTATTTGCCTAAAGTTAACAAAATGATTGTAACAAATGAAAGATGGAAACGAATAAAGGAGTTACTCGAGCGAAAGCAAGTTCTTGCTCTTCTTTTTTTCTTTCAATATTTATATAGACATTCCTTTTGGAAACGTCTAATATGGTTGCAGAAACAACTACCAATTGTTCATATACTCTATGAAGAATGTACTGATTTTTTGCGTCATGTATTACAGTGCTTCGTGAAAGATGATTTATTGTTAAACAAAACGGGCAAGCAGTTACTCACGGTTCAATTCAATGTAGCAACCAATCAAAAGGCAGAAGCCCAACTTGCAATCGGCGAGTCTGCGCGTAACATGCTCAAAGACTTGACAATGATTGAGAAGAATATATATATGAAGGATGTGCGTGCTATTTATTCTCTGATTACAGTAAGTTTTTGTCTTTAACCAGAGACGGTGTGAGTGAGATAATTTTATTTTAATTCACTACACAATTAGCATAGTGCTTCATGTCATCATATGAATTGCTCGGTTACTTTTAAAGAGGTTTCCAAAAATATTGAAATATTACATCAACGAAGAGACAAGGTCATGTTGAACATTCGGACTGTCTTAACAATTTTCTGCAGCTCAGAATACTTCTTAGTGCTGGAGAAAAATCTCCATTGAGAACCATATCTGAAAGCAGAAAGAACAAGCTTACTATTTTTTGTATGCATCGTTGGGGTAAATTTTTTTGTATAGGAATGATAGAGAAGAACGAATATGTAGATAACGATATAAGACTTTTGATCATTTTCTTCGATCATCAAAATTTCTTTCATTCATTTTTTTAGCGCGATCTCTTGCGTTTGTTACCCTTGGACAATGATTTTTTGCGTCATCTGCAGTTTACGCATCCTCTATTGAGGCAACAGGATTGTGCTCGTACTAGTCTGATGATTGTTGCGCGTGACCTGCCGCAATTTATATCGGAAAATGAAATTGATCGATTGCATGCTGAGTGGCTTGTTTATGAAAATGAAACAATTCCAGATGAATGGTATGAACAAAAACCTATCAACAGTAAACTGTCTCAAGTCACCAAATATTATCCCATTGATCATTATTGGAAACATATATTTTCACTGAAAAATAGTTCAGGTAATGCCAAATTTGTTGTATTAGGAAAACTTGTCAAAAGTGTTCTTTCACTATCACATGGTAATGGCGATGTCGACAGTGATTTTTACGAAAATGAAATGTTTGTCACTGAGAATCCCTCGCCATTGAATATCGCCACGATCAATGGACTTCGAGCCACTAAAGATGCAGTCAGATTTTATGGTGGTGGAAAAGTACATGAAGTGAGTTTGATTATTAATATAAAAAAGCAGATATCTTCCAATATCACTCGATGTAAATAGGTTCCAATTTCTAAAGCACTCCTGGATAGCGTCAAGCAAGTATACTCTAGAGCCAGTGACAATCCGTATAAAACACAACAATTACGTAAATAAAAAAATCGTGCCAATGGGATATTATGAGGCACCGACATATAGAACTCATATATTCGGACTATTACAAATTTATGTGAAATTGTCAGAAGTTGAAAAATAATTCATATAAAAGAAATGTAAAATAAATGAATAAATTAAACTCAGAATATTTTGTTTTCAAGGTTCAATATAGATGCCTTCTTATAATTAGAACACCAATATATAAATAACTATGCGCACGTTTACAGCTCATATCGTCATCGTTTATGTTTGCTTGAGAATGAAAAACTTAAGTCTGAATGAATCATTAAAAGAACTACTCATGGACTGTGGAATACATTCAACATAAAATAGATTCAACTGGAGGCTGGCCAATTATTTAGCCACTGGCCTTTCGTAGGCATGAGCCTACTTTGACTTAATGACTCTGTCGTCTATGGAACTATTTGCCGAAATTCACTCATCATTTTACATTTTGTTACTACTTGGCATGTTTTACTAGTAGTAATCATTTTTTAATATACCGTAGTATGTATAGCGATAGAATATAGAACTTATTTTGTGTATGTATTTTATCTGAAAAAGTAATGGTGATATAAAATAATTTGTAACATATAATCAAGTTGATTTCGCACGTTCAGACACAAGTGAAATGATTAAATGAGGCATTGCAATGATAACCAAACCCATAGAACTCAATCATTGATAAATGAGGCATAGTTTCTTGCTGATGATGAATAACAAACTACATACCAATTTCTGCCGTTGTCTCTATCAAATTTATTTTTGCTATTTATTTTATTAAATTTTACGGCAAGTTTCATTTACACAAGTATTTAGTAAATCGCTAATAGTCAACCATAGTTCAATTGAACAAAATAAAACAATTATGCATAATTATTAACATTTGACATAGACGAAGTACTAGACATTTCATAGTAAATGATGACTTCGTACAAAAAATACTAATAGATAAAATATCATCTATAATAGCAATAGTAAATACTCAAAAAGCGAAATAATTATATTGACGAGTATATGATTATTTTACTTCAAGCAGTGAATACGTATTATTCATCAAATTATTCGCGTTCAGAAAAGTATCATCATGCAACTGGGCTTCTATTATGGGTAAGAGTTAAATAGAATCTCTTGATAAAAAGTATTGATAGACGTCAAAATAAAATGTGATCAACATCAACAAATTTCCAGTCGATTTATTTCTTTGATTTCGATGATGAGCAACTTTCAATTCAACTTTACAAATTTTACCAAAATGTCTTATCTGATTCTTGTACTCATATACTACTTTGAATTAAGAAAAAAAAGTAATATATTTCATATTAAGCGGAACGACATACAAATCGTCTGTTTTTGTTATTTTCTTTTCGGCTCGATCGACAAATAGTAATAAGATGAAAGCGAACATGCTCTCTATGTTTCTCCTACTATTAGTAAGTGATCTAAACGAGAGAGAATATAATTTGAATATCACTATGGTTAATACCAGTTATGACACGATATCGACAATAACGTTTAACATAATTATATGCAAAAAAATAACATATTTCTATTCAAATTAGAACATAAAATGCGTAACATATTATTTCTCAAGTCGATTCGGCTTTACTATGACTACTTGTCGTTGTCAATAGCAAAAGAAAAACAGAATGAACTTATTGTTGTTGTTAGAAACAAAGTAATTGCTTAGTATAAAATATTTTTTCACCGACAAAATTATGTATCAAAGTAAACACTCAAGAGGTAAATCTGATGAAATAGTAGTTTCATGCACAATTCACCAGAAATATCCTAAAACGGTTTCAGAAAGAGTTATAGACGTTTATCGTATTTTTACTGAGTAAATGAATAGGGTTTTAAAAAATGTTTTAGGGAACATCACTAGATAAAATAGTTACTTATCCTGTATGTATTTATATTTTTCCTGTAATACATTCTAATTAAAACAAATGGCTATTGATGAGTCATAGAAGGAGATTTCTCTCTAAATGAATATTAAGAAAAGTTAGCGACAGGATTACGAATGAATAAAAATATGAACATAGAGAGGGCCATTTTTTTAAATTTTATTTCTCTTTTGAACAGAATCAGAGCTATGTTATTACACATATCGGCGTATCCTACATTCTGAAAACAAATAGTTCTTACCGATACACGTATGTTTTATCAATTTACTTTGATCGCCAGTTGACAATTCAAAATCTAAATACTAGCCACATTGAATTAGTACAAAGATATCGGGAAAAGAAGCAAGATGCCAAAAGAAATGACTTTCTCATCAAAATGGCTACTAAATACGGACTCGACAGGAAAATCATATGGTATTTGGCTGCGTCAAGGAAAAAAAAAGACTGCATTCATATGTACTGCATGCAATGTAGAACTGAGCTGTGCCAACGGAGGATGGAGCAATGTAAAAAATCATGCAGAAACGTCGAAACATGTACAATCTGTCAATGATACTTTGGAATTCGCACTACTTAACTCTTCTAATACACCAAAACTACCATCGATTAATATTCGAACAACGGGAAGCTCGAATATCTCGACTAGTTCATTGGCAACAACTGGAGCAACAACAAACAGGTCATCTGGTATTCAAATTAAAAATAATTCAGACCGAACATGGACTCATACTGAAAAAGTTATGCGCGCGGAATGCTATTGGACCATGGCGACTGCACAACTTGGCTTTAGTTATGATGCATCACAAAACATACCACAACTTTTTGCATTGATGTTTCCCGATAGTAGAATTGCCACTGATTTAGCAAAGAAAGATTGTCAGGTCTCGTATGTAATGGTGCATGGAACTGCTCAGTTTTTTGTGCACGAACTCGTTAAGGATGTGCTTGACGCTCCTGCTTACTCGTTGGTATTTGACGAAAATACTATTGTAGGAGGACCCAAACAACTAGATGTGCATATTCGATATTGGAGTGAATATAAACATGGTATTACGACACGTTATTGGAGAAGTATTGTATATACAAACGGAACATCTGAAATCATCGGTCGCTATTTGATCGATTTATTGAAAGTAGATGGTCTTGATTTGTGTAAACTTTTTCAATTGGGTGAACTTATTACAAACCGGGATAATACGAACGTAAATAAACCCATTGAAGTGATGCTGGAGAAAGAAGTTCGATCAGATCGAGAAATCAAGTAAGTCTTTTTTTAAGAACGACATAAAATTTACTCCTACAAATTAGGCATGCATACTGTGCTGCATGATTGAATGAGTGATTGAACCAAGAAGTTAAATGAAATATTTTCTTTTTTGAAAATGTTCAATCTCTCAATGCGCTCATTGGAAAGATTTAAAATAACAAAAATATGGACAATGATCTCTAAAAATCAATCATTTCTAACGGTTGAAGATCTTTAATGAAAAATAGTCGTTTTGTTTTGAAATGATTAGATTTAATCTATTTCGAAGTACTTAATCCAAAAAATGACTAAGATCGTTTCACACATGCGAAAGTTTGCTATTATTATGACCAGGCATAGAAAGACAGATATTTTATAAATACAAAAGCGTGAATAATTTGATTTGAAAGCTCACGACGACAGCAGATCGTTTTATTGAACCATATTTTTAAGAGGTCAATCTTTTTATTCACATTGATAACATTCTTTTGTTATGTTTTGCTGTCGTTCAGAACAGGCTTTGCAGTTGGCAAAGGTCTAGTGACCATTGGGTCGTGTCCATTGCATGCAATCCAAAATGCTTTCATGAATGGTTTTACAGCAAGCAAGTGGCAGATCGAAGACATTCTCTACGACTTTTCATTTTTCTTTGCTCAATCATCGGCTCGTTCTCAAGATTATTTGAAAGTAACGGAAACTATCGACGAAGGTTTCGATCGATTTTTAAAACAATTTGTTGTACCACGCTGGATCGAAATCGGTTCCATCATAGAACGAATCATCAAGCAATGGCCCATTCTCATCGATTATTTCATTACATATTTACCTAAAGTTAACAAAACAATTGCGACTAATGATAGATGGAGACGAATAAAAGATCTCCTCGAACGGAAACAAATATTAGTTCTCTTTCATTTCTTCCAATATTTATATAAACATCCATTCTGGAAACGTCTAGTTTGGCTACAAAAACAGAAACTGATCGTTCATATACTCTACGAAGAATGTACTGATTTCCTGCGCAATGTTTTACAATGCTTCGTGAAAGATGATTTATTAATAAACAAAACAGGCAAGCAGTTACTCACAGTACAATTCGATGTACAACTCAATCAAAAACTTGAATCAAAAATCGAAATTGGCGATTCAACGCGGCTTGCTCTCAATGAGTTATCTGCGAATGACAGAAATGTATTCTTTAAAGATGTTCGTGATATTTACGTCATGATTACAGTAAGTTTTTCTACCTAACTTCATAGGATCATGTATTTGTTCTTTCGATACGATATTCCTGAACTGAAGCGATTGAGAAGTATATTGATGAAGGAAGAATCTCATATTGAAACGTATGATATATGTAGAGTTGGAGTAGAACTATCATTAAAATTGTTCAATTGTTATTCATTCCTTGAAAATTCGCCTGGCAAATACAGGTTCCGGGCTAAATGGCTCCTTAATCCAGAAAGCAAAAACCTGGTATTCATTGTACGCTTTCTCTATGAGTGTTTGGAATTTAGTCAGGAGTTGACTATTCCAAGAATTTATATAGACTGTGATAAATCAATCAGTGAGAACACGAGTAACAATAAACTGTATGAAAAAGAAAGAAACTTAGAACAAAGTGAAACTGTAGAAAAAACAATCTAAAATGAGATCGGAATCAGAAGAGATGAATATTTACATGTTGGCATAGGGTTTATAATAATAATATTTTCGATGATCTAAGTTAGATCATCTAACTTACTGTCATTCATTAATTTTAGCGAGAACTATTACGTTTATTACCCCTTGGCAACGATCTGTTGCGACATCTCCAATTTATGCATCCTCTAGTAAGACAACAAGAATCTGCTCGAACTAGTCTGATGATTGTTGCACGTGATCTACCGCAAATGTTATCGGGAAATGACATTGACGAGTTGCATGCTGAATGGCGTATGTACGAAGACGAAAATATTCCAGATGAATGGTACGAGCAGGTGAGTGTTACCAGTGAACTACCTCAAACCACTCGATACCATCCTATCGACTATTACTGGAAACATGTACTTTCAATTAAGAACAGTTCGGGCAATGTAAAATTTGTTGTGTTAGGAAAGCTTGTCAAGAGTCTTCTTTCACTATCGCACGGTAATAGTGACATCGAGTCTGATTTAAGTGAAAATGAAATGTTCGTCACTGATGATCGCTCATCATTGAACATCGCTACGATCAATGGTCTACGAGCTACGAAAGAGGGTGTCAGATTTTACGGTGCAGGAAAAGTACATGAAGTACGTTTGATTATTAGAAAAAAAACGAAATAGTGCCTTTTAATGTAACTTAATTTATATAGGTTCCAGTCTCCAAGGCACTTGTGGATAGCATCGATCTGGCATATTCTCGATATAGTACTGATCAAGAGAAAACGCAACAAATTATCAAAGATAAAGAAGCTTTGAATGCTTCGGTGCAATTACTCAAAGAGAATGAGTTACGACTAGCTGAAAACGAGCAGAAATTAATTGACGAACAGAAAAGTTTACAAAATGAACTCGACAATGCATCCAAAATGCTCGATGAGGCTAATTATCGTCTTCAAGCTGCCATTACGGCCAAGAATTTTGGTGACATTAAAACTGCTCATCTACTCATTGAGAGTGTAAGCAAGAAAATGGGCTTCTTGCGAACGCAACTGCGTAGAAACAGTGATTATCTAAGTGAAATTAGAAAAAAATTGAGATATGAATAAATCCAGTTTTAAAAAGCAATTATAAACTAAATGAATGTTAATTAGAATATATCAATAATTAGTTTGACATTTGCAGTTCACTTGGATGTTGACGTAAAATTTCTGGTAAAGGCTGAAAAGTTGTTGTTCAATTTTCGTTGGAGGTCTTCATATTAGAGGAATTCATGTACGCATGTTTTATTGTAATTAATATAAGATGAAGCCGTTACTAAAAAACAGGATAATTATCAATAAAATAAATCAGACATTTAAAACACGATTGTTTTTACAAGAAATACATAAGAATGCAAAAATAGCATATTGTCATTGTCATTATAGAAAATGAATATGCAGATATCCCAGTACCAACCGGTGAACTATCGATACAGGTATTATTCAGTTGACCATTTTCATACTGATAGATACGTTTTCAAATAGAATACTTCACATTACATTCCCGATAGCAATCAAAGCTGGTGGAATTCATAAAAAATGGCCCAAGTTCAACTGGAATATATGAATCACATCCTGTGCAGCAGTTGCAACTACATGTATTGTGACGATTTTTGATAGAAGAGATGCCTGTGCTGATGGTATTACACTTTATTTCACTCTTCAAATCATAAAACCGCCTCGATTACATGCAAAGCACACGCTTAAATACTCAACCATTTGAGAGAACGAAGGAGAATGAGAGATAAAGACAAATATCAAGGACAGAAAGATAAAGGCAATATATGTGATGAGAAGAAATGGCACCATAAGGCCAAATACTATGCACAGACCACACTCGAACGGGAGCGTTACACTCCCACGTGGAATTTAGACACTCTCCGCATTTATCGTTACATGTATCACTAACGCGACTCGGAGTGATGCATATTTCACTAATTTGACCAGTACAAGCAGTATTTGCTCAAGCCTGTCAACAGGTCTGCGAGTTACATGGCGTATTGGAAGGAAGGTCAAGATGGTTACTTCTCAAAATAGCGTTTCAATAGCAAATGAGGGGTGTCACATATCCGAAATATCTGGCATGCTGGAGATGCCAAGGGAGACGCCGCATCTTCGGGGAACTACTGAGGAAAAGCATTGTCCTGATTTCAAGGCTATGAACAAGACTCATCCTTTGGTCACAATCGAATGTGGAAACCGTTCATCCAGCAATGCTATCTAACTCACAGGGAAGGCAAACCCAGAAATTAGTTCATCATAGGACGCAGCGAACGGTGCTGGTGAGCGCCGAAACAGTTATCGGCTTGCGAAATCGTAGTCATCCATGTATATAGCCACATGAACGAAATACTAAATTTACAGCGAATGACAGGTAAAAGGTAAAAACAGGCGCACTGCCAACGACGTGGAAAAGGTGAATCATTCGATACTGGCGCGTCGCTGCGGTAGACAAGCATGAAAACACGCGCAACTAGTTAAACGCAAGTTGAATTCATGCACACCCACACCCTATATATAGTGTTTTGCCTATGTGGCTCTATTCACGAAGACTACAATTTAGTGTGCCTACCTGCGTTTCGGCGCTCACCCTGTCGCTTTGCTCCATCATGTGATGAACTTCATTTCTGGTTCCTCCGTCGCGGTGAGTTGTACAGCAATACCATATGCACAGTTTCCACACTCGATTGTGACGCACGGACGGGAATTGGTCATAGCTTTCAAATCAGGAGAATGATTTTCCTCAGTAGCTGCCGGGAGTATTGCTGCTGTGTATCCCGCATCTCCCGTGGTATCTCTGGCATGCTCGATTTGTCGGATATGTGACACTGCTGTCTGAAGAAGACGAAGTTGTTCACACAATGACACTCAAATGCTTGCAACCACGAAAAGTAAACGAAAGTTGGAGAAAAAGAATCATGAAACTCGTGACAGTTGAATTCTATTCTTTCGTTTCTTGTTGATAAGTATATATGCAATAGAAATAAGATATGCATCTGCTGTTGAGTATCAACAGAGGAAAGATAAAATATCCACATTTAACGTCGTAAAACATATCCATAAAAAAGTAAGTTATAGGCTATATAAATCTAAACGACGCTGGTGTCTCAACAACACATTACTATTCATCATTTGTATTAAGCAACAGCACCTACTCGACATGAGCGAAAAAAAATCCAAATCAACTGTTCCAAAATCAACTGTTCCAAAATCAACAGTCAGTGCCCCTTCAAGTATAGCAACACTATCGGGTGCTATACCACCAAGACGTCGTATGGCTCAGAATTACTTGGTGATTTGGGTCGATGGCAACATTGACGAAAACAATAACGATTGCCGAAACACACTGACACAATTACGCGCAGTAGTAAGTGATGTGAATGTGTGCACGACACCAGAACAGTGTGTCGAATTTATCAATGAAATTGATGATGGCAAAGCTTTCATAATTTCATCCGGAGCAATAGGACAAAGCCTTGTAAATGACATTCACAGCTTACCAAAAGTGGATGCCATTTACATTTTTTGCGACAACAAAACGCGTTATGAATCATGGGCGAAGGAATGGCCAAAGATTCGAGGTGTTTTCACCTTGATCAAACCGATATGTGAATCGCTGAAGAAAGTCGCCCATGAGTGCGATCATGATTCAATTCCGATGAGCTTCGTTCCGAAGCAAACGATGGCAGGAGGAGCAACAGGCTCTGGTCCAAAAAATCTCGATCGATTACCGCCAACTTATATGTACTCGGTGATTTTTAAAGATATAATATTAGAAATCGATGACGATGACGAAAAATCTATGAACACTTTAGCAATATATTGCCAAAAACAAAATATTCCAGAAAAAGAAATAAATAAATTTAAGCTTAACTACCACCAGAAATCAGCAGTCTGGTGGTATACCAAACAAATTTTTCTCTATGGTATGCTTAATCGTGGGTTAAGATCGCTTGATATGG